AAATATATTTGTTCGTGGTGGAGTAATTCGGAATATTTGGCCTCGGTAGCGTGGTTGGGTGGGCCACTAGCTTGTGCGGGCCACTAACTTGTGGATTACGTTAGAGGCAGATTAAGCTGCGTAAGCATACTTGCAAATTTTCTAACAGAAATTAAAGTAATATAGCACTAGATGTCGCCACTACTAGCAGGGAGGGTGGCCGAGCCGCTCTGGTCACCCCCTTGTGGGGCTCCAAACTCTGATAGAAGTACTCTTTGGAACAGTGGCAACTCACGTGCATTAGTCTGTGGCGTAATCGTGGCTGGAATGCCAAGACTCGAATTTGTACCCCTGCTTGCCGGAGCAAAACAGTGTTGCAACAACAGCAAGGATGAAGAATATAATATAGTTAGCTAAATGTATAATATTCTACTACGTAAGCGCACTGAATCTATTCGCCAAGACACCGAGCAATCCTTTGCACAGAGATACTTTATTATGCATGCATTTCAGAGCGGAGGGTCTTTAAAGCTGAGAGCTATTTTCTTTCTTAATAGAATTATTGTCCTAAGGCTCCGAAATCTAAAACTGTATCAATAGTTGTAGTGGAGCAGGGGTGCAACACTGATATGGTTTTGGATGCCATGAACAGAACGATCGACAGCATGACCAAGATCGTCGTATTTTTCTGGTTGTAGAGTGGTTTCCTGAGGAGAAATGTCTAAAGAACATTAATATATTAGCTATAACTTCATAGGTCCACGAGGAAAGGCTTAAAATGCCCGAGCAATATAATTTTCTCGGCACGGGAGGTTTCTCGGCACCTAGGGACGCACCTTAGAATAGAATTCAATAAGTTATGAAATAATGCTAGAACGAAGGAGCTCCTGATAATGAATGGTTTAAGGAGCTTCCTTTAGAAGGAAAACTTTAAGGCCTGCACGTTATCAACGATTTACTATGATATATGCTCGCAGCATGGTCGCTCTCCTTAACGTGTTTGATACTGCCGTGTTTCTCGTGTTTAGAAAACTGAATGAGATAAAAGCCGATCACAACGAACAACCCGAACAACCTGTAAACTTGCGAGGCACCACCACAAAGGTGTACCAGGAGCGGAAATGTGGTATTCCGCTCCAAATATAGGCCAATATACTAAGGCACGACGAGTAATAGCAAGAAGCTTTATACTCATCTATGAAGCGGCGTACGGAGAACTGTCCTCGATGTACCTGAGAAGTTCTACAGCTGGCGGCCTCTCGGTCGGATCGAAAGCTAAAGCAGATAAGAAGACGCTATTCAGGCGATCGGAATAGCCCTGGTAACCTCCCCACGGAAGAGGTTTATTGATCGGAAACACACGCCGCGGCACAGCGCGCACGAAAAAGCGATGATCGCGCATATTCTCGTCTTCTGTAGGGTAATCTTGCTTCCATTTCGACGCAAATTCGGCTGGGTCCTCAATCGTGAACTTGCGGTGTAGTAGGTGATGAATGCTTGACCCTACTGCCCAAACATCTCCAGCTGGTCTCGCATATGGAGCCCATAGAGTTTGTTCAGGTGGTTGATATTCGGCAGTGCCTGCCTCGAACCAGCAATCGCTTGGATCGTAGAAAGCTGAGAGTCCGAAGTCTGCTAGTTTCACGTCAATGTTTCTTCCCGGGGCATCGGGTATGCTGGTCAGAAGCATGTTTGCCGGTTTGATATCTCGATGGACAATTGGTCTCCAGTCCGGGTCTTCTGCACTGGGGCTACGATGGAGAAACGCTAAAGCTTCTGCTAGCTGCTCGAATAACCTCCAGATCTGCTCTTCTGGTATATGGAATCGGTTCGCATGGACCAAGTCTGCATAATCGTAGAGGGATTCGTGACGACAGAATTCGAGTAATATTGCGGATGTTCTGGGATTAGGGAAACTTGGGATGTGACCGAGGAGCTTGACGATCCGGTCGCATTTGCCTGTTCGACTTAGTAAAACCACTTCTTGCGGAGTTATTCCGGGTGTTGAACTGTTCTGCCGGATGATCTTAGCTACGATTAACTCCTTGGGACTAACGCGGCGTGAGAAAACTTCTACTATACCTTCAGTCTCTGCTGAAAGGGACCTGATATGTTCGTAATTGTCACAGAAGTGTTCTGTGGAGTGCATAGATTCAGGATCCATCAAAGTAAAAGGACCTTTAGGACAGATAGACTATTGGGGGCTCTCGGAGGCTAATGAAGTTCGATTGATAAGGAGGTACTTCATCACTAGACTTCTTGGTAGTGACAACATTGATATATGTAGAAGGAGCACAAAGTGTCTCGTGCGTGATCCTCTGACTTTTGGACTCAAAGAGCATTGTGATGGATGCAAATCTCTCATTGGGTGTATACCCGACCAACAAATGACATTGTGAAGCAACCACAATCTTCGTCCAATGAGGTGCTAAGCTCGAGATCGATAGAAATACAATGTAAGCGGAGCTTATTTTCGTTAGAGGCAATGCATTTCACTGACAAGAAAACGGACTGGAGACGAATATCAGAGTTTGAGTGAAGTACAGTCGATGACGAGATGCGACTGAAGTACAGTGAGTGGCGAGATCAAAGAATATGACGAACATCGAAGGCTTTTTCAGAGGAATCAGGATCGCGGCGAGAGCAAGGCAATGATCATCCGGGGCCTCTTAGCAAGTCTCAAACCTTTCAACCTCATGTATGAAAGTATACGCAGAGCCGAGAAGAGGATTGAGCGGGTTTGGAACTCATGTATCGCGTGTAAAAAGTCGTGAGAGTAAACAATGTTGGAACCGAGATCGGAGAAGTGCTTGGTAACGTCCATCCCTGCGTGGCCAGAAACCCACTGTAACGAAATAAGCTACGAGTACTCTGACTTTACAGTAACCCAAACTGTATGTACACATCCGCATTTGCGTGAATTCATTCCCAAACATTCGGGACCCTCCGACTTAAAAGATTACGTGCGCGCCGCAGATTTCTCGCCTAATTTATAGAGAGCCTCCTTACATAGCGTAACAGGATTCCTTCACCGCACCTAAGCTCAAGTGAGTTCTTCTAGCTAGTATTTGCTGTCATCCTAGTGGTTTTGTTAGCGGACACTAAGTAAGTATGAGCTTTTTGCACTACCCATCGCGGAAATGGAGTGAACGTATGCATTTTCCCATTGGCAAACAAAGTACCTTCAAATCTTTTCAGCTCCGCGCCTGAATAGTGTTGGACTTCAAGGCGATCAAACCAGGTCATGTGGCAGCTGGCGTAGGAAGGGCAAAGGATCAGTGAGGAAAGCATGAGTTGTATTGAGGTGCTAATGAGTGGCTATATAGTGAAGAGAGACCAGGGGTTGCAGGCAGCAACGGTGACAAAACAACAGGTGAACCCTGTCCAGCTGAGAAGTGAACCCTGTACAGCTGAGACGCGTAGACAGACGTGCGTAGGAGCATTCTAACTGGCTGCCATCATGTTGTCCATTATTGTGCGAATAGTATCAATGCTGAAGTTTAATCGTCTGAGGAGGACAAGCAGTTCCAGCCAGGATGTCAGATACTGCCTATCGCGATCGTAAGAGCAACGATAACCGTGCTTTGCCAACGTAGCCGGCACGCCTGTCTCAAACATCTCATTGATGTGCTGGAGAAATGGATCGATGTCGGATGTCGTTTCGATACCTCCGGAGCACGTAAGTACATACTCGGTAATCTCATACAATATCCACAAGCGTGGTTCGAAAGGAGGGTAGAAGTATATGAAGCCACAATTGCGGATGATGCCCGACATGGTCCGTAAGCAGCGATGGAAATATGTTTCTTCCGGCAATGATCGTGGACTTTGAGGCATGCACGTCTAGTCTACCCAAATGTACGCCCATGTTTGCGATTCGAGTTCAGCTTGATGGAGGCGCAGATACTCTCCGTCTGGGTCAGGGTGATCTTGCGTGCGCCAGAAATGGCTGACGAAAAAGCAGTCGCTCCGCGTAACAAAGCCTGGCGAAGCAGGTAGGATGACATAGTCGTCCAGTTCATCGCGGGACTACTGTTTCATGCGCTTTTGTGACATGAAAGCGCTGCGTCGCTGGAAGAACCAGAACATGAAAGGGTTTCCACATTGAAAAAGAAAGTCGTCTAAGGAATGGCATTTCTGTAAGAGGGACCTTTTAATGTTTTTACGAGCGGTTTGTTCGTTTGCAATAAGATCGTCCCACGCGGCTATGCTCCGACTAACAAGTGAGGGCCATGCGATAAGATGAGGTGGTGATGCGCACTGAAGAGCTACTGAGGACTTTGGCATAGCAAGCAAGCAAAGACAGAATGATGCTCTTTAAGTTAAGCCAGCGTTCGTGCTACTGACACTCACCACGATCAGTTATTATGTGGACGGCCGAGTAGACCGGTCAAGTTTCAGCATGCGGGTAGACCGGTCAAGCGTCAGCATGTGACCCTCACTCTGGGGTTGAGTTCACTAGCTCAAGCGCTTGGACCAGCAGAAATCGGCTAGCTGGCGACCCTTGGACCATAGGGACTATATAAAGTCTCGACTGTTTAAGAGTCGCCAAATCACCCGACTTATACATAACTATAGTAAATATTCACTTGAAGTCAAAGTAACCCTCGTATTTTGTGGTACGGTGCGATCTCCGCGACTTAGGGACGGACGTTAAAAGGGATTTTCTTTGATGACTAAGCTGGTTCTCTGCCAGGTCTTCTGCTGCACTCCTTTCTTGCGATGAATTGCTTCCCGCATCGACCTAATTTCTCCAGAAAATCGATCTCTATCGAATCAGCCTTGAAAGAAGTCGGAAATCTACCTTTTACCCGATGTCCACCCGCCATCATGTCCAGTAACGTCTACTGGACTTCGAAGAGAACAATGTCCTTCAGCCTTCTCTCATTAGCAAACAACGACCCTACTCTATCTGATAATAGTCGGCAACGTGTCCATCACCCCCTAGTCAGGTCGCACTGTATCGTGAGGGCCGACTGAACACCTCAAACCTCATTCTTTGCTTGTTCAACGGCTTAGTGGGTGGATGTCAAGAATTAGTACCTAGAGTAGTAGGCACGTAGCCTTTCGGTGCTAGTTGAGATGCTTCAGATGATGGTGGGAATATAGAAGAGTCACCAGATCTCGCTACCAGATCTGGGCTGGTGGGAACCGTGGAGCAAGGGTCACTGTCTGATTCAGCACACGCAAAAACTGCAACTCCAGTCTTCTCTATATTATTCAACTATCCGATGTGTTTAAGGCCTTAAGAATAAACAGCACGAAACAATTTTCCCCAATTTTCCTAAAGAAAAGCACTCATGCGCATGCCTGTATTTTCCATATTTCGCATATCTCAACCCTTCGCAGCCAGTTCCATCACATTGACCAGAAAATCCAGAAAGGCACCAAGATTCTTATCCTATTTCATCCTTTCTAACCCTACACTGCTTTTCCCATACTACCCACCAGAAGCGATTTTCGATCCTCAGGAAACCTTGACCCACTTGCCATTGTCCCGCTTGATCCTAATCCTCCTACTACCTGAACTCCTCTGTCCAAGAATGGTCCACTTACGACGCGGAACTCGCATATCCCGCCACGAATCTGTCATAGTCTTATTGCGGGCGTATGCTCTCTTTGCCTTCTCTTCGAGCTTGCGGACGTTGCGGTCGTGCAAGTGATTCTTCAGTGCTTCCAAAGGACGCATAAGCGAGACGATGAAGGAACGGATTTTGCCGGAGTAGCGTCGCAGATGTGGAAAATAGTCTGACAGGGCGACAGACTCGGTGGAGGCTACGTCCGCGGAGGCTACGTCCGCGGAGGCTATGTCCGTGGATTCTTGCAGAATGTACAGTGGAAAGAGGTCGTTCATGAAGTCGGCGAACGAGTCAACGGATGCTGTGGCCCCCGGAGGGAAAGGTCTGTAGAGGCGCTCTGTAGGGGCGTTGTATAAGTATCGTGACACTAGCGTGTTTGCAGATCCTTGAGGACCTGGCGGTAGAAGGTTTTCTCGAGCGCTTGCGAAAGAGCTCTCGGGCGTGTCTTGGGAGGAGCAATCCGACATAGTGCTTGCAAAGGACTGTTCGGACGTAGCAATCGAGATAGAGTACTTCGGCCTGATGGTGTTTAGCGGTGGTCCTATTATGAGCACTATGGCGACGTTAAAGGTTTGTGGAAGGTAGGATCTCTTTTGCTTTCTTGCGAGGTTTATATACGCAAGAAAAAGACCTGCGAGCTGGTTCCATGATTCTGCATTGCGATGTAGAGTTGGGAGCCCTCAGAACATTTTCTGGTCGGCTCGTAGACTTAACCATAGTTGATGCTTAAGCCTACTCGACGAACCTTGCTAGAAAAATATGAGTATCGCATCGTGCGATTCGGCCGCCAATTCATCTTCAACATCGAGCACTACAATCAGGGTGTTTTAATAAGTGGTTGCAAAACTCGCTTGATTAGCTTTCTCGTCGTAGCCCGTTTGATAGAGATATTGGCTATCTATAGTGATGGGCCCAAAGTTCATGCACACTGGTTTACCACTGCCTGGAGCACCCCCATAGGACTTCAAAGTCTGGATGTGATGTCAAGTTTCAGGCAGCGGGATCCAAGCTGCCTTTTCACTGGCCGACTTCCTGGCAACGGGCCTAGTACCCGAGGATATCCTGCTCCACTGGCTGGAGCTGCTGGAGACGCTTACTGTAATGCTGGAGAAGTAGGAGCACTACGTGTGTTCGGCCTTATTGTGTACTTTTGCGCTGATGATGGGAATTTAGACGGGAAGGAGATAGGATTGTTTTGGATCTTTGTGAGTACCTTGAAAGACTACCAGTCTCCATCGCAGAATGCTATCATGCCATCATGCCAAACCACTAACTCACGTGATGCTTAGTCATCTCGGCGTTAGCTATCTGCAATATAAGGTCCTTCTCCTTTCTGAAGACGACCTCACAATGGCGTGCAAAACAATGCTTCACCCGATATCCCTTCAGAATCCTGGATGCCCATGGGATCCCTCCAAGTAGTACTATTCGAAGTTGGAGAGAAGTCTGGAAAGCTGTACCTAGATCAAAGATCCGACGATATGGTGGTATGTTTCACCATCACGGTTCTTCGGCGTTCACCCACCTACCTGGAGCGTTTGAAGATGGGTAAGGGTTAGCAGACTGAACCGAACCCAAGACCTATTGTCCAAGAGAAAACAAGATACGCCGAAAGGAAGGGAGAATTGCGAGGCAGTCAGCCTCCACCATCAACAACGAGAGAAAGCTCCAATAACATACCACCCCGCCAACTCCAACCCTCCCACTCCTTCCAGCAGTGAATCCTAACCTACCGTTTCCTTTACGCGTGAGCTAACCAGAGAATCCCTCTTTACCACTCCCATATCTACCCCCCCCCCTAGACATCAACCCCCTTTCCCATTCCATCTTCCCCCACCCCCCCACCACAACCATGTCCACCCACCTCTCCTTCAACACCCCCACCACCTACACCTCCTACCACAGCGACACCACCACCTCCCATCTCACCTACATCCCCCTCTCAACCCCCCACACCACCGCCCTAACCATCGAAGTCTCCGAGCCCACCGGCCTCTTCGAATGGCTCGCCGCCAACCCCGGGAAGCTGAACCGAGTCACCAACCTCCGCATCCGCTTCCCCGCGGACCCAGATCCCCGCGAGCGCGACGGCAGTGCCGCGGACCTTGATGCAGAAGACGAAGACCACCGCGAGCAAGACGACGAGCGCGCCGAGGACGATGATACAGAAGCCGACGGCCTGCCAAAGCACGGCCGAGCGTCCCAATGGGTGACCCTGCTGGACGCGCTAGCCAGACGACAAGCGCCGGGGTTTGATAGCATCGCGCTCTTTTTCGCGGCGGGGGATGCGCCGAGCTCGACGTGGGACGGGGCCGCGAAGCTGGCCTCGAGCTCGGAGTTAGGTGGGCGTAGGGGATTCGGGAAGGACGTCGATATCGTTCGCGCGGTGGCGAAGCTCAAGGTGCAGGAGGGGGATGGGACGGGGGTTGTGCTCGAGGGCTTCTACGCGCAGCCGTGGCGGGAGTATTTGGAGAAGGAGATGGGTGTGACGGTAGTGGAGTGGCGGGCTGGGGTTGGGGAGGCGGCGATGGGGAAGTTGAGGGGGTGGCAGGTTGGGACGGAGGGGTTGATGCCGTGAGTGAAAGGGGGCAGAGAGAAACGGAGGGGCGAGAGGGAACGGCATGCTTGAACGATTTGTCTCTTGCGGATTTCTGGGCTTAAGATGGAAGGGTGGGTGGATATGTCCCATGTCCGATGGTATAGCTTTAGACTTATAGGGGTCGTGAGCATCTGGCAAAGGTTAGAAAGCAGAGGTGAAATGGCACAGCCTCGATAGATCTTCGCCGGCTCCCTCCCACCTCCGCCAACTCTGCACGCACATGCCCTCGCCCTCGCCCTCGCCCCCCTTGCCTCATCATGGCAATCCCCATGCTCAAGTGACGACGGGCAAATGCCGACGGGAGGTGGAATAAGCAGGCAGCTCGCACGATCATCCGGGGGAGCGGCAGCGGCACAAAAGGACGCGCACGAGATCGTGGATCAGGCGAAGTAAACCATTTAACCTCGGAGTACATAGGTAGTCAGCCCTCACCATGCACGCAGCATCTAAACTGCATATAAATTACGTACCAAAGAGTCCTCCCATAGGGCTGACCGCCGCCTTCAAACGCTACCGCATACTGCATCTTCCCTTAACCTAGGACCAATGACCAATGCTTTGAAATAACCCAACCCTGACCAATGGCGCCATAACCTGACGCAAATCATAATGCTCACCGATTGCCCGAAAGCAGCATAGATTGCTCGGTAGAAAGGCGTTGAGTACTAATCCTCCGGCCCCCGCTCGCGTCTTTGCCCTTACCCCATAGCCCCGCCGTATTGTGTGATGAGTAAATTTTAACGTTGTGTGATGATCTATTGAGAATATTGTGTGATGGGCTATTAGGAAATGTGTCCTCTTGATCCCTGGGCCTGATCCTTGTAGGAGAGGGAGGCGGTGCAGCGCCCAAACACCGCGCGAGGAAAGTAGAAACATGTGATCAAAGGACGATATAAGAGCAGTATGGCATAGACACAGACACAGGCATACAAGAAAGCACACATCCAAAATAGAAGGCGGAATATATTGCGAAACCTACCTACAATTTCCCTAAACTCAGCCGTTGGGATGTTGAGATCGCTCTCCAGGAACGAGCCCCATCTACACTTTTCCGATCCCCGTTCCTTAAAGAAACAAATGAGACCCTAATAGTCGTCGTCCAGCAGAAGTCAAAAATCTCGCTCAGGGGTATCCAGCTGCTGCCCTAGAAACACCCCCCAAGATGCCAGACCATGCCAGGTCGAATTCCCTAATTTCCGTGAAGCCGTTCCCAGATTCTCCATTGTCCCCAGCGCCATCGCTAAAATAAACCCGAGTTCCGCAAATTGTCAAAAGCTTTTCAAATACCTGTCCCATAGTTGCTTTGCTCATGCACACCTGCTTTATGAGCCGGTAGCTTCCTCGACCGACTCCACATCGTCGGTGAAACTATACACCCTCACCTCGCAGTCTTCGCTCCCGCTCACGAGTCTGCTGTCGCTGATTCCGACGCACGTGACTGGGGCGGAGTGTCCGTAGAACGTGCGCTCGTGCTTTCCAGTGCGTGGGTCCCAGACTTTCACCATCTTGTCCTCAGCTCCGGATACCAATCTCAACGTGTCGGCTGCAAGCGCCCAAATGCCCTCGATATGGCCGAAGAAGGTATGCACGCAGCGGCCGGAAGGGATATGCCACAAGCGGATAGTGCCATCAAGAGAGCCCGTGAGCATATACGGCGGCACAGCAGGGCGGTCAGGCTCATCCGGGAAGAGCGAGATGTCGGCGTCCGGCACCTCGTAGTTCAAAGTGTGGCTGTCGGAGGCAGAACTCGCGGCGTCGGCTTCCGTGTTCCTATTCAGCTCGGCCTCATCGATCTCGAACTCCGGCGGAAGAAGCAGCACCTGCTGGACCTGGCCGACGTGGCCTTTGAAGACCTTGAGACAGACCTTGGAATCCAGATCCCATAGGCGGACGGTGCAGTCGTCGGAGGCGGAGAAGAGGGTGCGTGAGGGTGCATCGATCTTCACGTGATTGACCCAGTCGTCGTGGCCTTGTAGCGTGAACTTATGTTTGTTTTCGAAGTTCCAAACGATAATCTTGCAGTCCATGGAGCCTGAAGCGAGGATATTGCCTTCCCAGTTGAGGCACACGATACCGCCCGTGTGGCCTTCAAGGGTTCTGATGCACTCGCCTGTATGCCAGTTCCAGACTTTGATCTTTTTGTCAATGCTTCCGCTCAAGAGACGGGTCTCGTCGAACTGAAGGCACCTAATCCCCGCGGTGTGGCCGATGAGGGTGCGGATTTCCTTTCCAGTTTCAATGTCCCAGATCTTGACGGTCGCATCGTAGGATCCAGTGGCAAGGATGTTGTCATCGAACTGGAGACACATGACACCATTGCTATGGCCCTTGAAAACCTTGGTTCTGCATCGTCCGTACTTCCAATTGGTGCCGACCTTGAACCGATCCTTGTAGACGTCTTTCCAGGGGCGCTTCATGGGAAGACCGAAGTAGGAATCTTGGTCATTGACTAAGGAATTGTTACACGCACGCTTGACATAGGCATCCGGAGAGAGTGCAGCAGCGTCCGCCGATCTCTTTCTTCCTTTTGTCAGGGCTGTGGATTGACTAGAAGCTGGCACCTCGTCCATTTGAGATTCCGGGATGGGGGTAATGTTGGGAGACCATTCGTTCATGCCTCGTCCGGTCGCTCGAAGCTGGATCTGTCGCTTCTCGGTCCTCAGTCTCTTCTGGTCCAGCAGTGGTAAACCCCAGCCACACTTTGTGCACTTCCGATCTATGTGCTGCTCGCACATCTTGTGCCACACAACGTCGTCGTCGGCGAGAGTCCTCCATTTTCGGCTGACCTGGGATGCCTTGCACAGGGAAGTGGTGTCCAAATAGCACAGAATCTTGAATCCTAGCTCCGGTGGCAATGCGGCGAGGAAGTCGATTTTTATGAGGTTCCGAACCGACGTAGAGATAAAGGAGAGTTGAGGGAAGCAGCACTGCGCCAGGACGCCTTGCAACATGAGATTTCGGTGTTTTGCGGGGGCGGCGGAGAAGAGAGCCCAGACGTGAGCGATGGCTTGCTGGTCGGACTGGGAGAGGTTGCCCAGTTCCTGTGCAGCCACATTAGCTTCGGCGCACCTAAGTCACAAAATAAAAGCGTGAGTACTGACAGATTGCAGCTCCTCCATTGACGGCTCGTCGGCCTGCCTCCGGCATTTCAGGTCCGGGCGATGGCGGTAACAGTACTTGGTGTTCCCGTTCTCCGTGTTGCGCGGCTGGGGATTGTACTGCTCTGGGACGTGCTGCGCGAGGAAGGGCGTGATCATCTTCTCGGACTCGTTGGCAACGTCGTGGGTGATGATGGTGGCGTCCTCTTCAGCGTCGGTGTCAGCCTGGCCGGAGCGCAGAGGATGTCTGCTCTTTGTACCTTCGTGGTCGTGGCCCTGAAACAGGGCAGCATGCGGGTCTTGCGGCATGTCGCGGAGTGGTGGGCGATTATTGTGCCAGGACAGGCCTCTCCTGCGCTGTGCTTCGGTGGGATGGGAGTCGGCGGAGGAGTTGAGGTGATTTGACGACATTCTTGGTGACTCTATCGGTGAGTGCGGCGCAGGGATGTCGGTGAGGCTCATGGGCCCGTGAAAGGTCCCGAGGGGATCCCGATGCGTATGCGGGCATGGGAGGGCGGTGGTGTCAAGAAACAGAGCGATTGCGTGCTGCCGGCAGCCAAAGAGACGGCCGCCAGCAGGGTGCAATGCGGGCAGAGACCAGGTTTGGCGGAGGGCAGCCCGGCGAATGCAGCGCGAGAAAGGAGTGCACCGCAGCGGTGGTGGCTGGCGAAACGGGCGGCGGGCAGGCGATGTCGAGGTTGAGGCGCGGATGCGATGGGCGCACGTTGGTGGTGTTTGGTCGGCCGCCTGTGCCAGGCCCGAGAGCCAAGACGCCGGAGCAGACGAAAAAGTCGCCGCGCACGCAATCGCAGCAGAAATCACGCGCTGCGTGAGAGAGGGCAGAGCACGTGCGACGCCCGTGTCGCCCTCCAGCCCATAAAGGCGCCATGCCGCCTGCCGCCGCGGCTGGCCAGCGCAGGCAGCACCGATTACGTTTCAGATGGGAGCGTTGCGTCGTGATCCAGCCGTGCCAGTGTGCCAGCACACCGGGGTTCAATGGCTGCATTCACAGTCCCATGACGCGCCCGCCCACCGCCTCCGCTTCGAGCGATTCTGCCCGCGAGTGGCCCGAGCGCCCGCCAGCCTCATGCTGCAACGCCAGACGACATCTCGAGGTGCCCATCGCCATGAAGACCGCTCTGCCCGCTGCATCTCCGCGCCGCTCTGTGATGCTTGCCACAGTCTCCAGCTCCAGTCTCTCCAGTCTCTCCCCGTTCTCCGCCCTGCAGCCCTGATCCATGCTGCGACACTGCTGAGACTCCATCTCAGTCGCCATCCGCCATGGCAGCATCACCGTCGCCCCCGTCCTCTGATGGCAGCGGCAGCCTCTACACCCGGGAGCCGACCCTGGAGGACCTCGTCGAGCTCTTCGTAGCTTCGAAGCGCTCCCTCAACTGCACCACCACTCTCTGGCGCGCCGACGAGATTGTCAAGTCCGCAAGGCAGCTGCTCGAGGAGAATGCCGTGCTCTCCGCCAAGAACTCGTTCTTGCGGTGTAGCTTAGACGACCAAATAGACAATCTAGAAGCTGTGAGGCGTGGTGTTGACCTAGTCGAGGGCGACGTGAAGAACGAGTTCAAGGTGAGCCCTGGAGACTACCGGAGCTGCATCCGCATCGCTTCATTCGACCATACTAACATCCCAGAACCTCCTCCATTCCCTCGACACCTCCTTCAGCGGCCTCCAAGCCAGCATGGCCATCCTCCGCGAAACCCCCATCTCCCCCGCCCTCCAACCCCCAGACACCCCCCAGAAATACCTCTACGACTTCATCGACTCCACCACCGTCACCGCCCTCAAAGACTCCCTCCGTGCCTGCATCGACCGCTACAACGACGCCCTCTCTTCCCTCCACGACACCACCGACGCCTTCGACGACTCCCTCAACGCGCTTCGTGCCACAATCGCCGCGCTCCCGCAAACCGTCACCACGAACTCGGCCCCCTCCCCGCTCCCCCACCTCTTCCACGACCTAGAAGTCCACGCCACCGAAGCCGCGAACTGCTTTGCCAGCCTTGTCCAGCACTACGACCTCTGCGTGACGGCCCTCAAGCACACCGAAGGCGGCGGCGAAGCCGCGTCCGCAGCCACAAACTCCACCGCCGACCCCACAAACCCGCACCCCGACCCGGCTAGCGCACCCCTCCAAACCTCCACCTTCGCCAGCCCCCCCGAGCCTCTCACCGCAGACGAGCGCCTCGAAATGCTCGCCGTCGTGCAGAAAGACGCCGCCGAGGTCGACGACGTCGTCACCGAGATCCGCGACCGCGGCGCCGAGATGGAGTACCTCCTCTCCAGCATAAGCGCGCACATCGCCCTCCTCCGCGACGAGCGCGCTGCCCTCGCCGCCGCGCTGCACACCCTCGACACCGTCGCGCGCTCCACCCGCGCCCAGCTGACCGCCGCTAAAGACTTCATCGCGGCGTGGAACCTCGAGCACGCCGCCATCGTGCAGGGTATCGACGAGTGGGAATCGCTCCGCGAATTCTACGAGGCCTTCGACGCCGCTTACAATAACCTCGTCATCGAGATCGCGGCACGGCGCTCGCGGCACGAGCGCGCCAAGAAGAAGGCGAAGGAGGCGCAGCGGGAGCTGGATGCGCTATATGACGAGGACGTGGCGGCGAGGGAGTCGTTCACGGCCGCGCAGGGGGATTTCTTGCCGCTGGATATCTGGCCTGGGCTGCGAGACAGACCGAGGCGGTTTGAAGTGTGTGCGGTGGGCCCGGTGGAAGAGGGGGATGAGGAGGAGGGGAAGAGTATTCCGGATGTGGGGAGGGAGTTGTTGGAGATGGCGGTGGAGAGGGTGAGGGAGAGAGGGTGATGAAGGACAGAGGGTGACGAAGGACTTACACCTAAGAAGCTCTCGATTTGGCCGGGCGTTGGCTAGATATACCGGCGCATACCGGCGCCAGCTCGGTGGTGTAGCTCTTGTATATCCTCTGTTTTGGCGCCGTTTGGTGGGTCCTTGGCGTAATCAGGGTTACATATGGTATACCACATATCTCACATAGTCACACATCAGTCTTGTCATTTCGAATTCGAGACCTAGGAATTATGGTTAGCAGTCTTGACTCTCTGACTCCCTTAATTGGAGGACTGAGGAGAGGGTAGGTTCCGCGATCAGTGCTCTCTTTAAATCCGCATGCATCTCCCGTATTGTGTGTGTGCGCGGGAGATATCAGGGCACTCCGCCCCGTTCCGCCCCATGGAGGTTATCAGCCCAGCCAGCACTGGAAGAGAACGCGACGCATGGGAGGGTGGTCGAGTGTTTGCTTTACATCATGCAGTAGGTGGTGTGGGATAGGGGCAAGGAAGATAGGACATACAGGTTTCATTTCTACTGATGCGGTGCTCGTAGCGCGTGAGTTATGAAATGCAATGCTGAGCGCCGAAATGATGCATGTTTTTTGGTGGTGAACTGCGAAAGACGAAAGGGCGAATAGGTTGAAAGTTGGCAGGGGGCCATCAGTGCTTCCGCGCCGTGCTCTTGACGAGCTTGTTCTTGAGGTGTTTTGGGATCTTGGTTTTGCGCTTTTCGCGCTTCTCTTCTTTGACAGCGGCTTTATGGTCCTAGTTGATGTTAGGATAGATAATAGATGAGGAAAATTTACGGATCCTCACCTTTTTCGTGTCTTTGTCCACAAAGCGTTTTCCCCGAGGCGTAGAGTCCTTCTCGACCCATTCCCTGTCGCCATCTTCATCACTGCTGCTACCGTCTTCTCCACTTCCCTCTTCACTCACGTCGTCGCCGGTCTTCGGGGCGACTTTGTCGGCGAGGAGGCCTTGGTAGATTAGCCCCTCGCCATCGCCCTTTCCGACCAACTCAGCGTCTCGTTCGATGTCGTAGACTTGTTCGAGAGTCTGGGGAATATACTGCTGTCGAAAGACTTCGTTGTCGACTTCCTCGTTCTTCCCCTCTTCCGTCTCTGCTCGGATTTTGTACAACTCCTCGATTCTCTTCTCCATTGCTTCGACCTCTGTAGCTCCCTCTTCAGTGACGAAGCCAAAGACGGCCCGATCAGAGAGCGTGTCGACGTTCTGGTTCCTGAAGAAATCCGATACGTTCTTGACATCCATTCGCAAGAACTCCAGGCTCCTCGGATGATCATGCTCCACACTCTGACTAACATCAATGACAACCAGCTTGCCCTCATGATAGAGTAGATTATACTCGCTCAAATCTGCGTGCACTAGCTTACAGATTTGATACATCTGGCGCATATACCCCAGCAACTGGATGTACAACGACCTGTACTTCGCTTCCTCCTCTTCAGCTGTCAAGCCCTCGAACTTGACGTCCCTCAGCCTCGGCGCCGGCCACCCCTTCTTATCCCCAAGAAAGCTCATGACCAGCACATGGTGTCGTAGGAAGAGCGGTTCCGGACACGGTATACCTGCTGCATAGATCCGCTTCAAATTCCGCATCTCCTTCTCCGCCCACACCTTCACCATCGCGCGGTGCGAGCTCTTATTCCACCCGTGCTTGAACCTGAACTCGCCCGTGACATACTTGTCTCGATCCTTGAACACCAGAATACTCGTCTTATACACCTTGATCGCGCGATGTAACGTCTTCGGCTCCTCGCCCGGGTTCGCAGGTTCTTGAATGCTCAACGCAAAGTACACATTCGCTTCTTTCCCCGTACTGAGACACCCGTGTATCTCACTCACTACCCCCCGATTGATCATCTGCAGCAGAATCATCCGCGTCCGCGGATCAAGCACCTGCTCAGAAGTCGCGCGATCGCTCTTGTCCTTGTCGTTCCCGCCCTTGGACAGCCCGCCGACACCACCATTCCGATCATCAAGCTTGATCTTCCCCGCATGCTTCGACAGAGAAGCGACTGCATCGTCAATGCTGGCGAAGGTGTTCGCTGAAGGCTTCTGGGGGTTCGATTTTGGGGCTTGGCCCGCGGGGATGGAAGGGTCGTGCTGCTTGCGAGCGCGGTTGTAGGTTTTTGTGTAGTCAGAGGGGTTGGCACCATCGAGGGCTTCGGCGGCAGTGAAGTCGTCGTCCGTATCGTCGAAGATATCGTCGAGGTCGTTGTCGAGAGAGGCGTCTTCGGCGAGGGGCTCTGACGTGGCGGGGGCTGGAGGGGTAGAGGTTGTAGAGGTTTCGGAGGGAACAGCGGGCTGGGAGTGAGATCGAGTTGTGGTTTCGGCGGTATTGAGAGCAACGCCGCCTTTAGCATTGGAGAAAGAGTCGTTGGCCATACTGAATAGGGAGAGGTGTGGTGGTTGTGAAAAAAAGGATGAATGTTGACGTGTGGGCGAAATTCGTGACGATGGATTTTTTGGATGGCAGAAACGGGCGGTTTGCGGGGCGGTGAAGACGTGGTCCTCTGGACTTTCCCAGGCTTTATCATATGAGGTCCACAAATACGTGCGAAGTTCTGTTTGAAAGTACGCGCACTTGTAGGCGTGTGTACACCATCCTAACGCTGTCTGAGGTCCTCTAGTCAGTTCGTAAGAATTGTAAAAAAGCAGTTTCAGCAATTCTGATACAAGGGTAGCTCTCAGGGACTCCCCAGACGGTGTCAGACTCCTCCTTATCACATTCTCACCTAGGAAGGTCTTGGCTGATTCTCGAGAAAAGTGTGGAGTGTCAACTCTTTATCGCGTGCGTCAGCTTGGCGGAAGCACCCTGGATCGTCCATTTAGCGTCCGTCATCCTCATCATCTTCATCACTCAGCAACACTTAACGGTTTGCTACGAAAAAAGCCCCAAAAACTCTACAGAGGTTTGAATAGAAGAACTCGACGCAATTACATTAGAATGCCCTTTCAGTTCCGAGACCAGCCAAAAATCATAAGCGGAGGAAGATCACTGATTATCAACCCATCCATTCATCGGAACTACCCCTTGATATTCCATATCCACTTCCCCATACTCATCAGCCAAAGCAAGCAGAGTAATGCTCTCCTCACATTTCCAAGCATCCTCCTCGCTGGGAACAATCCTCCACAGCTGGGTTTCAGGATAGGTTTCTCTCTGTTCCGCGAGGCAGAATTTGACCTGCATGACCAAGCATTAGCAAAGATCCTTCCACCTTCATTGATTGAGTCATACCTCTCGAAGTCCACTTGCACCGCTCCATGGCCCAAAAATAGCCACCGCATTCATGACCGCCGAGAGTATCAAGACGAGATACATCACTTTCTCTCCCATTGTGCAGCTGCCGAGCCATCCTCCACGTCCGCTCTCGTGTCTCCGACATCTTGCTATGCCGGTATTGTCTCGCTCGCAGGTGACGATATCGCCATCTTCAAGCATGCCGTCCAACTCATCGTCTTCTTCTACTGCAAATCGCACCCTCTTCATGTCTAGGCTCCCAGACTCCCTCGATGTAGTTTCAACCGTAGAGTAATTCGGCATATCGGCGGGGTACCAAGGCTGTTCAGCCGGAGAGCGAGGTACGTAAGGCGGCGGGGGACTGATCAAATACGTCAAGATACCCGCGCGAGGCAACGCGGCGTGGTCGTCTCGATTTGCTTGCGGAGGGGCGTCAAGTGGTGAGAACATCCCGAGGGCCCGACGTCGAGATTACCACGGTGAGACGGTGTAATGGACAACGGCGAGGCTAGGCGCTAGTAAGCTTGTACTGCTGCACACAGCGACGTTAGACGAAGCTACGGGCTTTGACGTCTTGGTATTGTCGAGGGGCGCGTGATGGGGTTGAGACAAAGGAAGTGCGATTCGTGGCGTAAGGTAGGGGCATTGTCGGCGAGAGGCGTGAGGCTTTATGGGGCGCTTTGTGTAATTGTTTGCGGATGGGCTTTGTGAGATTGTATGCGGTGGATTGTTAGCGTGTAGATGAGAGCGGGCAGTTCTGTGTCTTGGTGGATGGATGCGGAAGTGGAGATGGTGGTGGCTGGGAGGGCTTGGTAAGGAATGAGGTCAGTTGCACGAGGGCTGGGATAGTGGTAAAAGGTTGAGGTAAGAGCATTGCCACGATAACTGTTGTATTTCGGTACAGTAGATTTGAGCACACGGATATGGCATTGCTTTCGTTCGACTCCCGCTCGCTCGACACCAATGTCAGGGGTGGCTCAGCTGCCAGGTAGTCAGTGAGCCAAAGGGTAACTCAATTCTAACGGTATCGAAGCTTACATCACATTCAGAACTTTGAAAGCCTATGGGAGCACTCCAAGCAGTGGTAAACGACTGCGCACAAATTTGTGGCAATGCATTGTATAAGCTTATGCTGATAGTGACGGGTGGTAGTTGGATAAGCAAGAAGATGATGCGCCCCGTAAGCTGGAGCCAAAAATACGCCTAGGTCGACGAAATTCAGCCCTATACAACCTTACGCCTGAACGCCAAATCAAGATGTTTTGTCATCTTCCCATAGCCCTAGTATATAGTGTCCAAAGAGCTTCATCCTTACAGGCAATGCTGTTGCTCAAATTGAGGGTTTAAACGCGTTCTTCATCGCAGCTACATATCAATCAGTACAACTCAGGGCGTTCATCGAATAGTCAACGTACAATCCATCAGCGCCTTGTTCGATACCGGTTGTGAGTTCGTCTTCTTGGTGCCTTTTCCGAGCAACCCATCCAGTGAGGTTGAAGAGTCGGTTGAGTCGAGAGAGAGGACGCGGTAGAAAGGGAGCTTGTCCTTCGTCGGCTTTGGGTCGGTATAGGACTGCGTAGATGTGTAGATTGGGGTCTTAACATCGGCTTGAGTGGACTTGGGAGAAGACATGTTGTCGTATAGGCTTGGATTTACGGAGGTGTTTGGAGATGGAGTGATGATTTGGTGCTTGTAGGAAGCGAACGGATGAGAAAGAGAATTAAGGATGATGACTGCAGCGTCGTAGATCGTTGGAAGTCTTGAGATGATGGATGGGTGCTGATTTCAAGTTGTATGAAATAGTACTTTATATAATGGATACTTCATAGTTGATGTAAGTGATGGATGAAGGCTGAGCATTCGGAATAAACATGCTGACACAGCCGGCCAAATGCTGCGGGAGTATGCATCCAACCAATCCCAAGCCTAAAAATCTTGCTGCCTCGTAAACACGGTGTTGAATTCGAAGTCGTCACTAGCAGGATCTTTTCTTAGGTGCGCTACGCATTGATGGCTGCCTTGTCCAACGGAGTTGTGAGCCATGCCACCCGGCATCAACACGAAGCCAAGTTTACGTTGCATATGGTAAATCAAGATTTGCAACGCCGACTTACGCTAGAGATAATATCGTATGGGGACCTTATCCCTCACAGTTGGTAGTAGAAGCATGGGACACTGCTAAGGAAAGACTACGGAAGAGCTCGTCTAAACCTGCTAGCTTGAATAAACCCACGGAGTTCGTCAAATCCTGCAATTCCGACTAAGACGGAACCGAGTCAGGTCCCCCAGGACTAGGCGAGAAACTGAATTCAACATGTCAAGAACCTCAGAGTCCAAATCAGAACGTCGCCAAGACGATAGCGAGGAGATTTTGCATTTGCACGAAGATGCAATTTACGCTAGAGCTATGATTCCTTTTGACAGCATGCCTATAGACTCAAGACGCCCCTAGGCTATGCGAGATTCTATGTTAACTATGTAGAGAACTAAAGTGTTATATTGGAACAACCTCAGGCCGGCATCAAGAGGCAGCCACATCTACGTCGGCTTCTGATCAACATTAGAGCAACAAGCCTTTGACAACCTACCTAAGGAGCGAATACACCCCTAGGCTGTGCGAGATTCTGCCTTCATGAAATAATGGACGGAAGAGTGTGAATCAGAACATCTTCAATGCGGGAAAAGCGCTCAGAATCTGAACTGAGCTGCTCCTCTTTTGACAGCCTATCTCTGGCATGAAGACACCTTCGGGCCATGCGAGAGTTGCAGCAGCGAGGGGATTTGCCGAGGTGTGGATAGGCCGGGCTTGGCACTCATAAATTTGGATAACGCACGGATAGAAATAGCGCTGTCACGAACGTGTGTGTAGACTGGCCTGCCGCTGGCTGGGTGGCCTCAACAGGTTTTCAATAGCTTGAATAAAGTGTTTTGAACGGTCCGTAAAGCATGTCGGGCACCTCAGACAGCGTTATCCTGTAGAGTTATGGAAGTACTTTGTGTGTGACCAAGCTAGTTCAGCTCCCAACATTGTGGCGGGTCAGGCGAGTCGTGCGACGCCAGCAGCCTTCGACGGCTATCGGAATCGAACTCCATGCTCACTTTACCTCATAGAGCCCCCGGGACGACACCACTCCGTGAACAGTCCCATCCTGTGAGAAATTCCTGCGTTGTTTTCTTCTCAAGCTGTGTGATATCAAGCAGTTATCGGCATTGACGTATGCGCTTCCTGCAAGCTTCGTCCGACGACGCGTCTTTCCCACGCATACACTCAACGTAAGCACATTATTACATCCGGCCAAGGGGCTAGGAAAGGCGTTACAGCGAGTCGACCGCCTCTCGACTCTGTCAGCCCTTCTACCTGCTGCACAAGGGGAGACCGGAGAGCCCAGGCCGAGTCCTGGAACAGCGCCTGGTTCGTCTTGCCGCCGACCGCTGCGCTCCGCTTTCTCTTCTTTCCAATATGACACGGACTGGATTCCCTGCTCGATTGAGAATGTCACACGAAAGCCGCAAGCTCAACACGTCTTATCGACGGAATGGAAAGCTTCAATCGTGTGAACCCTGTCGTGAGTGCCACCGTATCTCGTCATAGCTGTCCGTACACTCTTCTGCCACTGTTTGAGGCGCCTCGCGGCGTTATGAGAATTTTAGATTAGATCATTTTGGACAACTGGAAAACTCGCGAGGCGACTCCAGGCAGCGGTCAAGGAGTGTATAGAGGTTGGAAATGTGAAGCTACTAACAACACTTCAGGCAAGGGAAAGCTCCGTTGCGATCATATGACACCCACTTGCGGCAGATGTGCTCGTCGGAACAAGTCAGACCAATGCGTGTATCACCCTGCGCCGTTGACAAAAGGCCTTCCAACGCCGCAGTCCTCCTTATCTGTCACATCAAATGATCATTTTGATGCCCGTTCGAATGAGCAATTCGAGCCCCTCCGTTCAATTGAGCAGTTTGAGCTCCAATCGAATCAACATTTCGAGCCCCGTTCGAATGGTTTCAATTCCGATTTGACCACCACTAGCCTGTCAGGTGCCTTCGATAACAGTTCGAACTTCGTTGCCCCTCGTAGGCAGTTTCGGGCCAATAGCCTGCCGGCACAGCCTCATCGCTCTCGTGATGTTCGCGATCCCTCTCAGCGCCAGATGGCTTGGGGTGTACCAGCCGACCTCCAGAGAAGTGCAGAATACCTTGGAGCCACTCCATATTCCGCTGTTCTAGACGAAAACGAGATGCACTTAAACTTTCCTCCAGCGCAAACGATCGTACCTAGCTCTGTCGCTGCTCTATCAAAGGTTCACATCAGAAAGGGTGCAGAAATCCTCTCGCTGCTAAAGGACATGTCTCTCTTTGAAAAGCTTATAAATTATTGGATGACTTTGTCACACGGCTACATCGTCATTGCTCCAATGATGAAAATTTGGACTTCTTCGCTCTGGGCTGTACATCATCGCGCCCTGGAAACACAGAAGCCGGAAGCATTGCTGAAGATGGCAGAGACCATATCCTTGAACACTATTAAACCATTACGCTTTGATGGGAAGACAACGCCGCGAGAATTTGCAGCTAGCTGCACCGGAGAACAGCTGCGATGGGAGGTTGTCGGTATCGTCTTTGCCGCTGTAGGCGTAGTCTTAATGTCACTAATGGATGGCAATCCTCTATTTTATAATGACAACGACGAGCCTATAGACCGCAAACAGCTTGCGTTGAAGGTGTGGGATGCTTCGGAGTCGTGTCTGTCGTTCTGCAACGACTTTGACATACTGAACGACGTTTTCCTCTGGCTTCTGTTCGAAAACTACGTTTTATCCAACTCTCTTCACTCGAAAGGCAGTTATGCTAATTGGCAAAAGTCTGGGGAGATCAACAATGCTTTACTAGCATTTGGGCTTCATCAAGAGATCAAAGTCGATGCAGACACTCCGTTTTTCATTGCCGAGTTCCGCAAGCGCCTGTTTGTCCAAGCATACGGCAATGACAAATCTACTGCAGCATTTGTCGGACGACCTCCACGACTCAGCCATCAGTACTGTCTCCTACAGCTCCCTCTCGACCTCAGCGATGAACAACTCATGGCGGATGGTTTGGATCTTAGCGATGCTTTGACCTGCCTCGACGAGGAGGGCTGGAATTCACGAGGGACTATCAGCGCGTGCACCTGGGCGCGCATATGTGCACATAACGCTCGCATCTATGAAGATATACTGGAGATTTCTCTCGGTGTATTAGACCAGGATATAGTTGCAAAAGCTCATGCAATTGAGCAAAAGGCACAATCAGCTTGGGATAGGCTGCCTAGTCATCTTCGGGTAAATTCAGAAAATCCTTGGGACCTCAAACGCGCTCCAGTCGAACATATTTTCCTTTATGGAATCCAGCTTGAGCACCTCGACCAACGTTTCCTCATCCAGCGAGCTTTGATCAAAAAGGCAAACGTGGATGCGACCCGACTCGTATTGATAGCAAGAGAGATGTTTAGGCATATCCTAGTCGTAGTCAACAACCGTGACGCGGTACACGACTTCCACCTCGACTTCACACAAGGTCTCTGCACGCACGGTATCCCAGTTGCAGCTGTAATTGCCGTCGAACTACTGCGTCAGGAGCGAAACCCTGGAACCACCGCTGATCCACTACCTCGATCTGCTACCATCCAGGATCTGAGCGTCTTCGTCGCCTGTCTTGGTACCATTCGTCCTGACTGCAATGCCTACAACATCTGCGACCGTGGACGGCGGTTCTTGAAATCAATACTGGATACTATCCTTTCGCCGGCACCATACTGTATCTCATCGAACTCGGGCGGTTCAGATGTTCATGACCTGCCAGCTCCTCAATTCGCAGGCAATGACGGCGAGTTCATGCGATGGCTCGAAACGATGGATTGGGAGCAGGACAGCTGGATCAATTTCGACTAGGCACTATTGTGGGAGCAAGACACCACCGTCAGGAGTAGCCCCATTGCCAGGTGGCCAGTCAGTCAAAAGGAAGCCCAATTCCCACGGCCGAGAATTCAACCCCGCACAACCCTCTCCGATTTTATACACCCAGATATTACATCGTTCAAGCTGTACTCTTGCCTACTTGATACCACCGTCAAGAGGCACCCAGCTACCAGGTAGCTAGTAAGTCAAAAGGAAGCCCAATTCCCACGCCCAAGAATTTAATTCCATACAATCTTCTATAATTACGTATACTCGGATATGACAACATTCAAGCCGTGCTCCTGCCTGTTCAATACTACTGTCAGGGGTAGCCCAGCTACTAAGTGGCTAGTCAGTCAAAAGGAAAGCCAAATCCCACCCCTGAGAACTCAACCCCGCACGATCCTCTACAATTTCAGATATGCCACCGCTCAGGGTATACTCTTGCTCGCTCAATACCACTGTCGGGGGGAAGCCCAGCTGCCAGGTAGCTGGTCAGTCAGAAGGAAACCCAATTCCCATGCCTGAGAATTCAATCCTGTACAATCCTCTCTGATTCTATACACCCGGATATCCCACTATTCAAGCCATACTCTTGCTCGCTCGATACCACCGTCAGGAGAAACCCAGCTGCCAGGTGGCTGGTCAGTCAAAAGGTAGTCTGATCTCCAATGCATGAACACATGGATGATTACTCGGATATATGTCTACTCAGGCTCCACTCTTACTTACTGAATACCGTCGTCCGGAGTAGCCCAGCTAGCAGGAAGCCGGCCAGTCAAGACGCAGCTCATATTACGCGGCCTGAGTATTGACATCGTGTCTGGACTTTGAAGTCCTATGAGGGTGCCCCAGACAGTGGCAAACCAGTGTGCATAAACTCTTGGCTTGTCACTATGAAGAGCCATAGGCTGTACCTTATAGAGTCAAGACGAGAAAGCCAGTTGAAGCCCATTTTGTAAGAACATATTGAGGCACGTGATGTAGTGGAAGGAGCGGAGGCCGCCGCGGTATTCGTGGTCGTGAGGTCGTGCGGACCGTTGCTGTTGGATGACGGGGCCGATTTCGAGGATTGGCACGTAATCTTGACGTGGGAGACAGATTGTCTAAAGCTGTATATTCAGTTCTCTCAATTCGAGTATTCAGAGTCGCTTCTCAAAGGTTGAAGTTGTCTCGGTGGATGCGAGCGGGCTGCGAAGCGATCAGTGCGCGTCGCTTCATCTGTCACTCCGATATTTAGAATACGCAATCACCACATCACCGCCGCTTTCTTCTTCGCCCGAACGAAAAAATGTTTAGTCCTCCCTCATAGGACGTAGCTCCTAGGCGTTGCGCGATGTTGGGCGAGCCAGCAACAAAGCATGAAGATCTCTTAGGTGGAATCCGTCGGTACGTCTTCCAGTGATCATGCCTTACCGGTCACGCTGGGCACGAAACAAGTGGCACACTTATCAAGTACTCTGCCCGTGTGTACAGCTGTCTGCCACTGCATGGAATGCATCAACAAGTTTCCACATAGCTCAAGGCGAAGAGCATCTATCTTCTTTAGATCCCTGAAAATACATTGAAGTAGCCCAAGTAGTGGTAGACAGGTGTACACACGAGACACTTGCTGTACAATTAGTGTGCCACCTTTTCCATGCCCCGCGTGCCGGTTAAATTCTTGGACTAATTTCAAACAGGCTCGACAAGAATGAGCTGTACTCCGATCTCACCATCACCTGTGGTGGTGATGTCTATAAAGCGCACAACCTGGTCGTCTGCTCTCAATCCAGCGGTATGTCGCTTTCCGGGCAAGGTTCGGGGACGCCTTAGTGAACAGAAAGAAAGTGGAGGGCTAATTCAGCGACAGGAAGCAGAGGAAGGGCGCATCGATCTCCCAGAGGATGACCCATGGATGGTAGAACGAATGATCTACTACTTCTATCATCTCGACTACCTGCCTACAACCCGGATGAACATGTGCAAACTTTCTGGCCTCGATCCGCTAGGAGATGATCGTTGTCCGTGTATCTCAGCTACTCACATGAAGTGTAGTATTGATACCGACGAATGCCTCATCACCCACTCGTACATGTATTCCATGGGCGATAGGTTCGGAAGTCCAGGATTGCGAGATATGGCCAGCGCCAAGTTCACCGCGGCCTTAGTCCAACACGGAACGACGACAGGGCTGCCGCCTGTGATACCTGTCGTGTGTGCGACAACGCCCGATTCAGATCCCGTCTTGAGGACGCTTGTTGCTCAGGACATTGTCACCTATAAGGGTTTCCTCGAGGACAAGATTCTCCAGATTTCACTGAGAGAGCACCCAGTCATGGCATATTACGTCCTCCGAGCCGAACACCCAGATCTCAACCTGCCACTGCCAAGGATCTGAGAAAACGCATCGTCCATATAAAGCCTTAGAGGAATGGGCATGGCCTATACTCTTCCCAATCCAGTCAACTTTCTTTCCACTTGTGGGCAATACGACCAGAGCAATACGACCTGAGCAATACGACCTGAGCAATACGACCTGAGCAATACGACCTGAGCAATACGACCTGAGCAATACGACCTGGACAATAACCAAGGCAAAGGTGATTCGCACATCACGGGGAGTTGGACACTTTGACGGATAGGAAGAAGCCGTTGATGGCGGAAGTCATCTTTGTCTTCTTAGGGGTCATCTAAGGTAATCTGAATGGATGGCATCAACAGAAGTTTCCCAGCTCTCATGGTTCAAGCGGCGTTTTAAGTCAAGGCGGATACTATAATCGCTGAAAGTCGCTCCTATCATGATGTCATTGCAAGTGAAGATGAGAGTGGGGATGAGAATGGGCGCGAATGAGAAGATTCCAAGAAGGCTGAATTCTGGCAATGCTACACAAAAGGCCACCAAGCACATATTCATATCCCATTGCGTACAGTGCTTCTGCAGTATTAAAAAATCTTTTAGAACTTCAGATCTGCGTGGATGCAAATAATTGTTGCGGTGAGCAGGGACGGATGCCCATATGTAGAGATCGGATCCAGCAATGCTTTCACGGCTCCAGCCTCGCGGGGTCCCACTACCACTCCCACTACCACTTCCTCAGCTCCTCTCCATCCTCCGGACTTGCCGCTATACTCCACTCGCAAAATGATACACCCATCTTTTATGAAATGTAACTGGGCTAAGGTGGCGCATACCATCCCTCTATGACCGCCTACCTTGTCACCTTAAAATTCAGCTAGCGCACGAAATGAACTCTGCTTTGGACCGATAATGGGTGTTCAAATGTGGCTCCCCTTCGGCACGAGGCCAAGCTCAATTGTCTTGAGCTCAGGACTCGGTGTCATGGCAGCTAGGTGCCGCAACAGCGCAATCTAGTCTTTCGATAGGGTTTGACCTATCGAATTATCCGCCTCGCCGAATATGTTACAATGGATAGAGTGCACGAGAGACGAAGGCTTGTCATGTTAGCCGCGGCGGTTAGATTTCCGGTATTGAATTCCAGAGCTCCGATAGGTTTGATGACGTGGGAGGGAGCCTGTGAGGACTGTGGTCGTGCAGAACCGGAGTCTTCGCTGCCCAAGTGTCCCTACAAATGGCCCATTGGTGTCTTGCGTTGGGGTTGCCGTGAGTAGCTGCCTTTGAGTGAAAGTAGAGCGGCGGGCTTTTGAGGGTCATTTTCGTAAGATTACATCGCGGAAGACGGGTGGGTTGGAAACAGCCTTTATCGATCAACGGATGCACTTATTCCACCAGCTTGCTGATGTGACATATTGTCCTTTCGACGGCTGCATGCCGCATGGCAAGCGCGTGATAGTTTCCTTGAAAGAAAAAACGAGAAGTAGCTAATTTGCAACTAGACTGTCCGGAGATTCAAGGTGATTGACTGCAGATGAGTAAATTTTCCTTGAAACCGTGGCTTCGCGTTTACAGCATGCTCTCAAGTATGGAGTCGTCATTCCCAAATTGTCGGGCCTTCAGATCCTTCGGTCGAGAGCGGGGTACGAGAAGGCAAGAAAGGCTTACCTACTGTTAAAATGAATGATCTTCAATGTCCTTTAAATGGTTCAACACGTATAGAAGCTTTTTGGCATCAGCAGAATAGTGCACAACCATTTATAGCGAGGCACTGGCGTGGAATAGTTGAGGGAAAGTGATATTCGTATATGGAATGGGGGGAACTTTTCCCAATCGCATTGATTGAGGCTTTAGTAAGAAAATGATAAAATCATGACCAATCGCTTTTGTATCGCAAAAGATGAAGCAATTCGTTCTGAAGGATCTTGTCCATGAAAGCAAAGATAGTGAGAAGTGACTTGAAAACTTTTCGCTCGCTCCAAAAGGTACTCACAATGTCAAGCCTCCCCGGCTGACCTCCCCGGTTGGAGCAGTGATGGTCTGCTCAGATTTTCCGTTGATATAGAACCACGGAGTCTCTGATGGTGTCACAGTGTCGGAGCACTGTATTGTACCGGTAGTGTGCAAGACGGGTGTCGACTTGTAACTCTTCTAATAGTTTCTTGCATGTGTCGGTAATTTGCTCCACGAGGGACACCGCGTCTAAGACCCGCCTACCTCTTGCAATTGCTATGTCGTGCTGCTTCTCCCAGCGAAGCTCCATCTCTTGGCGCGATTCTCCAGGATCCTTTGGACTCCCCCTTGCTAAATCTCGCTCTGTTTCGACTGTCACGATCTTTGCCATCAATTTATCCCCCGACTTCTTCAAGGCAATGCGCTCCTGGTTCCACGCCCGCTCCGACCTGGTATGCTCTCTTTTTTTGCTCCTTACTACCCTTTCGGCGGTATCTCGTGCGGCTCTAGCTTCTTTGAGCATCTCTCGAACTTTCTCTAGCTTTGCCTTCAGCTCGATCGCTTTTTGTCGCTGCTCCGCCGGTTCATTCACAGGTACGTTCTCTGCGGGCTCCGAAACATGATTCGACTTAGCTTGCAACTTTTTCTGAGCTTCTTCTAAGTGCTTTGCTGTCTTCATTGCAAGGTCTCGCTCCACCTCAGCCTTCTCCACACGCTTTCTGAGAATTTCTGAGTCATCAGCAGCTTTCTTTTCGAAGTAGTTCGCTGCTTTCGTTGCGAGATCCCGCTCCATTTCGATGTTTTCCATACGCTTTCTGAGATCTTCCGCATCGCCCGCAGCTTTCTTCGCCAGCTCACGGTCCTCTTCAGCTCTCTTGACACGCTTTTCAAGCTCCTCCTTCACCGCGGTCATGTTGCGCTTCCGCCTGTTGCTTAGACGAGCAGCATGCCGGTGAAAGCGCTCATCATCCCGGAGGGTGCGAGCTTTGTATCTCCCTTCAGCGAGCGCAGCGTGGTACTTTGACCGATTAAGTTCCGACTCGAGAGCTTCAACCCGCTGCCTCAGCTCCGCATTCACGTTCTCGGCAAGGGCCACTTCAGGCTGGACATTTCGCAGAGTCTCTTGAAGTTCTGTGATTGACACTGGCGGTGGTGCCGCTGTGCTCCCGCTCGAGTCCTGTGAAGCCATGGCTATGCGGTGAGATGGGGGAGTCAGGGAGTACGCAAAGATCCTCGTTTTCGATATGCAAGATGCGGATTCTGCGGCACTCCAACGAGGCATAAATGATAGAGACGCAGCCAGCTTGTCGTGAAGCCGATCGGAGTGGTGGGGGCTGCCGTGGATGGGCGTGATAGCCAGCAAGGTGAATGAAATATCGGTGAGGAGATTGCTGTGTCAGATGGTCGCGTGATGTACGTGATGCGTCGAGCCGGACTGAGGGCGCTGGGAGCCGTTGGTGAGGCCGATTGCGGGTGAATTGATATACGAAGCCGCGATGTCGGCTTAGGCGTTGGTCGTCATTCACCTTAGTGTTAGCAATTCAGCGGCTCCTTCAGACAAAGCGTGACGCTCGGATGGGGTTGGTTTGACGTTAGGGTTGGGGTGAGAGACGGATTCTGGAAGGTGGTATTGACATAGAGGGGGAGTAGTGAAGTGGAATAACGGCTAAGGCAGAAGGCCCGCTGTCTCATATTAGCTTAATGTCGTCCATGTATCGTAAGCCGTGCGCATAATCTTAGGTATGTATTGGACAAGCCCTAGTGAATAGTTACCCCTCATGAGTAATTGCCAGGCAAATATTATATCTCAGGTAGAAAGTCGTCGGGGGAACGGCCTGAATGCCGGCCGCTTCGGGAACTTCCCGGAGTCGTAGTGCAGCAACAAGGACTGCGGAGCAGCTCCCTGTTTTGAAGTTCTCAGTTTCTTTCCCCTGAATTCCAGTGCTATGCCGTGAATTAGTTTACGGATTTCTCGGCCTCTTGAAGCCACCTGACTTTTTGTTCGTGTCGGGTCACTGCGGCCAACAGCGGAAAATGAAGCCGCATCGTACGATTTTTCGGGACAGCGTTGATAGATGCGGTGAGAGCGACTTGACGAACGATCAGCTTTTGTATATATAACAGAACCATGAACTGCCTCCAGATTCTTTCCACTCCACCTCTCTTCTCACCTACTACCGCTACTGCAACTCTCTTCTCTATCATGACCCAACAGGTTGCTTCCTCATCCTCAGGTTCGGAGTCCGAGCAGTGCCTAAGCATAATGAATGTTTCCCGCTCTCCATCGCGGGCTTCCACGATGAGCACTGGTTTGGACAAATCCGGCATCCCTCACCTGCAAGAGGCCAAATCTGCCGTCAAGGAGCCCTTCGGTCTCGGCATCGCAGGTACTGGCTCAAAGCATCACCACGAGTCAAGGGACATCCTCTCCTCCTCGCACGACCCCGGAGCGAGAGCTGTGGCTGAGTACCATGGATGGGCTGCCACTCGCCAGGAATTTTCGCGTGGTGGTCCTACGGCGGCGAACGATTCGGGAACTCGCATGGATGCCTTTCACCATGGCCGCTCCCACCCCTCTCCTGAGAAGAATCCCAAGCCTGGCATGATGAAGCATGTGGAGGTTGGACCCCGCAACCCGGTGTCGCAGCCTGCTATCAAACAGGAGATGCCGGATGATATGCCGTACACGATCCAGCGGTCTTATGGTCCCCCGATCCCCCATCCCATGCCCGACCCCGCCACCCTCAACGGCAAGAGAGGCAATGGCACGAAGCACAAGCTGAACGAGGTCGTCCATGGCAACAACGACGAGACCGACACGACCGACAAACGCCGCATCCGCCGCAAGCTCAGCGATGAGGACCGCGACGCCGATGCTCCCCGCATCCAGAAGACCAACTCTTTCGCCGGGCAAGGGCCCACTACCTTCATGCCTTCATCCAGTTCGCCGGAGCGTCGCCCCCCTCTCCACTCGCAGGGCAGCTTCTCCCTCGGCTGCGTCCCCTCTTCCTCTGCCCCAGAAACTCGCCCCACTCTCACCCCGGGCAGCAGCTTCAACAACAGCACGACCGCCTCGCCCCAGGTCCGCTCCCCACACGACACGCCCCCAACTTCGCAAGCAGCTCGCAACTGGGGTCGCGTCCTGAGTGTTCCGCGTTTCAACCACCTCACCGACGAGCAGAGGCGCGACGAGGAGCAGCGGGCCGATTTGCGTATGCGGTTCGTGCAAGCTGAGCGGGAGGCGCTTGAGACTGCTATCAAGCTCAGGATTGTCCAGGCAGATGAGCTCCGTCAGCAGCTGATCTATTTGAATCTCAGAACAAGCTATTCGGCAGTGGACTATGCGGCTGATTTGTAAGCCTTGGGCGTGGCCATCCATGGATTGATCGAAGGTATGTTGCATGAATGAAGGGAGATCTCGATAGAGGCTAACGGATGTTCGCAGGTATTGCTGGATGGTGATGGGGCGTCTCAGCATGGGCCGGCTAAGACGATCACGGTGGATGGAGGTTGGCGGCTATAGTGTCTAATGCTGGATGGCTTGAGGGATTGGGATTTCTGGGGTTTCGGAATGAGGGGTTTGACTCACAATATTCCAATGCGATCCATAGGATGCCTTTCCTTTGAGATGCGACAGGTTTCCTCTTTTCCATAGATGAACTGAAGGGTTTGCATGACCGAAGCTGTTGAGATCGTGTGACGTGGAGACATGCATGCGTGGCAAGATGATGACGTCGAACCAGAACTTGCTTACCTAGGTAGTTGGGAACGTACAGTGTCTAGAATTCTGTGCACACCTGTTTAGCACTACTTGGGGTATTCCCGTGGGAAGATCAGACTCCAAACACGATGTGAAGGCCCGCGCAGTGCATACCATACTGCCGTTTGACTGTTCAGGGACTTACTGGCTGAGGTCCTCCGCACAGTGGTGTTGAGCGAGCAACTGTAGAGATCCAGAAGTGTGGTATTCATGTACCCAGAGAGTCATGATCTGATACCGTATGTATCTAGGTGCTGTTCATAGCGGTCGTATGCAAGAATGAAAGGAAGCTCAAGTGCGGGCCAAAGTTGATTGGAAATGAGTGAATCACGAGCCAGTCATTCATTCATTAGAAAGCAAAAAGCAAAAAAAGAATTCGATCATAGCGAGTCGAACACTGTTCCCGGAAGCAAACCTCTAACCCGAAGGCAGAGGGAAAGTTCACCAGTAAGTACCCAGGGCGTCCCCTAGATATCTTTCAAAGGCTTTTTTGTGCTTGAGATCATCTCCACGGGAGCAGGGTAGGGCGCCTCTACCACTGCACTAGAGTCGACTTTCTCTATAATGGTGGCGTAGAATATAATGCCCTGAATGCCCATAGGATAATGACACCACGCTTGTATTCACAGGAGCGGTAGACTCATGTGCCGTCTCGCTTAGTGCTCCAGCATGCTTGTTGACGTTGGCCATCCCGGCTGACCTCCTCTACCGACAACACATCACACCTTCGGTTGAACGTCGTCCACAGCAACATGGACCTGATGAAGTCACTCATCATCTCCGGGAATTGCTCTGATGCCCCATCCACTCCATCCACAGAGACCGCCCTGGTCGACTTAGACCTCGTCCAGTCACTCCTCTTCCCCGAGACGCGCACGGATCTCTCGCAGGTTGACTCCAACTCGGCATCTCCCAGCAGCCAACCGAATCCAGATTCCACGAAGTCGGCAATGGTCCCCGCCGCATCGAAGATCCTCTGCGAGTGTACTGTGGAGCGCGAGAAGCTGATGGACACTCTGTGGAAGTGGCCTCAAACTGGTGTCCTAGTGCTCAACGCCTGCGACCGCACATGCAGATTCTGCCTCGAGGGCATGGGTTACAAGGTCTCGAGTAGGAACAAACAGCAGCGCAACAACCTATCCGAGCTGGTGCACCACATCATGGACTTCCACATCTTGCCCGGGAAGCGTCGCGGTCATCCCCCGAATATGCCGGGCCTGATCGTGAGCGGCCATGTCCACCATATTCACCGGGTCGGGTAAGTCTCCTGCCCTGACAGGGAAGGGATTGAAGCCCCTCAGGCAGCATCAACCAATACTAACTCTAAGACTTGTAGCGATCCTACCCATGCACCTGACCCCGTGCAGGGTCACCCGGACAAGAAGCGCAAATAGGACGCGGCCATATCCGGTATCATGTCTATCATGCAGGATCTTCAAGAGCCGACGCAGATCTTGACGCTCTCTCCCATCGTTCCGATTTACGAGATCGATCCGCGAGAGTAAGTCCCGGCAGCGCGAATCGACCTAGAAACCTGCTGACTTTTCCCGTGTGCAGGACCATAAAGGAGGAGACTAAGGAGCCGCAGCTCTAGTCAAAACGGATGCGCACAACGCCAGATATGCGGCCATAGGTCGAGCGGATAGGAGTAGCACGGGGCTTGGAGCGCCTGTGCTCTTGAATATGGCCTGGTACTAGAATTGGCGTCCTCTGGGCTCGGATTTGGTATATGTGTAGCAGAATTGGGTATCTCCTAGACTCATCAGACACTCATCAAAACACTCACAAACCTGCGATGAAATTGAACGAGAGATGACTCACATGATGACGGAGCGTAATTCAAAGTGTTAAGAGACTGGATTGTTTACACTAACGTAACGCTGCATGAAGTCCTATGACACATTTTCAAAAACCAGGGCAATGATAAGAACTCGACAGCGAGAACCAGGCGCGCATTTAAGTACTTGTGATGGGCCAGCTACCGCTTCGAAGCTAGTCCAGGAATGTAGCCAGAGTCCAAAAAGATCAAAATCTCTGATCGATTTTGACTGCAATATAGCGGCTCCTGGCGTGGCATCATGAATCAGGCAGAGTCACGAGCCGCCAAAGGCTAGTCGGAATCACACTGTCGCGAGTCTTATATCCAGTTCCGAGGCCTGGAATTGCCTTGAGACACTGCAGACGGCGGTAAGAAAAAGACAAACAAATGCGTCTTTCCAAGAGAATTAAGAATGATATATTTCTTCATAAATTAAAAATAATACGAATTTGAATGCTTGCGCTTGCGCTTGCGACTACAGACGGAGAGAAGATGGCGAATGCTGTTCTTGAAGTGACGCTCGAAGACGCAACGCGATGCCAGTTATCAAAGATGGAAAGGAAACAAGCAAATTGCTATGAATGGCTAGCTTTCTCACTCTGTCGTAGCCAGGCCGCTCTTCTGGTGACGCTGACGCGCCTATCTGTCCGCCCCGCACTCTACCAATTTTCGGCATTGGGAGCCGAAACTGGCCTAGCTGAATGGGGCCGTATCACAATCTCTCAGCCTGGAGACGGGCGCGTGAGATGATTTGGCCAATCTCTTCCCTAGGCAGTGAGCTGTTCGGGATTCGGCGGGCGTATCGATCCCGTGACGCTTCTTACGGCGAATAGAGCTCAACTCCAGAAAGTTGTCGCATTCCTTGCGCAATTAACAGCATTCATTCCGGTCCGGGAGCGCGTGGCCTCTCGTCAGCGATGTTGCTATTCGGATTCTCTGCGCGACTCCTGTGGCTCTTATGGCTTTGATGCGATCGGTGGCTTCGGTGGCTGGAGCGCCGTCTGTGGCTTCTTCGCCTGGATTGGTCCGGGTTCAGTCCGGCTCTTTGCTTCACTTTCTCCAAGACCGGCCCGAATTCGAAGTGGCCGTCCGCGCGATCGTGTTTTGTACAAGGACTGTATTTGATCGGAAGGACCCAGTCGAGATATCTGTTGCCTAGAATGCTCTTCATGTTGCGAACTACACCAAGGTCCCATGGATTGTCGCCCGGATCGGTTTGTAGAATGGTGAAGTTCCGAGCGAAAACAGTTTTCTCTCCTTTGGGTTGTTGCATGGGCCCGGTGCCAGTAAAGACTGCGAGACTATAAACGACGTGGCCTTTATTGAGATTTTCGATTGTCGTTAAGTTTCGTGCGGTGGAAACGAGCGAGCTGATGCTCATTCCGAAGGAAAACAGGCCGAAGACGGAAGCAAGAGCTATGGCTACGATCCACGTGGTTTCATAGTGTCCAGTCTACGATCAGAAGTTAGCTCAGATTCTGCTGGATGTAATGTGACATCGCGCCTAGATTTCGGGATCCACGTTGGCCCACCCCGAACAGTAGCAAATGAGTAGTAGCACCACCCATCGAATGGAAAGCCTCTACATGGTGACAATGTCGGAAGGCCTCCCTCCTAACTCCGCGGAAGTCCTTCGAGGAGCTGTGGGACTACGCCAAACATCTGGGCACACCGATACCAATGCTTGAGTGCCGCTTTGCAAGCCAGACATAAACTGTGAGGAGCAATCCCGTTGCCAGGAAACCGTTCAGTCAAGAGGCAGCTCAGCTTCTGCTACATAAAGCTTGGCATTGCGCCTGGATCTTGGAAACTCAATAGGGGCACCCCGCAGTGACAAACGCGTGTGCACAGAATTATGGCCTCTCGTTGTATGAAGGTGTGTAGAGAGCGAGTATAGACAATAGAACACATGATATAGTATAATGTCCTGACCGGAAACCAACACGGGGCCACTCCCAACAATGGCGAACGGGTGTGCACAGACTTATGGACGAAGCTAGGATAAAAAAAGTAGCGACTCACCTTGTGCTTTCGCTCCTGCATCAGAACACCCAGGGTGACAATCAAGAAGAAGTTGTAGAAGAAGCCGTAAAACAGGAACTGCAAAAAGAACTTCATGTTGTGCTCCGATATGATGCCTCCCGCCCAAGGACAGAAATGGTCCATGCGGCGCACACAGCGTTCAACCTCACTGCAGTGATGTGTACGGTCTGGCTTGAAGTTGTTGCAATGGTCACAGAACCGGGGCTTCCCGCTGCTATCACAGACGAAAGCGTCCTTCGTTGTGAACTCCGAGCCTGGTATACCTCCCTTCTGCGAGGCATTTCCGAGAGGAATATACCCGGGATCCATCCATATCACCTGAAGGGTGCGGAAGTACGTGATGGCCATTAAGAACAGCAAGATAAAGTATAGAACGAGAACGGCGATGGCGGCTCCCCGTCGGGGGTGTATATGAAAGTTGGCTCGGTACGATTTAGGAGGATTAAGCAGGTACTCGACTGTAAATCGTCAGCATCAGTGTAGCAGCCTAACAGTCTGAGCTAACAAGTGACTGACCTGCGACTTTCACTACTATGCACCATGTTCCATAAGCTGCGGAGCCGATCAATATGAGCGGAATAATGATGGCTGTCCAACGGGACACAGCCCTCTCGACGGGTGTTCGCGGCATGGAGGATGACAAGCACACGGCGCATCAGGCTTGACGAGTTGCTGGTAGACGCCGAGGGGCCATGCGGTGCAGATGAGGCAGGCCGAAGGTTGGTACAGCTGGTCGCGACGCGGATGAGGTCGCAGTCGAGACGGCTAGACAGGCCTTGGCATTACATCCCATTGGTGGCGTTACTATGGCACGTGACGTCTCTCCTTTCCTTCTCCCCCCTCTCTATACGTGCTATTTCTCTCTAGAGCCTCAGACCTTTATGTACGCCTCTCTACGACTGCTTGAGGTGCTCCGACTTATCCTTGAGAATTCAAACTCGATTCAACCTGAGCAGGTTGAGAACAACCAGTAGACTAAAATCTCGAGAACACCTAAGTTGCTGGCAAAGAGCCGCACACAGGATAGTCCTGGCACCGGATGCTGGTATTCAAGGAATGGTGGTGAGTCTCGATAATTGGGCACGCGAGAGCGCTCTATTTAGGCTCAGCCTATTAATAGCTAGGATCGATATGGTTGATCAATGCAAATCTAACTTCACGACATTATCCTCACACTTGATTAATACACAATCCCATCCTCCACCATCAATAAGAATCCAATGCGTCTCAATTCAGCCGCGCGATACTCTCAAAGGAAGGCGTTTCTACTCCAAAAGTATGTAGGGTGCGCTTACTGATCAACTATGACGCAATCAGTATAGCGGAAAGAAAAGAAAGCGACAACACCCCTCAGCTCAACTCCAACGCGCCCGCAGTTGGACAATCTCCAACCTTCTGATAAAAATATATCTTCACCGGTATTCATGGACCATTCATTGCGCCTAGATGCGCCCGGATCCGCGGTCAATAGCTTCCTCAGGCGTCGCAAAATGTTCATTTTCACTCACCGGGAAAGAAGGCGACGGGGCTAACATTCCTGACACTCTTCTGCCTTCTCAGCCTTGTGCCTTCGGGGCCCAAAACTACCCTCATCGGCCGCCCCATCATAAGACGCGCCAGCTATGCTCCGACGGGGACCATTTAGGTGGACCGATACCTCACACATGCGAGATAGCATGCCACAATAGACCACCTATTAGCCCTGGCGTACCTAAAAAGACACGCCGCGAGAGAATTGAGGCTCAAGAACAGTCCGTCGTAAGGCTGAGCTCGATATAAAAGATGAGCTGCGCCTGGTTATCTTTTCAACTGCTCACCGCAACTTTCCCTCGACGGGCTCCACGTGAGGCGGCCCCAAGGCTGTGCTCCAAGGCCGTTGTTGGTCAACAGCTTTGCTGTTTATGCCTTGCTCTACTTGTCTAGCCAGGCAGCACTCCGAGTGTGCCGAAACGGAACCATGAGAACATTAGGCACTGAAGAAAGTGCAGGTGGACGCACCTTGGAGCATCGCGGGGGCTGAGCGCTCTCATTCCCTCCCTATGCTCCAACATCTGCTAGCTAACAGGGACATAGAGCTCTGCCATCCCCTGGAAGTCCTTTCGCGGGTCTGCCCAACGATGCCCTCTTCACCGACTGCCTCATCGCCGCCTCATACAACCGCCTCGCCCTTCGCAAAGCCACCGGACGCGCATGATCAAGGCGGATACACGTAGCTGAACAGGAGGAGGCCGTGCAAAGCCAGGTCCTTGAAATACCTTTGGCGATGTCGTCCGCGCCGAGGGCGAGAAGACTTGAGGAGCTTGGGCGAGAAGACTTGAGTAGCTTAGGCGAGTTCCTCCCCACAGTCACGACTTGAAAGATGGGACTAGTGCTCGGCTTTGCAGTGTGACGGTCCGGCAGCGGACGTCGAGGCCACCCTACGGCCGCGATGTGGCCGTGTATCCGCCTGTGGCCTCCAAACCGCGTCGTCGCGAAGTCAGGAGATGTTAAACCAAGCTCTTGTGTAGCTACGCCGCGCGGCCGCATTGCCTCAGCCCGCATACTACGATTTGCCTTAGAGCTCGACGTCTCTGCCCAACGGTCACGTCTCTCGCCCAGCACAGCCTCCTTGCCAATCGATTTCTTGCTAGTTTGAATGTCCTTGGCTGAATGCTCGACGCGCCTTATTATCACTGTTATCTATGAATATTGTTATTTTGTATTTCGCTATTGGCGTTCACAAGTCACGTTGTGCTGTATCCCTGTTTAAGTGCTCTTATCGGCCGCACTTATACCCACCGGCCTCATCACATTCAGGAGGGCCTCTCAGGGGTTGAACATGTTCAAGCAGGCAGCTCGATGCCGCCGAGACGACTGTTGTGCCTACTCACCGTTTCATTACGATCTTCGACAAACGTCTCGGCGTGAGATACTCCCTTTCGTTGTGATGCTCACTAGTTCCCTTAGTTCGAAGGCAAAAAAAGGCATACACCGGGATCCCATTTAGTCATTTGAGCTCATATCACGGGCTCTCCGACGAAGGCCTCCACCCAGTCACAAACGGATCTTCCACTACCGCACACCTGAATGGCCAAAGGCCCAAGCCTACGCCCATGTACTGATCACATTACTCCTCCGACATAACATACCCGGCACGCATCTCGTCTGCTATGCTTCTCGCCGGCATTTTGCGTAGGACCACCATGGTCTTTCGCTTCCATCCTGGAATACCGGCTCCGCCACCTCCTACAACTTGCTTCCTCGCCTCACTATCATCTACGCCTACTGTTTTTCCGGCGCCTGAGCTCGGTATCGGTCTGCCCAGTCTGCCAACCACAGCTGCAAGTGACTCGCCCTATTAGCCTGTCCCGCGGTATGGCTGATATCCAACCATACCGTCGTCATCATGCCCTGTTTACCCCTGACGTTCCTCTTCTCGTTTCTCAAGGGTCCACTTCTCATACCCGGAACTCTCATTGCTTTCGCCCTCTATGACTCCCGTGGGCTAATTTGCGCAGCTCTCACGGCCACCATTGCCCGACGCCCTTTTTGCCCTTTGTCTCAGCTCACTTGGTCCTCCAGATGCCTGCGGCCTCAAGGCACCTAGGCATTGTCATTCTCTTCCAGCTATAGCTCAGCCATGCGTCCTTCACTCCTCAGGCTGCTTCTCCTTTCGTTGATATTTAAGCAATCACCCTGATAATCACTGCATTATCATCTCAACCACTCCGTCAATCACCCCTTTCAATCACTGTCCTCACTTCCACTCCACGACACACCACCGATCCAATGGCGGTACAATCCAAACTTGAAGGCCCGACAATGCGCGGCCCTAGTACTTACTATTACTGCTGCCAGTGTGGAGACGGCCCACAAAACATCACCATACAACCCTCTTGTATCAACTGTGGCCATAAAGGGGTATGTGTTTGTCCGTTCAGCTGTTTCTCCAATGATGCTAATTGTCTTCAAGTGCGATGGATGCAGTTCAGATAGCAAGGAGTGTGTTGACTTTGACGACGATCCTCGCCTACCAGGTTCCACGCCTGTCATGTCTTTCGTCGGCAAAGTTCTAGTCAGCGCTTCTGACTCCTATGGTCACAATTTGGCCCCGATGCCGTCGCCTAGGCCTACTATACCCACCATTGACACCGTATCCAACGAAATCCGCGCCCATCACCACAATCTATTCGATCATCAGTCGTTTTCTACCGCACATCTCCCTGTGCACCACACTCATGGCAACGACTCAATCCCTTGCGGAGACCCGACTGATGGTGGTAAGGGCTGGGTCTGGTACTGCTGCAAATGTGGCGATGGCGGTCTGGGACCTATGACGGTGGGATGCCCAATGTGTGGGGAAGTGAAGTGCAAAGACTGCAAGATCGAGTATGTTTAGTGATTGAGGAGGTCCGCATTTGTCACAATCAAATTGCTGTAGCGTAAGCGTTCCATTTATCCTGTACACAAAGTCAAACTAACGAACGATAGGTTTCTTTTCGGCGAATTGTAGGCACAATTGCAAGCGCTTTTGAAGGTCTTTTGAGCATCCTTGAGAGGAGCATCTGTTCTGTGCCTGTAAATGGGTGGCTACAGAATCTCCGGTGTTTATGCACATCCTACCGCGCAGAGTTCTCTTTATCCGGACCTGGGTTTTCTTTAAGTTCCTATTTGTTTTGAGCTATCGTTGATTTGTCGAGCATGTTGGGAATCTCTTTGGCGTTTCAGCAAGCAAGCATCCTGGTGGCGCCCTTATCTCTTTAAGATTCACTTCCCTCGCGAGGCTGGATACCTGGCATGAATTATACCTGATTGACATTACATATTGGCTTTTTGCATGCTTTTTCACCTATGCGAATTTCGCCTAAGTTGCGAACTCCTCAAGTGCGGCAGTCTTCCATGTTTCGCCAATCCGCCTTCCTACAGACCATCAACTCCTCATCTCATCTCAACACTGTAGAAAAGTGCAACCACTCACCTCACTGTGTCGCCTCTCTGCCCAACGCACAGCCACTCCCGCCCAGTCGCCCTTATAAAGGCCAGCAGTCACATTTGAGTTTGAGACAATGGCAGGGGACGGCGGCGGTTGTGGCGCCGCCCATGGATGGGTCTAATCTCCGTGCCAGACACGAGCTGAGGTGAGGCTACTACGAGGGCGTAGAGAAGGGGCGACAATCATAAGTGGTACTCTCACCACAGACCCCCATGTCCAGGTACACATTTGCGGAGGTGCGACATCAGCTCGTGTCTATTCGAGTGGACAGCAGCACTGCCGGAGATGCCGACGCTGGCTTCAAGGTGCGAAAGGGCAATCTCCCTCATGTGTGCCTTTCATGAGCCCAACCAACGTGATTTGCGCGTAATGCGGGTGCCCGTAGGCTCCAGCAGCGGCGGATTTGGGCAACTTGAACAACCTTGCTTTCCCTCAAAACTCTCGGACTTCCGGCGACGGGAACTCGCCGTCAGGTTGATATTGATACCCAAGGCGCATCTCATATACCTCTGATTTCCCAATCGCCCTTTCAGCTCTTGGGCTAGCTTTCTCTTGTGCCCTCACGGGTCACGGGTCACGACGCAAAGGCAACGTGCAGGTGGTCGCAGTCTCTGGGCGGCCTCAGGCCAGGCAGCCATCACAAACTACCAAACCGGCAATGTTTTCCCTCCCGTACGCCTTCTGAGGCGATTCCGAGGTTCATGGAGCGTGAGTCTACACGGGGGTGACGTGTGCGGTCAATTCAAAGATGAGGCTCCCGGCTTGCAGGATCGGGTGCACTTGAGCCTCCACATTCCTTGTAATCGGCCTTCGCCTGGTGCATCCTTTACATGGGGGGCTTGAATTTTGTGTGGCGATGGTGGTGGTGTGGGGAATGAATTGTTTTGGGGAAGTGGTAAGTGGTGAGGTGTGGATGATGTGCGCTGCGGTGTCCGAGGGAGGAGCGGGTGGCTCGATAGCCTTGTTAGACAACAACGCCCGGGGGAAGACAGCCTTGTGCGAATAGGCGACTTGACGAGGGGGCGGTGTAAAGGTTCTAGACTTTCGCTTCCTCGTCGAAATTAGAAGGTTGTTGAGTGGTTATTTACTGTGCAGATGTAGAGATGCTGATGTGAGGTCAAGTTTGGGTCACGTGTTGTTCTCGTTGGACTATACTGCAATACCTTTACCGGCTCTATCATGGTAGAAAACCCACAAGACTCCCTAGGCCATACGGGAGGCGCATACTTTACGCTGGTCTCAAACATCGCCTTGGTCAACCAAAGGTCTTGAGAGAAACTCCGTTCTTCTGTAGCTATACGCTGATTGGCCACGATCCACTACAACCACAAGAAGATAAGAAACCACTGTGAGCCATCAAATTTCCGGAACGTGACTAGTGTGTCTCTTATTGTATAATAGATGGGGAGGTTCTAACAAAAAGTAACATCTCGAAATAGTCACCTGATCATCCTTGGAGGGGTCTGAGCCTGATGGCTGCCGCAACGATCAACATTCATCCTCAATGTGTAGCAAAGATGATCCCACGCATTCGCAAACAACTCAAACGAAGATCTTTCTTGGGAAGCAAGAATCCTCCAAGTACGGCGCGGAATAGCTTAGATCCGATCACCCCTTCTCCTCTCCTCTCTCTTCCCCGTGAAATCCGCGATACAATTCTCGAACTCGTCATATCCTCTTCCCGAGCACCTCCGCAAGATACTAGTGAGGCGGAGCCTCGATCGCCCTCAGCTACAGAATGGCAAGCAGAAGAAATATCCGGCTTCGACGCCTGGTATCATAGCCGAACGCCATTGTACTTTGAACCGCGCGTTTACATCTCCAACAGCGCCCCTCTGCTCCTCGTAAACCACCAAGTCTCCTCCGAGACCGCTGCTGCGCTCGCTCGGCTCAATCTTCCGTACGAGCTCGATGTAATCTTTTCCAACGAGAACTCGCTATGGCCCAGCTGGTTGTCCGTCCCCAGGCTCTCCAACCAGCTCGATCAGGTGAATGTTACGTTCCGGATCTGTGGTTCCGAAAAGATTCTACCCAAATGGATGAGTGGATGGGGTCAAGGGAACGGCGCGCCACCTTGGCTAATGTGGCTCTTCTATTACCTGCTGGAATATGTGCTGAGGCGCGGACCTGTGCCGCATACCGATTCGTCTGTTGATCGGGAAGTCACCATCAAGAATCTGGATCTAAATTTCGTCGGCAAGAACGACAAGGAAGAAATCTACGGCGAGACTGCTCGCCCTATTGGGGAGAATTGGAAGCACACGCGGTACTACAACCAATCCGCATTATACCAGGGGGAGGAGGAGGACAAAGTCCTGAGGCCCGAGTGGCTCGCTAGTTTCCTCATGCTTCGCTTCTTGAGCCTACTTGAAATGGGCTACCACACGGCGAAGTATGGTATGGTTTTACATGAGAGAATCGGAAGTATTCAGTTCAGAGTGAATGGGGAACATTTTGCGCTGTTTAAGATCGGAACGGTGTTGCGGACACTAGAACATCACGACGCTGGACATACTTTCGGCAATCTACCGAGAGAGGAACGAGTTGCTGCATTTCGGGCGTGGAAAGAGAATGCATTGAGGAAGAGGGAGGAGCGTGGGTTGCCCGTTTGATGACCGAATAGCTGGCTCGCGAGGCTGTGACTCTATCTGCACAAAACCTCCATCTGCACATTGCAACTGCAACGGTAATCGCCTCGCAGCCAAAAACGCTAAAAGCACCTAGATGTGTGTGAATATACGCGCCTAGGCTAGATTTCAGCACAATCGGACCAAATTGAAGAAGTCAAGCTCATCAAATTCACACCTTTACAAGAGGGGTTATGGGCGAGAGGAACGATACTGTCGGCCAACTCTTAATTTCGTACATAAGAACGCTCAAGTACTAAACAGGACATATAAGAGTTTAAATAGCAACGGTACCTCCGTAAACCCTACTTAAGGTTCAAGCTCAAAATCCCGTGATCGTCACGTGAGACTTCACGCTAACTCTCTTGACCACGAAAGACGGAGCGCCTATCCACACATCCTGGCTTCTCCCACCACACACTTCAAGAAGCTCAGAGGGCTGTGTCACACCCAATGTTCAGAGTTGTGCTTGGCTTGCCAAGGTGCTGTCCTCGATCCGGAACTGGCGACATGGTCCAAGGTGGCTGAGTAGACATTACCACAAAGTGCAATATACGCAAGGCTAACTAGTTCTATCTAGGCAGAAGACTTTCAGCACAGCCTAGAGTGGCTAGATATAGAATACATACATTCCCATTGTTTTACCGTCTTACACATCATTCACGAGCAATAGGATATGACCATGGGTAGCAACATGTCCTCGCCCTCCCAGCCTCGCGCCCCGTTTCCTTCCACGGGAGAGAACCCGAAGCCAACGCAAAGCCGCGCCCGGCCACCGAAAACTTGGATGATGAAGGGATATACGTGGATGAAAGAACATATTTGTTTTCGTAAGCCTTCTTAATCTCCTACTCGAATACTGGGAATGAACCGCTGCTAATTTTTGTTACACGTAGATGTGCCATGGAAGCGTAAAAATGGTGCGGTAAGCTATCCGCATCATCAAGGAATCTCATCGGAGGGGTCACGATGGGACCGGAATGATTGGTTTGGATGAATGGAAAGGTCAAGGAAGGTTCCGGAGTAGAGAACCATTTTTTTTAACATAATCTCGACAATGATTACGCTGTTTCACATATGATATCTCGCTTGAAATTCTTGTAGTGTGTTAGAAGCCTTGAGATAGCGTCATCGTGTGCTTTTCAATCCGAGGGCGAACGTGTTGGCTCGCACGGAGCATCGTTCTCTTCACATGTTTCATGGGTTTCTCGTCGCGAAAATCGACAGATCAGATCATAGTGAGAAGAACGCTGACGAAGTTCAAAACACGGCAAAGTCCTGCAAGAGGTTTGGAAACTCTGAAAACGTAACGTCAAAGTCACTCTCTGCTGATTGCTCCTCAGCGGCTTGGGACGTCTCCTTGACTCTGAAAGAACTCCACGAGAAACCTGTATCGCGTGGCTGCCAAAACATCAAGCATCCGCTTAGGGAATATAAAGCATCAAGTCTAGACCATCTCGATATATGCAACTCCTGCTCCCGAATCCGCATGCGCCACTCCCACTGCAACACTGAGTCGTACGGACTGGCTCCACTTCATACTTCTTGCCGCATCAATATCTCCCTAAATCTTCCAGCCCGATTCGAAAGCCTTCGTCTGCTGTCCCGTTTTCCTGACCAGCCAAAAAGAAAAATCTTATAGCCTACGTAGGTAGCACTGCTACCAGAAGCGCATTTGACGTTGTGGGGATTCACCTTAATCGGTGACCATATCGGGGAATCATAATTCTGTCATCGGAACCTTTCCGTCCCAACCCAAAGTAGGGTTGGAAGGAAAAAAAAGAGCTTACACCCAAAAAAACAAACTAAGACTTACATTTCAGACGGCCCCCAGCCTGACCGTCATGGCGGACCCCATTGATTAACTACTTCAGGATCGGTCCGCCTCCACTCCGAAAACCATGCAGCCTCTTATCGAGTGCAAATACATGATTCACGGTCCAACAACCTTGGGAATCGAACCCTCGGCGCTGGCAACGCATAGCACACCCACCAGGGTGACCACTGCATAAAGCTGCTAGATACGTTATTGACCACTCAAAATTAAATGATATTTAAGGCCTTAGGAGAGGACCTCACTAGTGATCTCTTGCGCGTGCCATTTCACAGCTGCCGTTTGTACGTGTGACGTGTCACTAGTTCCCACGGCCTAATTTAGAGACTGTATCAATAACTCGCCGAAATTGACTCCAGATCGGACGGACTGGCTCCCGTTCATGCTTCTCACAACATCAAAAGAAATCTCCACTTTATGGTCTAGTACAGCGTCCACATCAGTAGCATGCGAAATCACGGCTGCATTCGAGTGCCTCTTCTTATCCTTCTCGTACGTCTCCAGAAGTTTAAGCCGAACCCTGCAAGCTGGGAAAGTTAGGGAGCGGTGCGGCCTTGAGAGCTTCAACTCACCATGTAAACAACACAACCTCGCTCTCTCACGTCAACAACAAAGCGCATGGCTTCAACCCAAACCAACTACGTATACTCCTACGAGGCCAGCTTACTACCATCAACTTCGTTTCACCTCATGCGACTTCGTCTCGCAGAACTTCACATCCTCAGTCCTCCCATTTCAGCCACCTGACCTTTCTGAAGACACCTTGCCCGTGATCTGGTGAAGAAACGTCGCGTGCAAACGCGTTAGCGTCATAAGACGCGAAGTCTTCCTCACACCTGCCAACCTACATAAACATCGCACAGACCCTCCGTGTTTCCTCTCAACCTACCTCACAACGCACCTCACCCCTTTCATCCTCCTTCCAACCCCCTCTCTTCCAAACACAACAACGCCAGCCAACCGCCATCATGAGCATGGACCCAGCTCCGGACGTCCAGCTCGTGCTAGCCTACGACAAGGTCCTGCCGCTGCACTCCAGCGTTCTCGCCCGCCACTCGAAGCGCTTCGCTAGCATCCTGACGCATGAGTTCGCGGCGGTGCTCTGCCAGCGCGCCAAGCAGCAGGGCGTAACGATCCGCTGGCGCATCGAGCTTCGCGGCGTCGGCGTCAATGGGAACAGCGTTGGTAGACTAGTTGCACGCGTAAGCAGTCCCCCAAAGCAGAACCAGAAGCTCTCGGAAAAGAATCTGACACAGCATACGCACAGGAACTCGACACCATGGGCCAGCTAATCCAGAACCCCTCCTACGGCACCATGATCCCGCTAAACGAGAACGGCAAGGTCCCGACCAAGTACTTCGAGTACTACACGGGCATCATCGGCACCTTCTACGGGCAGGAGCTGACCCTCAACGACGTGGGCATCCAGTCCGCGCTCGAGGACGCCATCGGCCTGATCGAAGTCGCCGAGTACCTTGGCTCCGTCGCCGCGGTGTCGAAGAACATCGACCTCGCGCTCATCAAGCAGGGCCAGGTGCTCTTCCGCTCCATCGCCAACAACCCGCTCGAGTGGGTCGATCTGGCCGTGCGCATCACGTCCGAGATCATCTTCAAGGAAGCGGTTGTCCATCTTGTGGGCCGCTGGAACGAGTTCTCCTCGGCGCAGAAGAGCGCGCTGGGGAAGGACGTCAAGCGGGTGTGTCTGAAGCACGCCGACCACCTCAGTCGCCAGCGTCGCGCGCTCGAGCTGCAGATGGGGGTGATGTACCCCGGTGGCATCACCCACCCGCCCAATGCGGCCCCAGTGAAGCGCGACACCTACGCCGCGGATATCATGATGTGGATGGCCGTGTGTCTGTTCCGGCAGTGGCTGATGCAGCAGATCATCCAGGACAAGACCTTCCGCGCTAAGGATGGCGGGTATGCGCTGTACAAGCAGTTGAGCGAGGCGGGAGACAAGTATCTCAGCCGGCAGACGATTGCGCCGTTCTTCAGGAACTTCCCGATGACGAAGAAGGGGCAGAATGTGTTTGAAAATCATCTGCTGGAGCTGAAAGAGGTGGTCAAGGGGAGTGTTGCCAAGAGTGGGCTGTTGGAGAGCGAGAGTGCGTTGGATACGGGGAAGTTCAAGGTTCCGTGGCTGACGTGCACCGTCGTGGACAAGGCCGACTTTCCGTGGGTAAAGAAGGGACCCATCTTGGGGCAGAAGAGAGTGAGGGATGAGACTCATGAGAATGACGAGAATGAGATCGACTGGGATGAGGACTTGGAGGCTAATGCGGACAACAAGAGAGTCAGGGAGTAGGGGAGGAATGCTTGGAGCTGGCCCGTCAGCAAGCATTCTCACCTTTCAGCATTCACCGTGTTTGTGTTGAAATTCTCTCTGTTCTGCTTGGTCTCATTTACTGTTGGCTCGGATTTGGGCGACATTGGGCGACTTCCAGGACACCTGAGCTCAATCCGGTGTCTATCAAGTGTTAACAGCGATCAAAAGCCCCAACCTTGATATTTGACCTCCCCCCCAGTTCTGTCTTTCCTTGGTTTTGTCACTGCTAATCAGGCTTTGACGGCCCTCAGCCATCGGCGTTCAAAAGGACCTAATTTGATATTGGTGTCCCACTCAACTGTCTATTTCCTTGGGTTTTCGATGTTTTGGGGTGGAAGTGGATGCATTCAAGCTCAGACCAAGCCGTCGCCCGACTCGGCAATGTTTATACAGTAGTCAATCCTCCTCTCCCTCCATCAAACACTCGCTCAGTGCTCCCTCCGCGTGATATCAATCGCCCTCCGCCCTCCCACACCCCCTCAGCATCTAATCATCGTACCCCTCCGGAATCTGCCGCGGTCCCTTCGGTACTACACGCACCATTAGCCCCATCATCTCACATCCCACCCAACTCCAATCTTCCCGCGCTTTGGCAAAACTGATATACATACTCGGATACGTCAGCGGTATCTTCGGCCTGTCCTCATCCCCAAAGTACCTCCGAACCGGCGGCACCGTCACCATGCTGACGGGCCCCAGCGAGCCGACGATGAGCGAGTAGAAGATGGCGGGTTTTTCGTGGGCGGCCCAGCGCATGTAGCGGAGCGGCTGTTTGAAGAAGTAGGGGCCGGCGGTCGACATTGCGGGTTCGCGCGGCGAAGAGAGAGTAGGTGGTTAGGCGGGGGCACCGGCGTGCGATTGGGGGGTTCCGCGGGGGAATTGAGGTTGTGGCGAGCTTGGGGAGGCGGTTGGAGGTGAGGGTTTGAGGTTGGGAGTTGGGTGAAGTGGGTCGGCGAGAGCTCGGGGATTCTGGGAGAGGGCTTGGCGGAATGGAGCTACGTCTATGCATACGTCTCCCGCTTCAGGCTGGATAGCAACAAGAAACACGACACGACATACGACAGGCACCATGCGCTGGCTTTTTTCTTTCCTAGTGCTGGCGCTGCTGGGAGCGGTGCAGGCATTGAGTTCGAGCGGGAGTAGGTTGCTAGTAGTGCTGGAAGAGCTGGCGGAGAAGGACAAGTATTCGGAATTCTGGGATGACTTGCGAGGTGGGTGTTCACATTTCCAACATTTCCTCAATTCAATCCCTTCTCTCTTTATATCTGAGTAGTTCTCATGATACGGTTCTTTAGGCCGCGGCTACACCCTCTCCTTCGAGTCCCCCAAAAACGACAAACTCTCCATCTTCAAGCACGGCGAACGCGCCTACGACCACCTCATCCTCTTCCCGCCCAAGACAAAAGGCCTCGGACCGGCCCTCACCCCGAAGCTCCTCCTCGAGTTCCTCAAGAAGGACGGCAACGTCCTGCTCACCCTCTCCGCCGACCACCCCACCCCGAGCGCTATCGTCTCGCTGCTCCTCGAACTCGACATCCACCTACCCTCCGATCGCAACACCCTCGTCGTCGACCACTTCAACTACGACACCGTCTCGGCGGGCGAGAAGCACGATGTGCTCCTGGTTCCCGCCCCGAAGGCGCTGCGTGCGGACGTGAAGAACTACTTCGAGGTCGACGGCACGATTGCCGTCCCCCGCGCTGTCGGACAAGGTCTTGGGAACGCGACGCCGCATCTCGCGCCGATTCTGCGCGCGGGGAGCTCCGCATACAGCTACAACCCGAAGGACGAGGCCGAGATCGTGGAAGACCCGTTCGCGGTCGGCGAGCAGCTGTCGCTTGTGTCGGCGATGCAGGCGCGGAATTCGGCTCGCTTCACGGTGGTTGGTAGCACGGAGATGCTGCAGAACGAGTGGTTCGATGCTAAGGTCGGCGCTGTGGGTGGAAAGGAGCAGACGACCACGGCTAATCGTGCGTTTGCGGCGAAGGTGTCTGAGTGGACGTTCAAGGAGACTGGTGTGCTGAAGGTGGGACGGCTGCAGCATTATCTGAATGAGGGGAAGAAGAATGTGAATGAGAGCGCTGTGGGTGTGCCGGAGCATAATCCGGGTATCTATCGTATTAAGACGGATGTGGTATGTCTCCCTCTCTCCTGCTATCCCCATCCCTTCCAGTCACTAGTATTAACGATTCACGCAGTCATTCACAATCGAACTCTCCGAATACACCTCCACCCACCTCTCCCCCTTCACGCCACCCGCCACCGACGACGTCCAGCTCGAGTTCAGCATGCTCTCCCCTTTCCACCGCCTCTCCCTCACCCCGCTAGCGCAAACCGCCAACAGCACTATCTTCGGCACTTCCTTCGTCTTGCCAGATCAGCACGGCATTTTCAATTTCCGCGTAAACTACAAGCGGCCGTTCCTGACGTCCGTGGATGAGAAGCGTCAGGTCACCGTCAGGCATTTCGCCCACGATGAGTGGCCGCGGAGCTGGAACATCAGCGCCGCGTGGGTATGGGTCGGGGGCATCTGGGTCACGGTGGCTGGGTGGGTTGCGTTTGTGGCGTTGTGGCTGTATAGCGAGGGGGTTGAGAAGGGGGTGAAGAAGACGCAGTAAGTCTATTTGGCACAAGAGATAGGATTGGTGGATGGAGGAAAACTGGGAGGATGAGATGGACTGAAGGTAGTTGGTGTATCGATATAGACACATTTCCTTCTTCTGGGTATCGGTTTGGGATGGTGTTTGTCTGTATCTTTATCTTGAATGCTATCAAAAGTGTTTAGACTACTAAGCGTCCGTTCTGAGTTGGAATACAAGTGTGAGTGGCACAGGACATCATCCTGACTTCACGATGTGCTTGATTGAGCGATCGGAGATGTCTGGGCTACAGCTTTCTGAGCCTCTTTGGGTTTGGTATTCATGCCAAGCCATTATTTGGCCATCTCACAACCTCACTTTCGGTAAAACCTGCCCCATCTAAGCTACATCCGCGTCCTTGCCATCGCCTTATGCGAGCGTGGCAAGCTTCCTACCTAGTCTTCCATCACAGAGTCCGAAATGTTTTCGCAGATGGAGGAAGACACCTTCGCAGTGATCCCCCAATTGAAACTGGCACGTCCAATGCAGACAACAGGGGCGCAAATGCATGCACACAGCCGCACATCGCGCAGGGCAGACAGGCTGGAAATTCAGCTTCGTAGACATCTCAGCCAATTAATAGAGGCTGGCCAAGGCTAGACCTTCAGCCTTGTCGACATCTCAGGCAGCTGCTCAACTTATCCGTCTCCAACAATCTCGCTCATCCATCCTCTGCAACTCGCTCCGCACCATGGAATCTCTTGCGGTCCTTGGCCTGGCTGCTAACATCATACAATTTGTCGATTTCACCTCAAAGCTTTTCTCGCAATCCACCGCGATATATCGATCCATCAATGGCGTATCCGAAGAGACACAAGAGATGATCACGATCGCGACCGGACTTCAAACACTCTGTGCGCGTCTGACCTCAACACCATCGACGAATTCGGCCGGGTATCCTATGGATGATGAGCTCAAGTCTCTGGCACAGCAATGTAAGGCAGCTGGAGACCAATTGGTAGCCGCTCTCCACAGTCTGAAGGCTACGGGGACTCACAGGAAATGGGCGAGCTTTACTACTGCGTTGGCCAGTGTATGGAAGCAGTCCAAGATTGAAGCGATGAAAAAGAAACTGGAAACCTACAAATCGCAACTTTCACTTCAGCTCACGAGGCAGACCCAAGCTATGTTGCAGTATGCTTCCATCTACTCAAGTCTCAAAACCTCTAAAGCATTATTATGACTTCAGAAATCAGCAATCGTCAATTCTCACCGCAATACGCCTTTTGCAGAGCGAGAATAGATGAACCGGAACCGATTTGGCCTCCTACATCGCTGATATGAAACTCGAGATCACTACCACATTTTCTCGTCTGGCAGCGGAGCTTGCACACCAGCCCCAGGGACAAAATCCCATAAAGACACGCAAGAAAATGAAAGATAACACCACTCCAGAACATTCTTCGATATCAGCCAGCTGTACCCATCCTCCGGAACCACTCGACATTACTGTAGAGGCCTCAAAGCTCTTAGAAATCGAGGAGAGGGGCAACAAAACCGTATCATCTCTGATCATATTAAGAAGTCTTTGTTTCCCAACAATGAGATTTCGACACTCAAAAATTGCGGATGCCCATCCAGAGACATTTCGGTGGATTGCCTCGACCTATTTCATTCCTTGGCTCCAAGCTGATGACGATGCCATATTTTGGATCAGTGGCAAGCCGGGGTCTGGTAAAAGCACGTTGATGAAATATTTGGTGGATGATCGCGAAACCACAGCCAATCTCCGTTTGTGGTCTGGAACGAAAGAATTAGCTATGGCGAGCTTCTTCTTTTGGATCGCTGGGACCGACTTGCAGAAATCACAAGAAGGCTTGTTACAGTCCTTATTGTATCAGGTACTCAGGAAGCACCCAGATCTTGTCCCTAAGATATTTCCGTCGCGCTGGGAAGAAGACACTCTTCACGACGGTCCAGCTTCCCAACTCTGGGGGGCTAGAGAAGCGACTAGGGCAATAGAAAGTGAGACAAACATTCCATGGACCCGTCAAGAGCTTCTGGGGGCTTTCCGGCGGCTTAAAGAACACCGAATCTCATCCACGAAATTTTGCTTCTTCATTGACGGCCTGGATGAGTATGAAGGCGACCACCAAGATCTCATCACTGTCCTCAAGAGCTTAGTGAATTCGTCAAATGTCAAGATCTGCGCTTCTAGCAGACCTTGGAATGTCTTCGAGGAAGCTTTTGGCGCTGATCCGATACGCAAAGTCTACCTACAAGATGTGAACCGCGACGATATTCGAACTTATGTTCATACCAATCTTGTGCAACGTCCCGAGTTCCAGAAACTAATTGAAAGGGACCCCCGGGGCGAAGAAATCGCACGAGAAGTAGTCGATAAAGCTCAGGGAGTGTTTCTGTGGGTATTCCTAGTAGTACGTTCGCTAGTGGAAGGGCTTCAAAACTCCGACAGGATCATAGACCTCCAACGACGTCTTAGACAATTTCCTAGCGATCTGGAGGCCTTCTTCATGCACATATTCACCTCACTTGACAGCATCTATCAGGCTCAAACTGCACGGGCATTTCAAGTCGCCATTGCAACGACCGAGCCTTTGGCCCCAAAAATCTACTGGTTTCTCGATATGGAGGAAGAGGATCCCGACTTTGCACTGAAGATGGAACAAATACCCGAAAGCTCTGCAGAACTTCATTTTAGGACGACTGAGATACAAAAGAGGCTCAACGGAAGATGCAAAGGACTTCTGGAGATTACTGCGGACGAAGAGCTAGAGCTGCCGTTTCTAAAGCGAGACGACGTGAAGCGAGTAGATTTCTTGCACAGAACTGTGAAGGACTTCCTCATGAGCAAGGATATGCAGACGCTCCTGTCAAGCTGGGCTGGCACCACATTTGACGCAAATATTGCTATCTGCAAAACTCTGCTCGCTCAGATTACGACAATGGACACTGAAACCAATAAGCCATTCAAAAGCTTGATCAGCCTTTTCTTCGCCAACGCTAGAGAAGTCGAAATACGCGCGAGTACCTCTTCAATTGATCTCAAACAGCTCATAGAAGGGTTACACAAGGTCCTATCTAAGTTCAGGTCGGCAGGTAGATGGGCTGTATGGGAGTCCTGGGGGGTTTACTCATTCCTGGAACTGGCCGCCTCGCAAAGACTCGAGAGATACGTGCTGCTCAAGTTCGACCAACAGAAAACATCCTTCACACCAATACAACGCGCATCACTCCTAGCCGCAGCTTTATGTTTCCCAATCATATCCCAACGCCACTACCCCTCCTTGGAAGTGGTGTCTGTCCTGCTCCGACATGGAGCGAATCCAAATCACATATTAGGCCCACCCCTTGGCTCCGTCTGGGCCAATTTTCTGAATACAGCCGAGAGATTTGGGTGGCTGTGGCCTGGGAGACTATTGTATGACTTACTGAAAGAGATGATTCTGCATGGGGCCGTATGTCAACACCGGCATTGCAAGACAGGGAAATGCAACGAGCTGATGAGGGTGACTGACAAATTCTTTGACGGAGAGAGATGGGATGAACTAGTTGCTTTGGCTAAAAGGACTGGAAAAAAGAAGCCCTGGTACCAGAAGCTCAGTCTATTAAACAAAACAAGACACACAACAATACGGTAGGGCGCGTTGCTCTGGTTAGGAGTTCTTCGCGCCGAATGGCAGTTTTTCAGTTTGGTCGACGTCTCTTTCTGTCATGGACAATTCTATCTATCAGAGGACGATATACACGGAGCGCGCATGTATAGTTCGAGAATGTCTAATAAATTGAGTCTGGTAAGCTGTTATACCATATTCATGTACAATATATGAAGTAGTGATTCCATACTGGAACGAGGTATCCAAATGCTCTCGACTAAAACTCTACGTCTCCCACCTCACACCAACCATTCATCCATCTCTACAACGACCCCTTAACCTCCTCCTCACTAACCGGGGTCCCCATAACACCCTCCTCCTGCTGCTGCTCCGCACTCTGCCCCACCCTCTTCTTTCCATACCACGTCCTGCCCCCCACCTTCTTCTGCCTCACCACCCCCTTCTGCGCCCCAAACCCCCACCGCGCCCTCTCCACATACCCCTCCCGAAAGCACAGCCCGGGATGGAACACATTCAGCGCCAACACCGCCAACCCCACAATCGCGCCCTCAAGCCCAATGAAGTACTTCTGCGTCTTAATCAAATGCCCATTCCACCCCTCGCTCAACTCGGCGACCCGATACACCGAGCGCGTGAAAATACACAGCGTCGCGAACGCCAGCGCGACCAAGAACCCCTGGAAGGCCCAGCTGGCGCGCAGCCGCGCGTGCGTGGGGTCCAGCGCCCGCTCGCGGCCGAGGCGGCGCACGCGGTTCAGCGTGCGCACGGCGAAGTCGGACGCGAGCAGCATGAAGACGAAGAGCGTCGCGACCTGCATGCTGAGGCCGGCGATCATGATGTTGTTGCCGGGCGTAGGGTCTCTGTTGGTGTGGGAGGCGGCCGAGGCGAGGCCGCCGCCCGCAGCTTGCAGCAGCAGCGAGATGAGGTCGCAGGGGATGAAGATGCGCGGGTAGGAGAGGGGTGCGATGCGCGAGTTTTGCGCGCCGAAGGTCGTCACGATGCGCGAGAGGCAGAGGTAGATGCCGGCGGCCATGAAGGCCGGGGCGATGGTGAGGCAGACGATTTGCATGAGGAAGCCGGGCTAAAGGGGGGTGCGTGTTAGTTCGGGTTGTGGTGGGTTTGGGCTTTGGGGGGGGGGGGGGGGGGGGGGGGAAGCTACCTCTTTGAAGGGGTTGAAGTAGCTCAATATCCGCCCTACGTAGCCGATCACTTCTAGTAGGCACCCGGAGACCATGGCGATTGTGAAGCCGAGGAAGCGCTTTGAGAGCAAGGCTTGCACGAGGTAGAGGCCGGTTGAGATGGCGAAGATGGCGAGGAAGAAGGAATTGGCGGGCAGCGAGGGGCGGTAGCCCCAGTAGGAGTCTGATAAGGCACAGGTGGAGAGGGTGCAGTGGTCGCGATAGTTGCGGATGGCGGCGTAGTCGGGTTTGCTACTGTTGCGGGCAACGAGCTCGAAGACGGTGGTGGTGAGGGACGACATCGTGGTGGTGGGTGCGCTTCAGCGCTGGTGTCCCAAGGGTTTGACAGGATTTATAAGGGTTAGATTTTGAGAAGAGTGATTATGAATGGACCACGGTTGAAGGGAGCAGACTCGAGGAGAAGGCTAATGTCTTAACAAGAAAGAAAGGGATCGCAAGGCTGTCTATAACAAGAAAGAGAGCGTCGCCGTAACGCTGCACGCGTTCGAGATGAAGAAGAATCCGTCGTGACGTGCTCTGTGTATATACGCAAAACTCGCTCTTCACGACGCACCTCTTGCCCCCTCAGGCGCGTGGGGAGAGTCATGATATATTGTAGCAGTGATTTGTAGGCGTGATTCAAGCGCACGCCTCGAATGCAGCCGCGGGTCGCTTAAAGACAAAGCCAGCGGGCTATCACTGCATCGGGGAAGGCTTGTGCGGATGCATGGCCAGCCGAGACGGTGGTTGAGGGCGTGATTGGGGGAAGGACAGGGAGCCCGAGCTGGATACGACGTATCCTGGTTGTCGGTCTGAACGTTGGCCCGAGGACGCCGGCAAGTAATGCGAAACCGAGATGGCGCTTGAGCTATCTACGACCCAATGGGGCATCTGAGGAATGCCGATTCTTGAAGCTTGTTTGAACACCAAAGGAGTCTTGGGGTAATCCACCTTCACTTCGCTATTCTTCATAAACCCACCAGTAAGTTGCTACCTTTGTGCGGACTTGGTTATTAAAACATCAGCCTATCAGCACTCATTATCCGCAGAGATTCCCTAGCAGGCCGGGGAAGACGTGAGAATCCTTCCAAGACCTTCGTGCACCACTTTGGGCTATTTATCCTGTCAGTTTTGCGAAGGATGCATATACACGTCCGTGGTGTGGGTATACACACTAAGCTGCATTTCCACTGATAGCATTAAGGCCCTCGACCTGGGCATGCAAAGTGAGTGCTATCAAATATGAAATTGGGAGAGATGTTTCGACTCTTCTACCGCTATTAGTTTGTCACTTTCAGCTTAAGCATAAAACCTCCAGCATCATGCCCCTACCAGTCAGCAGCCCTACAACGCCTATAACGTGGTACAGCCGTCAGACAGCCGCTCAGTACCTGCACTTGACCTCGGGAACCTTGCAACGTTCATATGCAGCCACATGGGCGTATCAGATACGGCTGTCCCCGAACCCGGCCGTTGTATACTCCACTCCACTCACTTACGCCAGAGCAACATTTGGAAGTCTGCTGCGGGGGAGGCGGTCGCTCTTCAAGTGGTGTAATTCTCAGCCATCATGCGCCAGAACTCAACGTCCACGCCCTCAATCACCGCTCCCAGCACCGGCGCACGCGCTTTTATAAGCCTATCAGCGCCTATTCGACGTCCACCATAGGACCAATTCTTTTATGGCATCCCAGTATCTGGTAATTATGTTCATTGTATTCGAGTTGGACCGAGAATTGTCGAGCGAAGTTCTACGGAATCCTATGACGCCGCTAGGCGGGAGAGTTGAAATCAGTTACTAAATGGTCTTTTTGCACATCTGGCGCTAAAGCTCTACGTGCTGCTACAAGGAGCCTCGAATGGCCTGTAGAGCTCGGTATCAGCTTCAGGTACTGGTGGAGGAGAAGTTGGGATGGGAAGCTTACGCCCGGGCCTAATGCACCCCCGAAGACGCGGAGGGCGACGGAGGGGAATGGATAACAGTCGTTATTCATCGAACTCTTGGGTTTGCCTTACAGTGCTCAAATCCAGGACATCTTGAAGATGAGGGGCAAGATGACGACGTGCAGGTGGGGAGGGTTTTCAGTATCTACGGGAGGGGAGTTATTCCGATCCGAGAGTCACGTGCAAGTCGACTCTTGTCAGTGCATTATTTTGAGTCCGATTGAAAGATAGCAACGTTGGTAGAGAATTTGGTATCATATTCAGGCAACCTGGTCTATACGGAGACGAAGATAAAGTTATAAGTCAACATACAAACAAGCCTGGAACACCTCTCATCCGAATTTGCTACGTCGTACGTTCCACAAGTAGCCACACAAGAGGGAAAATCTACCCATTGAGATCTGGCTGTTATTCAGAGAGGCTACGTGTGCTCAAGTGTGACTTGGAGATTGGCGGAGCTGAGACTTGACTATACTGATCCAGGGGAGCTGAGGCTGATCAGAATCCTATCTGACAAATGCCGCCACCATTCCGGCGGCCGACATCTCCAACAGCAGATGTTGCCTGAGAGATGCAGGCATTCTGCTGTGACAGTGTGGATCTTCAATGTGGATCTTCAACAAGTTGATTTTGTTAGATTTATAAAAGCAGGTAGAGACATAACGGACAAAAGGACGTCCGGAATGCATCTGAAAACACCACAGTTCTAGCTACACGAGATTAAGCCCCATGATGATGCATTTCAGGTCTCTGCCTAATGGCCTCCTCTTCGGCGATGCCACAAGCACGCTGACCGAGGTCTTCGGCCGAATTGAGATTGACTAATGGGTACTTCGAGACGACATCGGTTTGGCCCGAAGCAAGTTGGGTTGCCATCACGGCTGCGTATAGATGGAAAGGCTCCCAAGTTCGTAGACAGAATGACCAGAGGCTGGAATGTCTGGAAAGACACAACACATAGACGACTCGAAATTGCAAGGAGTGAATGGAGCACGTCCGTCGCAGATTGGATGAGAAAGGAGAAGACGCTCTATTACCAATCCCCTTTTCATATTAGCGCCTCTGCGTCTTCTAGAAACCGACATGGATGGCGACGCTGCACTGTGCTTCCTCTCAACCAACATCAAACTGCTCTGCTGCCATCTGCTGTCATCAAAGGTACGTGTCCACTCTCTTCAACCTGCGGTTCCTGGTGTCGTGGTGTCTGGCCGGCGTTGACACGTTGCTCGGTAGCTGGCGAATCTCTAATCGCTCCATTTTGTCATTTGTATGCACCTCAGCAACCCACCACTACACCCGAACACCCACAGCCTCCTCGACCTGCGCCTGCACTGTAAATTTCCCCGCTGCATCATCACTCCTGCTGTAGAGCATTGCTGTTGGATAGACCTGCATTGGCTGTTTCCGCTGGGCGAAGATACCGCCAGCAGACCCCGATAGACCTCTGACTAGACCCCCCCCCGCCGTTGGATCCATCACTGTAGTAATATTGTTCGCCGAGATTGTTGGAGGAACTGTGTAAACATGGCAGCAGCCACTGCGGGTGCGTATCTCGACGGCCACCACCACCTCAACCGCGCAACCGAATTTCTTCTCCTCGTTCTACTTCACCGTGGGCATCATGCCGCTCTATCTCGTCGCTCAAACGTTGGGATATCTGCTGACTACTGCCCTCGCGTTTACAGGCTACGAGTGGTCCCGGTCTTCACCACTGCAGCACTCGCCAGACACGACTTCGCCCATGTACCCTGACCGCCCGATTCGACCTCTTCCAAAGCGTCGCCTCCGCGCCCGTCTTTCCCCCGAGCAAGCCGACTCCATCGTCTATCCGCCGGCGCCCCCAAGCTCTGCTCCTCTGTTCAGCTTCCCCTACAGCCAGCTTGACAAAGTGTCGGGAGTTGCCGCGAGTCGGGTCCAGCGTGGCGACCACGAACCTCATACCTGCCATTGTGGCCACGACCATTCCGAGCTGGACAGCGACGAGGAGGAAGACGACCGGGCCGCTGCTCTTCAATCTTCGCCGAGCGTACAACCGTACTCTCGGAGTCTATTGGGGACAAAGTCGGGTGCCTCTGCAGCATTTTCGAAGCCGAGCTCGGCGTCATCGTCTGCCGACGGGTACGAGTCTTTCGAGAATACAAACAACAAGAAGAAGCGCAAAATTCCTAACATGGGGAGCATCAGCGCACATCACAACAACTTGACAGCGGAGATGGCGAGCATGGGCATTTCTCATGCTCGGGATCCAGCGGCACATGACGATGGCGAGGGAGGAGTAGGACACTACTATGGTTCTGGATCTTCGGCAATGCAGACTAGCTCTTCGGGCACGGGCATATCTGGGGCTGGACGAGGCCGCTATGCGAGGTCCGGACGGACACCAGAGCGGCGGGTGTTAGGGACATCTACAAACGCCATGAATGCAGGAAAGACGACCAGTGGTGCTAAGCGGGACTACAACGGTGCTGGTGCGCAGAGCAAAGGCACGTGAGAATGTGGTAGAAAGGCTGATACATGCTAACGATTCTCTATAGGAAACCCACCTGAGCAAGGCGGCATTATATCCGCTGCAATCGCCAACGCACAGGCGGAGCAAAGTCAAGCTGGGAACGAAAACGTTAGTCTACTGCAACAGCAAGCCGCCAAGACGCCTGATAACTCCCAATTCACCTTTAGCATACCGTCAGACTCGGCCAATAAAATGGTCTGGCCGGGGCAACAGAATGGCAACTTTGCACCACCCGACAGTCTTCAAGCTAGAGGATACACCAACGCGCCAGAAAAGGCTTCACACAGAGGTGGACAACCTCAATCCTCCCAACCTCGGACCACGCAAGGAACCCAGACCAGCCCTAACATGAATGGGAACCAGCAGGCTAGCAGCAAACCCCAGCCACAGGCACAGCCGGGAGCACAGCAGCCTAGGAAGCCGAGACGCAAGCCCGGGAAGATATATGCTTTGGCCGCCCGCCAACGCAAGTTGCAGCAGGAATACACCAACTATCATCATCCGCCCAGCAGAGAGGATATTTGGATATGCGAGTTCTGCGAGTACGAAAGTATTTTTGGATCGCCCCCTGAAGCTCTGGTCCGACAGTACGAGATCAAGGATAGAAAAGAGCGGAAGCGTTTGGCCGAGAAGCGCCGATTGCTGGAGAAAGCAAGGATGAAGGGCCGGAAAGGAAAGAAGGGAACCAAGAATGCTGCAAAGAACAACGCGAATGCCAACCAGCAAGCTCAGAATCCGCCTCCGAACCAGCGATACGATCAGCCACTTGACAATGCACCGTTAGACCAGCAAGAGGAAGAATATTACGACGACGAATACGACGACATTCCTGCTCTGGCTCCCGCGGACAACGCTGTGCAAGCGCATGCCGCTTCTAACGGTTACCATGAGAATCATCCGCCAGGTCCGAACCTTAGGCACACCAGCGGCTCTCAAGCTCGTGGAGGTGGCAAGGCTGCCAACGGAGCGTAGCTTCTGGACTGGGCGGGGTGGGCCGTTCATGTTCGCGTGTTCTTCTCCTTTCTACTTTTCGGGCTCTGCCTCCTGAAAGTCCTCCAAGTGTCCTTTCGATCCTGGACCTCTAAAGCTCTTGATTAACGCCAATTTCGGCTCTGCTTCCTACATCCTCAGCGTTGACAGTGCTTTCTAGCGCGGATCACAATCGCGACGGGAAGTGGAACATCCCCTAGGAGTCAGTATCACGCAGTCACGGATATCATGGGTTGTGGTCAAGCCAGCGGCATCCCCTTTTTCATTTGTCTTGCAGTCATCATCCATCCATGCCCGAGCGTGCATAGTCGAGTCTTGCTTCCCCCTTGCATTTTCATCGGAGCAGAGTATCGGTCACTCGCTTCTGGTTCTGCCCCTCCCCATAATCACGTCACGGCGATAGTGCCTGGCGCAAAGTCAACCCCCAAACCCCACTCTTCCATCCCCCAAAGTCAATCATCGGATGCTAAATCCTTAAACCAAAAATCCTTGTATCAGGCAGCCCCATGGGCAAAGAACGCTGTTATTCTGCCTATTGCTGTAGCCTCCCTCGTGTTTTTCAGAGGCATGAGGGCGTATGTAGCTTTTGAATGGAATGAACTCGTTTGGTTTAGCCCCTCCGTTTGGCTGAGGTGCGTGGTGCGTTTTTGTGACACGTCTGAGGATCTTTAGATTGCTAATTTTAGGTTTCCGCTATGTGGTCACTCTAAAGTCACTTACATTAATCTCACTGTCACGCAGATGATTTGGAATCTTTGATTGCTTTGAGATGGACGAGACCAGCTCGATCCTTTTTATATTTTCTATTTTTCTTAAAGGTTTTGTGCTTCTTATTACGAAAGGCTGAAATTGTGGAATCCTGGACGCCAAAGACCATTACCTCCCTTTTTCTGAACTATAAGCCTTGAGCTTCTCAAATTCTTTAGAAATAGTTGAAGATTACCTTCCTATCCGTCTGCCTCCGCCCTGCTTGAACTGAAGTCACGGCCAAGAAATTAGGGGGCGACCTTGGAAGGTAGCGCTTTAGAAAGCGCCTTCTTTTTCTTCCCTGATTCATTTTTCGGGGGCTTTTCGGTCGCAGCAGGAATCTTAGCCTTCTTCAGCTTTTGTGTTAGTGGGAATAAGAGACGCAGGTCGGGTACTGCTGGGATGAGTACCTTCCTTCCCTGGGTCTTGTCCATGACGGTTTTTTGAGCTGCTTTAACTTGTGCAGGCTTCTAATCACAGCGGGCCTGCTGACCTTTGTCTTCTGCTCTGTGTGAGTGGAAAGACGAGACGGAGGTCTGGGATGGCCGGGACGATTACCCTTTTCTTTGGAGCCAGCTTCTTCTTTGCCGGCTTCGGAACTAGGCTGGAACTACCAAAAGCCGCGGACTCCTTTGCTGAATTAAGCAGAAGAAGCGCTTTCTCTAGCAGTTCGATGATTTCGATGTCGTCATCCTCATCAAGCTCATTCTGGCTCGGGGATTCAACAGACTTCGGCGGCTTAGACAGCAGCTTCTTGAGGCCCTCATCTACCCAGTTTTCTGGAGGAGCTGGATACTCCAGCTGGGAGCCGATCTCATCGATCCGCAAGGGTAGAATCGGATCTTTCGGATCATTCGCCCACTCCCTGATATTGAGCGCGAGCATCTCAAGCACCTGCACCTTCTCAGCCGCCTTCAGCAGCTCATTTCGGAAAGCACAGGCAACCTCATCACCCTCGCCAACCATATCCTCCCTCTTCAACGCCTTCCACATCGCCGTCTGCCACTTCTGGACCCCCATGAGCTCGTCCCACAGGTAAACCCAGATCTTCTCCTCCCAATTCCTCTCCTCATCAAACACGAAATACCTTAGCTTCGAATCGCGGATCTTCTTCACCACCTTCGGTCGGGACACAATCCGCCGCACGAACTCCTCCGCCCTCGCTACGATGGTCCTTTCCGCGGCTTTATAATTGGCGAGCAGTCGCCAGCCCTCGTAGTTCCGCGCCCACTTCCGCCGCCTCTTCTCCGCCTTCGCCGCCTCCCCTCGACACGCCGGGTTCGAGCACCCCGTCGCCGCGAACACGTAGTCCCGGATGCCTGGCGCGCGCGGGAGAGGCCGCTGCAGCAGCTCTTTCATGTAGAGCTCCTGCTTGCTCTGTTTTTGGAGCCCGTCGGACGGGTACAGCGTCCAGTGCCGGCACGGGAAGACTGCGCATGTCAGGGTTGGGGGCTGCGAAGGCTGGGGGATTACCACCAACCTGGGGTGGTGGGTTTCGTGGTAGGACTCGATGGGGACGGCGGGCTCGTCGTCGGAGAGGGGGGTGGAGGTGTAGGGGATCGTGCGGGAGGAGATTTGGTAGTCGAGCATTTTGGGGGGGCTGGGAGGTGAGTGTTGAGTGGTGAGTGGTGAGTGGTAGGACCTTTGAATGTTGGATTTGGGTACGTGGAATGCTGAGGGGGTTGCTGATGCTGGATGGTTGCTGATGCTGGATTTATGCGGATGTGGCTAGGGTGTTGTGGAGGGATGAGGGGCGTCGTGGGTATACAATACTGTTGATGGGATGGGATACATAGCGTTGTGGCTCCACAATGGACGTGTTATGGGAGAATAGGGTGGGCATTGTGTGTTTACATAATTATGAAGGGAGGGATTAGGTGGGTATATAAACTGCACAATGCTGAACTGTATCTTAGATGCTCAGCGCTGGTGCGTGTAGTAGGATAATAGGATTGAGATGGGATAGGGAAAAGGGCGGCGCGGCCAATATTGCATAGACGATAATGGCATATCTAGGATGTGGATCCAAAACCAATTTGACACACTCTTTCCAGTCGATGTCTAACAGACATGTAGGTTTAGTACTTCCTTGGTAGAGATCAGAACCTTTTCCTTTTGTCAAGGTCCCACATCGCAATTCAAACCCGCAATTGTCTCCAAAAACATATATACCATCTGCAAAGGCAGCAGAGAAGCGTGGCCAGCGCCGTTCTGCGATGAAACAGTCCTAACGGTTTAGAAAATCTTGCGGTCGTCTGAAGTCCTCCAACGAGGTTGCGGATTTCAACGCAAGATGCAAAGAACGAGGGAATGTGATTTAGACAGGCACTATTCCGAACGTGTTGTCTGAAGGCCTCCAGCACGTTCTAGGAGAGCAACATACGATGCAAAATCCCGGGCAGCTTGAATCGAACGGAGGCGATTGCGAGCGTTTTGACACTTGGTCGCCGCTGCATGAGGTCCCCCGACGGGGTTTTAGAAGCCAACATGAAACGTAGCGAACTGGGCCGTGTAGATTGAACAAGATCTTGAGCCTTTTGGCAGTTGCTTGCTAGCGTCTGAAGTTCTCTAACGGGTGATCGGAACTTAATAAGGATATGAAAAATTAGACATTGTGAATTGAGCCGGCGCTATCTCGGACATCACAGACCAGATTGAATTCTTGGTGAGTCGTGACAATTCCAACTAAGACGTGATGTAAAGATTTGAAATGTGTGGATTGAAGGTTCGTTACTCACTTTGTGTAACGCCAGCTTACTGCCATCTGAAGTCCTCTAACCCCCTTTCTTAAAGTTACATACATTGTAAAGTTCCGAAGCACGCGACTTGGGCTCGCAGATTGACCTCAGTAGAGATGATCGAAAATCTCCTACCTCGAAAATTAGATGGTACAGCATAGCCTCGCTGAGAGTGTACCTAACACCTTAAGGGTGCCCTGGGCCGTGGACATAGCTAGAAGGGCAACTGCAACGCTCCACAGGACGTGTAATATATTTACCATTTTCGAATTCCGGGTAGACAACCCGAAACCATGCAAGTCGGAAGCTAGGTCGGGTAGTTGTACTGCGCTGGGGTGCTAAACAACGCCTTAGGGATCTCCTGAAGCATATGGAAAATTGAAATAGGGAATGTGAAGCTCTGCAGCCTCTAGTTCGGGTGGCGGCCTTGATCTTTGAAGCTGGGGCATGCAGTGACACACGCTTTGGATCGGCTAGGCAGAATTAGCACGTGCCATACCTGAGTAATAGTTTGGACGGCTCATACGGGGTGGACGGGATAAGAAGGGTGCATGTCAAGCTGGCAAGGAAGGGAACTGAACGGGAGCGAACTGTATGATGTAAACACTTGCTTATCACTGTACGAAGCCCTTCAACCTTTCTTAAAGTTCCGCACGCGATGGAAGGTCCATGCACCTAATTTTCAGCCACTATCGCGTTGAGGATGTAGGTAGCAGCTCGGAGGGCTCCGGAAGGGTGCAGTGAAATAGACCTTGGACTAAATCTCTTGGGCTGCGTGAATTAGAAATACGAAGATTCTGCGCTGTTGCTGCATAACTGGTGTTATCAATCTGGCTCGCCGTTATTTCGGAAGTCGGCGCAAGGCATCAAGTCCGTAAAGGTGAAATCAGACCCGCTAGAAGAGAGCATGCTGCACAATGTCTAATACGGTTTAAAGACGTCTGGTATACTTAGAAGATCTAAAAGAGATGCAGAGGTTCTGAATGTACGGTCCTTATAAGGGAGAGATGGATGCTATGTAAGCGTACCTGGCAACGTTAGGAGAACTCCGGTACCACGAAATATATTTCCAGCTTAAGAATCTTTGTAGTCTGAGATCGTAACTAGATAAAAAGGTAAGAGCAAAGGTATGATCACGCGATGGGCTACGACAAGTGAAGTCATAACACGGGAAAGAATAATCGGAAAAGACTGTGGGTGTTTAATTAAAAGCAACGCATCCTCCAACCAGCGCCAGTGTCTAGGGTATCATAAAGCTATCCAACGCTAAAAGCAGAAAAAAAAGCTCAGAACCAGCAAGAAGAGAACAAAAAGGAAGTACAGGAAAAGAAGACACTAGGGGGAGACGTTACGTTACGAAAGAAGAAGGTATAAGCGGGAAAAGGAAACAAATCAGTCTAGGGTATTCGCAAAAGGAGAACATGAAGGAGTTACAGGAAGGGAAACAAACGACAGTGAGGGGCTTAGAAAGGAAATACAAGTCAAAATATTCGAGGAAAGTGGGTCGTTATGTGCATAAGATCACCCGACGTGAATGCTTGAAGGCAAGTCGAACGATAGCACGTTGTCGTTGAGGTTTGGTAGAGCCGCACTAACGATGTAGCATGAAATAAGGCGCCAGACATGTTGGGCTATAGATTCTTGCAGTCCGAGCATCGGTAGTGGGGGCAGAGGGGGCAAAGTTCAGGGGCGTTGCCGCAGAAATTCTCTGCGCCGCAAGCACAGCACTCCCACATGTCGCCAGGGGCTCTGAAGATAGGGTAGGTGAAGACAGGGACAATAGACGGGCACAAGGTATCCTTGGTCGGTTCAGCATACGCCAAATGGGGAGGAGCGGCAGGTTGTCTTGTAGACCCCAGGGTAGAGTCACACTTGAAGGAGTCTATGGAAGGGAAAAGACCACCGGCAGCGGTGTATGCGTCGCCGGGGTTCTTGCAGGACTCGCACCTTATATGGTTACAGGGATGGGGACAGGCGGCGTGATGGGCGATGGGGTTGCCAGTATTACACTGGCAGCAGACCCATAGGCCGGCGGGGACCGTGTCTGCCATATTCACTATGGGAGGGGAGGTGATTGTTTAGGTTCCCTTGAAGAAGAGGATCTAAGGTCTTTCCCGATGAGGATGGCGAGCGAAATCCGCCTACGGTGAACGTAGATAGCGAACGTAGGCAGATGAGATTGGTTGACGGAAGGGGTCCAGTGCCACGGAAACTTGAGGTAAGGCTAGAGCGGAGGGAGGTATGACAATTCCAGCTAAAACCGCCTGTGGACGATTCCGTAGACTATCTACGAGAGCGGTGGGGATTGGAGTGCTACGGAGATGCCGACGAGTGGTACAGGGAGAAACCGCTTCAGGAGGCTTGACAAGCTGGAAGGCGGTGATTGAATGGGCCTGAGGAGAGTTGAAGGGGCCTGAGACCACAAGCTGAAGACGGTGAAAACAATGCAGTTAGATCCTAGGTCGAATCTAACGGCGCAGGTGTGTGACTAGAGAGTATGGAGCGTTCGATGAAGAGAAAGCCTGAGCTGATCGAAAAAGTGGCTGGAAGAGTAGCTGAAAGCCGAAGTGAGGTGGATGAGGATGCAGTCTACGGTGAGAGAAGGGGGTATATAAAGACTACGTTAAGGGCGTCTACAGAGCAGAAACTTCACTGTCGATGCCAGAAAAAGGAGAATGATACCTGAAGCCCCGTGCTCTTTCGCCGCCCCGGCGAGAAAAGAGTAGCCTGAAGAGGCGACAACATGGTGAGCGCCTTACGATGAAGCTGTCATACTGGACAACCGTGAAAAGCAGGACTGTGGGAGCTCCAACGCCCAATGTATGAAAAGTTCGACGATGCCAAACAGCCTCACCCTGGATACGCGGCAGAGCAGCACAGCCTCAGCGCTACAGACGGGCATTACGCGCGCCAATCGAGCACTGGAGGCAATCCCCATGACTTGAAAGCGGTCAATTAGCAGGTATTGTCCATAGTATATGCCTTTCTCACCGGGGCAGAGGGAGAGTCCGGTGATGTAGTGCGAGTCGCGGTGCAAGTTGACTTAGTCGAGCCTCACTCCGATTGGAGCATCTTGCTTGCAAGCGAGCTTGATCGGTAGATCAGAAACATAGACGCGGGGTGCAGAAACAGCGCGGCTATGATGTGCGCCCAGAGTCGGACTAAGGAGTACTGCTCCTGGCGGTTTCTTGAAGCCATCGTCGCAGCAGCGTCGTCCAAACTCGCTGTCAACGACAACCGAGGCGCCCAAGGAGTCATACGATTAGCGTCTCCATATCCTCATTCCAGGGCTTGCTCCTACAGTGCTGCTATTCAGGTGACAGAGGAGAGAGCACTCAGCCACCTAACAGGAGAAGGATTTTTCCGACGCCCAACGCCTACTCTGCACGGCAACGGGACGACGAGCGCTAGGTACTGCGCATTTCTGATCATACGTAACACGGGGCCTTGCGCTGGAGAAGGCGATCGCCGCGCCTCTTCGTTGTTCCGGTGCGAATAAGGCTGAAATCTTATGGCAGCCTTGAGTCGGCACGCCGGCTTACCAACTCTGGCATATGAGCATGCCGGCCCGAGATCGGAGGCCCGAAATGAAGGACAGAGCACATGAGCTTCCGGCAGCCGGTCTAGGTGACGTTGTGAATGATGGCTGGTAAGAAGGGACTTGCTCGTCAGTGGGCTGTGTAGGTGACGGGAAGTACACGGCGGTCCCGGTCTGCATCTGGAAAGCCGATTCTTTGTCCGACTGGTACTCGAAAAGTGAGGAGAGAGGATCAGTGACACTCGTGATAGCAAAGGCAGTGTTGAGGGGTGGTGCGAACGGACGTCGTTGGGGTCGCGCCTCATTCAGCGCCACACGCTAGCTGAATTCGACCAACGTATCCCCCCTCCCTGCATGTTCGAATGCTGAGATGAGCAGATCTCCAGAGGCGCAGCGATAGGGAGGATCTGAGGCCCCAGCAAGTGGATGAAAGAATGTCACGTGGCCAGATCCAATGAGGAGGAGTATGGGCACGTTCCACCAATGAATTTCAATTGCACGTGACTCATGGCATTCACGATATCATCCAAATATAGTATTATCGTAGTGGTGCGATAGATCCGGGTCCTTTTCCATGAAATATGACTCCAGATCTCAAATACCTGCTTTAAGATATCGGAGAATAGATGGTCGACTTCGGCAAGTCAGATTACGGGCATGTGCTACCAATGAATGTCAACTCGCTCGCAAATTATGACTATCACAGTATCGTCCAAGTCAAATTAGCCATCGCTACGGAAGGCTATGTCGAGGCAGTGGTAGGTAAGGCAGGAATCCAGCTCATGATACCAAAATTCGTCATCTCCCTTCCAATAGATTATGGAGAGGGTGGCATATACACCCAAGCATAGTCTGCGTATAAGGATATTGCAGATTTCCAAATATTGAAGCTTGGGCAGCAGATCATCAAGCGCATTGGTCATTATCATATCCAAAAGGGTCATCTGGGTATTGGAATCAAGCCGTCCTATATGGTAGTTTTGCGTTTGAGATAAAAGGGTGATCCATGGTAAATGAAAAGGAAAGCGAAGGAAAGAAAGACTAAGAACTAAGCTTGTTAAAATGAATGCTCAAGATGCGTAGGACTTGGCCAAAGGAATTCACAGAGCTGCGATTAGTTAGTTTCCACGCAGTCAAGACACCAAAATTATAGTAACGCTCAGATGGCATTTCGATACATGGTATATCGTCCAAATAAATCACTGACGCAATCTCTAGCATACTATCATGCTCACGAACGTGCCTCTATCTTCGTAAATCTCAAGGAATAGCGATCGTAAATCGAATCCAAAACAAGACGCTTCACGCTTAGAACAACCACGACACAAACGTCCGATAGAACCAGCCACCCTGTGGATTCTGGTGCTTCTCCGCTTGCTGAGCTAGGAACTCTGCCTCCTCGGCATCGATCTCCGCCTTTCCAGAGTAGAAGTCCGCGTGCATAGGCCTGACACCCTCTTCCTTCATGATCAGCTTGTACCCGAAGATCATGATGAGGTATAGGGGGATGCCAAGGTAGCCGGTGATGAAGTTCTTGTAGTCGAAGGATCCATAGTCGCCTTTGGTGAAGACGTTGAAATTCTTGGTGATGGCGATGAGGCAGCAGAAGAAAAGGGCAATGTAGGAGCCCCAGATGCCGCAGGGGGCGACATACGGCATCTGGTCGTTGGTGATGCCTTGGGCGTGGCGGGCGCGCACGAAGTAGATATGGGTGACCAGAATGGAGATCCAGGCGAGGAGACCGAACATAGTAACGAGATTGACGAAGTAGCCGAAGACTATCTTGGAGTCGTCGCTGACGTTCATGAAAGCGAGAAGGCAGAAGAGCGCGGAGAGACCAAGGGCGAATATCGGAACACCGCGTTTGTCGGTTCTGGCGAGGATGCGGGGAGCCTTGCCCATGGAGGCAAGACCGTAGATGGTACGGGAGGCAATGTAGAGGTCAGAATTGGCTGCGCTGAAGACGAAGAGCAGGATACAGCCGTTGATGAATCCAGGGAGGACCTTGATTTTAGCAATGGAAATGGCAACCACGAATGGAGAGGCGGACGCCTTGCTACCCTGCTTGTTGGCAAAGATGAGCTCTTTGGAGTTGTACGGAACGATCATGCCCAAGAAAAAGACACTGAGGACGTAGAAGAACATGATACGGAAGAAGGTCAACTTGATGGCGCGAGGAATTGTCTTCCTTGGGTTCTGGGCCTCTCCGACAGTCACGCCAACGAGTTCGGTACCGAGGTAGGCGAACACAGCCGTAATCATGGAGCTCCAGAAACCGAGGAATTTGCCTCCACTCCCAGCTGTTGCATGATTAGCACACTTGCTATAGAGCTGATCTCATAATTCCTTACTTTCGATGTAGGGCTTGAAAGCGCCGGGGTTCTTCCAGTACCTAAAGCCAGTACGGTCATGGGTGGGGCCACCCCCAAGGGCCAGGATAAGGGACAACAGGATCAAGCCAATGATAACGAGAACCTTGATACTGCTGAGCCAGAACTCGAATTCACCGAAGAATTTGACTCCAAAGTAGTTGATGGTGAGGATGACGACAAAGAATACGGCGATAAAGACACCGGGGTTGACCTGTTGATGGTGAGCGTGACGATAAATAAGACGCCGGGATTACCCTACCTTTTCGGGTGGGCACCAATATTGTATTACGAGTGCTGCTGCGGTGAGCTGATTAGGGGTGACGATGATGTATTTGAACCAGTAGGTCTGCAAGATGTCAGAAGTGTCGGTGAATAGCATTGAATTTGATACTCACGTATCCCAGAGCGAAACCGAGGGCAGGATCACAGAAACGAGTTGCATAACCCGAGAAACCACTGCCCAGGGGAAGCCAAGCAGCCATCTCTCCCAGGCCACACATGACCATATAGACAAGCACACCGACGAACGCATAACTGATGAGGATACTGGCCGGGCCAGCCTTCGCAAGCGCAGCGCCCGTGCCGATGATGAGACCAGTTCCAATAGCGCCCCCAATTGCGATCATAGTAATATGCCGAGATTTGAGACCTCGCGTGAGCTTGGTTTGGCCGCTTCCTGGCTCCACCATGACTCCTTCTTGCGGGTATTCCCCGGCGGGATACTCGGTGGGGTTGTATGCATTCTTGTCGCCGTATTCCTCGCTCCGCTGTGGGCTGACGTCGGAAGAGTGGCTCTTCCTGTTCCAGATGGCCATGGCGGATGATGTTTCTGGTGGAAGTTAGAAAAGCGTTCTTGAGAGGTTTGTTATGATAGTGCAGCACGCGGGGCATAAACAATGTGGCATTGTAGAACATGTCGTGGGTGTGTACGCATGTTTGCCACTGCTTGGGGTGCTTCATTGCATTCTCCCAATATATGAAAGCCATGGAAGCTCTTTGCTTTGCGCTTTTGGGAAACCCTTTGGAGCACTCCAAGCCGTGGCAGACAGGTGTACATACACATGAGGCAGCGTGCTCGATGAGCGTGCTACTTTTTTCACACCTGGTGTGTGCGGGCAGGTGGTCGAGTGACGTGCAAAGGGTTGAGCGGCTACCTGGATTAAGGACGGCGCCACACCCGGCTCCCGTCTATTGAACGTTGCATTCTCATTGGCGTAGGGTGCTAGAAAGGGTCTGGACTCGCAGATTTCGAGTACAGAGAATACATAATGTAACGACGTGCAACGAGAAGGCAGGGATGAAATGAAGAGAAATGCACATACCGATTCAGAATCCGAAGAGGATCTTTCGAAGCTTACGCGGGTCCGTCAGGCTGAGAGCTCAGGCACTCGCACTGAAAACCAGGAGCACACAGCCTCGAGGCTCGAAAGTGCAGGGCTGTCGAGGGAAGGGCACGGTGTTATACTCGTAACCCAGGGCTGTTGCGGCGGTGGTGTTTTGCGAGGGAATGCGGAGGCTTATGAACGGTCGACGTGCCGTCCGCAGCGTGTGCGACGGTGCCATGGATGGGCTGCCATGTCGCGCGGTGTCCCAGGATCTCCACCATCTCCTCCCTGATGCGGGTAGGCCAGTGGTGTGCCCAGTAAAGGCGCGGTCGCAGTCAGCTTGGCGGAGCGGAAAACACGCCCTGAAGTCAACCTTGAGGCCGTTCCGAGCGGCGGCCAAGCAAACTCCAAGCCGGCCCAGCAATGTTGGACATGGCCTGCTGCGATAAGCCGTGGCCAAAACTGTGGTATCTGTGATATGAAGAGACAACAGGCGGTATTTTCTCATGCCTCACGCTGCTTGGCCCCGATTCTCACGCCTCACTCCGCTTGGCCCTCTTGTCCCACGTAGCGGGCGCAAAACTCTGTCCCAGTAGTGCTGCAGCATTGCGTAAAATTCTCTCCGCGCCCGCTTAGACAAGGCTCACAGACCTGGCACGCGCTCCTCCTCGGCGGAGGCTGCGCGCCCTTTGGCGCGACGGAGCCCCACTGCGGCAGGGCGGGCACCAAGAGTTTTCTACAATAGAGTGACGCGCTAGAAGGCTTCCACGCCAGGCCGGATATGCATGGCGTGGTTGAAGCCCTGTACGTAGGTGCAGCTGGATGGCAGGCTGTGTGTCGAGCCTCAGGCTTCCAGAGACTGGGTTACGAGCTGAGTTCTAGATCGTGTGAGCAAGGCAGTCAGCGTTGGCCGACACCCGTGCTGCAAGATCTGTCTTGATTGAGTGGTATGTGGTACGCTGCAGACTTGTATGAAGTAAGTAGAAATATAGAATAGCGGGATAAGCTACGCATTAAAAATTGTAATATATAGAAGAATAAAGAGTTATTTAAATACCTAGTCCTCTATAATAGAGAACGCTTTAATCATATATACTAACTGCTTGACCGTCGCTATCTTTTTGCTCTACGACTTCCTTAGGTAGGCACCTAGGTAGGATGGCCAAGGCAGCCAGCATCCGAGAGCCTCTGCCATAGCTCCACACCTCTCTCCCATCTCTCGTCCTGCCATATATCTACCTCCCCATTGCTTTTCAATCTCCTCGCCTCCTTCGTCTCCTTAGTATTCCACTTCTGATTAATTTCTTTGCCGTGCACAAAGTCTGTCATCGCGTTAAACACGAAATTGCGTACAATGGGCTTTTCAGCATCTCTGAGCCCCGGCCCCATTCCCTCCCCCCAAAACCAGATCGCAGTATCGGTCCCATGAGTTACTCCCCATTCTTTGGGGTAGTCTATTTCACAGCACTTTGCCCTCCACTCAACTCGATAGCGCTTCAGGAGATTGCCAGCACCATGGTGGGTGAGACAATCCACGAACCCGCGTTCCATATCATGAATCTGCATATCTGCATATATATGACCAAAGGCATCGCCCCAGTCCTCGTAGAGCTGCGGTAATTGACCATCAGGTGAGTAGAGATTCATCAGCACCTTCACGGCTGCCAGGGGATAATCTGCTCTGAGGCGGTCGAAGACGCCACGATAGGTAAGAGATTGTGGTGGTCGCCAAGCACCGTAGACAAAGTGCTCATCACGACATTCGCCCGTGATGAGTTCGAGCTTGTGGGCGAGCATACGCCGAGCAAAGTCGCCGTTAGAGATATTGGCGAACAAATTTGATGCAAGAAAGCTCTCGTCAGTTACTGCACGGAACTCGTGCAACACCATTCGTTCGTTGGCTGCCTGTAGCGTCTTGACGTCCAAGTTGCGAAGTAAAGACATCTTTTGCGGAGGAGGAAGCCCTTTATCAATGTTCAATTGAGAGAGTAGTTCATCGAATTGCTGTTGCCGTTCCAAAAGCGTATGGGGTTGCAAACCTGGACCATTTGACCACATGAAGGCACGACGAATGATTGACTTGTCGGGTTCGAACGGGTAGTAGAGCTCATGTGAGACTTGGTGAAATACTGAATGGGCGCCAGCAGAATATCCCGCTATGGTAATATTCTTTGGGTTCCCACCAAAGTGGTTGATATTTTGGTAGGTCCATTCGAGGGCAAGCCGCTGGTCCCAAAATCCGACGTTCAGGTCAGGGTTTTCTGGTGATTCAGCGAGAAGCTCCTCGCTTGCGAGAAACCCAAAAAGATTTACGCGGTACGCAGGCTTCACGATAATGGCATTGAAGTTCGTCTCTTCGAGCATTGCGATGTGATCTCCTTCATTAGGCGTTCCCCATTGAAGAAAACCGCCGTGTATGAAAAACAAGACTGGCCAGCCTTGCGAGGTCAGTTCTGTGAACTCAGAGTATGTGTAGAGATACATGAGCATCTGAGCTTTAAAAAGAGAGCCGGTCTACCTTCTTCTGGAGGATTGCCGGCAGGCATCCATATATTCACCTGCAAACAGTCCTCTTCCCACCTTTCCGGATCCTCCTTGGGCTGTGGGCAAACACCACATCCGCCCGTAAATCTGCCTGGATTCGCGTGCGTGCCATATCTATAACACTCCGGTAAAGGTCTCGGCCTCTTGAATCGATACGGGCCAACAGGAGGTAACGCATATGGTAAACCCCCAATGTAACGGCACAAGACCCTCGAGGTCGTGTTCGGGTCGACGTAGGAGATGCCTTCGATGACACCGAGGGAAGCTAGATCCAATTTGAAGGATCGGGAAAAAGCCATTCGGACCCTCATGTTTTGAAATGCACAATCAATAGTAGTCTGGAGTGTTGGTGCTGTTGTTAACGTAGGAAATGCGTCAGGAGCGCCGCCACGGCCGAGGACTAAGATCTCAGATCGCCGATCGCTTGGCGGCCGTAGAGAGTTTTGGTATCGGGGTGTGTTACACTGCTGCACGGCATAACTAGGAGGTAGGATCTCGATGCTACTAAGCCGAAAGATTCCAATTCACTGTCTACGTTTTGTCGATTATGTGATCACGTTTTCGCTTGAATACAGGCTCGAGCGAAAGCTTCGCTCCAGCCCTTCTTGCGGTCGCAAGCCCTGCTCTGCTTCTCGTGAAAAGTACAACCACAAGTTCAGTACACAGTCTGCCGTGCTTTTTCGCTTGAACCACCATCACAACATTCTTGTTGAAAGGCATACCAGAATGAGTGACCTGCCTTTCGTTTACGGGACCGCGTGGAAGAATGATGAAACGGCCTGTCTCGTGTCTCAAGCATTAGATGCTGGATTCATTGCTTTCGACACCGCGGCCCAGCCAAAGAACTATCGTGAGGACATGGTCGGCCAGGCTCTACGGGCTCATTGCGGTAACGACACGTCAAAGAGAGAATCGCTTTTTGTAAATTGCCCTACGTTGTTCCTCTCATTGACAAAGATAATAACCCGTCTGTATACAGATACAGACCAAATTTACTCCCTCTTGGAGTCAAGACCTTGATTCGATACCATATAATGCCGCTGGAACGCTCGAGGATCAAGTACGGGATTCAATCCAGCGCTCGCTCTGGAACCTCCGGTTTTCTGTCGATCAGGACGATTCTAGAAACTATATTGATGCGGTGCTACTCCATACGCCCCTTAAGAGTATTGACGATACTTTGAGAGCATGGCAAGTTCTCGAGGAATTCGTGCCACGAAAGATAAAGCAACTCGGTATCGCCAATACCAACTTGACAGTGCTCAAATTTCTCTGGACAAAGGCAACCACCAAGCCCGGAATCGTTCAAAATCCCTTCCACGCGAAGTCCGGTTACGACATGGATATCCGCAGTTTCTGCCGGAAGACTGGGGTTATGTATCAGTCATTCTTGACTCTGACTGCGAATGAGCATCTGCTGATTTCTCCGCCGGTAATCGAGGTGGCACTCGCTACCCAGGCTTCTCCAGAATCGGCACTGTATGCTCTGACAATGGCTCTGGGCGTTATCGTGTTGAATGGCACGAAATCCAAATCCCACATGCTGTCAGATCTACAAGAGGTTGCTCGCATCATGTCCTGGATGAGAGCTAAAAAATCGGAAAATGACCATGTCATGCTGAGGTTTGGGAAGTTCCTTGAACCTGAGTCTGAACAGGAGGATGGAAGCTCAAGGCCTCTACCGCCGACAGCCTGAAGATTGTAATCATTTCACTTTTGATCTGCATACTACTCAATATCCATGCACTCATGTTCAGCCCTTAATTGTTCCTTTGCTCGTGGTTTTGTTCGTGGCCTACTTTAACACGATGCAGGCATTCCCACACACATGTGAGCATGCAAGCTCCTACAAGGCTCTCGATACTGATTTGCAGCCTTTATGGTTGATGAAGACAATCTGAGCATTTGTAATAAATACCCCGCACGCATAGCTTAATCTATAATACGTGTCCTCGTTTCATGCAGCTAGTTGCCTTACGTCGGCTGACCGATGTGAATCGACAGCAACAGATATCAGTGCTACTATGGAAGGGCCGAGCGAGAGTCTTTCCTCATTGTTGAGAGAGCTTCTGCTTGGTCTATTGCTAGAGAGACAGCGGCGCCGGTAACAGCTAGGACTCTATGACACTATCACCCTCGCAAAGCCTCCTCGTTAGCACTTTTGCGCCTTTCAATGCAGTACTTCAGGTACACAAGCCTGGAAGGCCGCATTGCAGCTACGAATTGGCATGCTAACAAGGCTAGCTGCTCTGCCCAAATCTAGACGTTACTCATAAAAAACTAAACAACGAAACTCAATACTCTCTCTTGGTCGTTCCTCGTCTTCTTTTGGAAGTACTATTGCAGTGTGCATCGCGTCTTCCGTCTATCAGCATCGATCAAACGAGAAGTTGTTTGAAGTGTTGACCTACATTTTGCGGTGCCATCGGTCAGAGAATCGTGGCACTTGAATAACCAACACTCGTCTGGCATTTGATCGCTAATGTAGTACCATCGGTGATTTGGGCTATGGTACGAGTACCACTGTTCGCCGACGTAGTGCGGAAAAATCAAATCACTAGCTTCAAGGTCTTTGGCTTGGTTGACCGAATTGTAGTCACAGAGCCCCAAAGGACGATGCCTGATGGGACCGAACAACGGGTGCCAGACGCTGCCAATTACCGTCAGTAGTAATCATGTGTTTCGTGGACATGTCTTCATAACGTACTTGATAATCTGGTATCGCCCTTTCAACAGCTTCTCTGCCTCATCTTTCATGTGGTACCATACTCTCTGTTCGGCTGCTTGGGAGGTTTGATCTGGCTGTGTTACCTATGCTCCTCTCCAGGAAATACTAATACTGATCAGGTCGGTTTCATACCTACGTGTGCCATTGCGCTTGGCTCCCGACGCCCCATTCCACCCCGCACATATATAGGAGATGTTGGATTCGCTCGACGAACCTGGACGTGTGAGTTTCTCCACGCAAACTTGTAAGTCTGAGACGTACTGTATGGTCGAAGATCTTGACCTCGCTCGCACCTAGCTCTTTCTTTACGAAACGTTGGATCTCTGGCCAGTACTCGCGCCTGATCCATTCTTCATCATGGAACTTTGCTTCGCTGGGAACGGTTGGATGTCGACGGATCTCGAAGCCGCATGTGTCTAGCGATACCAAATGCTCCCTCCCACGCACGTCGTAGATTGGTGTTTTCTCATGGTCAGTCACGGAGAGGTTCTGCTGTTTGGCCCCTGGGATGTTGAAGAACGGTATATTTGAAAAGAATGGCTTCTCGGCTTTATAAAGATCAAGGCTTGCGAGATAGCCCACCTTGCCCAGGACCTTTGGGAGACTCAATAGCTCCGTCATTTTTTGAGAGCGTTGTGATGGAGGGTCTGTTAAGCAGTATTATGTCTCGATTTGTTTGAACTTCAGGCGATAGGATATCCGCGGAGAAAGTATCAAATGGTGATATGGTGGTTAATTTAGTGATCGACGTTTCCGGTCAGCTACTGGTGAAGTGATGCACTGCTTCCTCCCGCAACTAATCTTGCGGTTCGCGTCGAATGCTGCATCTGCGGACGAAATTCCCATGACCTAGTTTGAGCCCAACAAAGCAAGGGAATCCTGACCCAAGATGCAGTATCCGTTGCATTGCATTGGATTGTATGTAGGTATGCCCAACAGTGGCCTTGGTCACGCGTGTCACCGCGATGGCTTATCTTCATTGACCCCCTCATGACCCTACCCCTCATTACGCCCCGTTTTGCCTTAATTCGCCATTGCTGCACCCTGATCGGTCAAAACTACCCGTGTAGAAGGAGTAATGCTTGCCTTGTCGCCGCTGACAATATCTGGCTGCATGAACTTGCATTATCAGCGCAACCGAAGGGTATGGGTATTACGAATTTCCCACATGAGAGTTCGGGGTCAATGAAGATGTCATTGTACTAGTCCGTCGTCGTCATCGTTTAATCGTTACTCTGCACAAGGTCTTCGTCTCGTCTTAGACAAATTAGGGGTGAGCGTATGTGAAGCTGAGGAGTAAGCTAAATAATATACGTGAAATAACAATTCGCTCATTAAGACACCTCATCAAGACGTGTTGGAACTAGGTTCAACTTCAAAAGTAGTGTCCATAGCTAGCTCAGTACTACGACCGTTGCTCAGCCTCCTTCCGCACCAGTACAGCCAATTACAATAGCCGATTGAGGTATTCCAAGAGTCTCCCAGTCTTCTGGTGTCATCTCAGTTTCAACGGACGATTCCGGGCCGAAGATCTGCTCCGGATAATGATAGTACCGAATCCAATCAAGCCATGGTTTTTGAACCCCTTTATCTGGTTCGGGTTGCCATCCTACCCACGGTCCATCATTGTTCTTCTCAACAAGGGATTTCCATTGTTTCCATGGCTGGGTCGGCGCTTCGAAGAAGTCAGAGTGCATAGTCTCATATAGAGAGAGGAGAGAGTCTAACCTGGCCTAGCGTTCTCACTGAACTCTGTGGAGCTCTTGTTTGAAAGAGATGGCTTCTCTTCAGTCGTAGAAGTTGACTCTGCTTCTGAGCTACATTTCTGTTAGCCTCGTGGTTGAATGAGAATGTGTAATCACCTGTAACGGACGTACCATATAAACGTCGAAGCTGAAGTGATGTTTTCGGTCTCCATGTTGCGCAGACTGTAGCGGCTGTCAAGTCTTACTAAAGTAACGCGATTTAGTTGGAACTTGGAAGAGTTTCAGACCCATATACTTGCGCATGAGGCTGAAAATGAGCAGATAAGACCCCGCCTTTCCATTTACCCAAATCACTACCAGGATTTACTACTCGACGCCTGACCTCCCTATTGTGGCATGGATCAACCATTGGGCTGGCCGCATATCCCTCTTTACGTGGAGGCATCATATTGGATAGCCTACTTCTACCATGCGGTAGGCTTGCAATTTGACAACCAGGAGTGGCAAGTACACCTCGTGCCCAGTCATCGACACATGCCGAGGAATATTTTGGGATCCACTTCGCCATCGGTTAAGTACGCAGCCTGGATACCCATGTGAACGTGGCCGCAGTCCCGTGTCGGCTGCAACTTACGCTGCCGAAGGCCTAGTCATCTGAAGGCTTCCCGCCAGGCCGCATAGCTCGGATTAACCCAAGGAAGTGGGTAGGAAATGCTGCGGCAACAGCAACAAGCCATATGATAGCGGATATCGGCCCTTGGAGGTGTTATCTCTGGTTGGGATGTGGTATTAGTCTTACCTGCGAGCGTCCAAAACGTAGCCAAGGTGGTGGGCTGCTTAGGGTCCGAAGAAAACTCTCGAACGCTCATCGAGAAGAACGATGTGAAGAATGAAAGCGGAAGCTGATTTGCCGGGTCCAGTCAGCATAATGACAGTCGAGGACAGTGTCATACTAACGAAGATAACAGTCATGAATGTGAATATCATCATAACTCGGTTCTGCTTCGCTGCAGATTCAGCCAAGGCCAGAGAGGCTTCCGTTTGCCTTCCAGTTTCTTCGGCTTGCTTGACTGCCGATCGAGCCTCCTGGAGACTAGCGCGTTTTTCATGCAGGTCGAGAAGATTGAGCCACTGCAAAGCCTGTCAGTGTTTCTGTCCGCTGACGTGAACGGGTCGAACTTTACGAAAAAGAAACAAGAGTGTCCTGTGAACATGGGAATCCGGGCTTACATCCGCCTTGTTGTGCAGCAAACTTGCTTGCAATGTGTTGAAGTTAGAAAGAAAGTCGGAGATCTTGCCCCTGGTCTCAAACAGTCTTGCAAGCCCGGGCCTGTGTGAAGAACTGTCGAAAAGCAGATCTTTCCAATTCTCACCCCATATCGTGGTTCCGAATGTGTCGAGAACGTTTAGTTGTGTCTTGTAGACTTCCTGAAGAACGAGAATCTCATCAAGCATCGTAGACACATCAAAGATCCTGGCCCAAGTGCTGTCGGCCTTTATCAATGACCTCGAGTTCGGGCTTTGGTTGAGTGCCTCATCTCTGAAAGTAGCAAGAGCTTGCATATACTCTTGCCTCTGATGGTGCCTTAGCATTGTAAAAGGTGAGATGATAGAGTACTCACTAAGCTAGAGACGGAGTTCCTGTAGCATTCAATCAGTTCAAAGCCTCTTGACTGAGATGTTTCTGTGATTAGATTCACGGCTCCCTGGATTATTAATGTGCATAAGCTATGCACATCAGAACAAGCCTCCATTGGGGACACAATTTCTGCAAGACGCGTCTTGATCGTCTCCTCAAGAGGGTAGTTCTTGTTGTCGCTGACGAATGGCTTCTCACAACCTGGGAAGAAAGTAATCACAGTGTCTGCAATAAAGTGAGAAAGGCATGCGGGCGAATGCATAATTACTGACCATTGCCGATGCTAAAGAGCCACAATTGATTGACAACCAGCGCTTTTGGGGCTGTCATCGTATGTTTCGTCCTTCTTGGAACAGCTTGGTCTTGCAGTCTTTTTGAGGACCTCGCAAAACCTGAAGACGTCGCAGATGATGGAAACTGATATTGATCTAGTGTGCTGGGGAGCTGCAGAGGCTTAGAGGCGGTTACTGAAGCTGCTTTAAACCGCCGCTTTGGATGGGTCGTAACGGATGCATAGGCTTCCTGCACTGATTGTGGAACAGCATCTGACACAAGCATTTCCAAAGCTTTGTGTCGCTCACAGAGATGAGACGCATCGTCCCACCCTAAGAAAGGCATCTGTATATATCAGCGTCATCCACGTACCCGTGATTTTGCCGGACATCGAGCTTACAAAAAGAGCTACGGTCCCGGGAGCGCTCTGATGCCGAGATTTCCCTTCAAGAACATTGTATCCAGCTGCGTGAGAAGAAGCTGAATAGATACCTTCGCGACAAATTGACTCGCATCCAAGCCGTATAGATCTTGTCATCTGCGACACGTGACGAATCGATTCTTCCCGATCTGACATCATTCTGCGGAATCTGGCCACATCTGATGCTGGCAGCAGCTTGCTTATCAAGCTCTCTGCCCAGTCAAGATTGTTCTGCGAAGCGTGGTACCATCGATACCGGAGCCCGTTTCCACGCTGGCCAGCAAATTCCGGCTTGGGATGATCTGCGTCTTCTGGCCCTTCACAGAGCGATTGTACCGAGACGTTTTGTGTTGAAATCTTCGTACTTACGGTCGACGTCGACGGTAGCGTTTTGAACGTGACTTCATGAACTGAAAATTTATATTCATGATCTAGAGGGAAGAGTTTCACGAGTAATTCGAGTTCAGACATTTGCTATGGCAGGAGAACGTGTAGGGCTACCGGTGTTACTTATGTTGCCATAGTAGAGGGAAACTTGTGTATAGATTGTTTGCAGAACACCATGCAGACACAGCAAGGCTGACACCAGGCAGACACGACAAGGTTGTATGCGAGGCGAACAAGTATGTTCAGCCACATTAGTATTACCCCGCTCAGTGCACCACCAGCCAGTTCAAGGCAACCAGCTTATCGGGCGTATATAATTTTGCCTCTCGTCAGCTTGGTATGTGGCACTACTTTGCAGTAAGCTGTTCACGGTGAGACGCGCACTTCGCATGTTGCAATCCACCTTCAAATCGATCCGACCTTGCTTGTCACAGTATGGCCTCTGGCTCTGCTGCCACCACCTTAGCTTCCATTGCAAACGATGCTTGGGATGATATCGTTGAACTTTGTCGGAGCAAGCTCAGCGAAGAGGATTTCGAGAACGTTTCAAGTGTAGGGTCTCTCGAAGGCTTGATTGCTTACAGCAAAGCTCTGCTCGAGGATTGTCAGAATGATCCAAGAGCATATGATATCGGAAGGCTGAACGGCTTCATTGCTCAGCTTCGCACATTCAACGGCACCTTTGAGCATATGCTTCGCGCCAACCCGTCGGTCACAGCCCCTCTTTGGGGGAGTATTCAACTATGCGTTCAGGTGAGAGGAATGTGTAGATTGCTTAAGCATGTCTCTAACTGTATTGCTCAGCTCGTTCAGGAGGGCGCAGACGTCCTCCGAATTATAGTTGACATGTTTACCGACGTCAACTATGTACTACCCCGCATCGATGTGTACAGCAAAACCCTCAGCAGTCGCAGTGAATCTCTGACAAGGTCAACTCGTGAAGGCAAGACATTGCAAACAATATTTTGTGCTACCAAGCTTATCCCCAATTTCTCTAGTTATGCTTTTGATAGCAGAATTCGCATGCCTCGTTATAGTGTACTATCGTGAGAATCCAATCAGTAGGCTGCTTCACGCTTCGCAAACCATCTTTATGCTCATGTCATACGGTAGGAAATATTGTTGTAATCACGTGGACACCGTTTCGGCCAGTCTTTGAACGAATCGTTGCCCGCATCCAGCAGACGGCGCGGCATATCGAGTTTGAGGCGCATGCTCTTGCGATGCAGGACAGCACCACACGCTATGAGGAATTAAAACGTCTCCTCACCTCAGTGCAGAAGGATAAACCTGAGCCCAAAACTTCTTGTTTCTGTGTGTCCCGGCCGCGCAATCCAAAATTTGTGGGCCGAGAAGGAATCCTAAAGGAGATGGATACAGCCCTCAATCCTCGGCATCACAAATCAAAGAAACAAACTGTTTACTCGTTGTTCGGCCTTGGAGGTGTTGGGAAGACACAACTTGCACTAGAGTATCTTTACGTGCATAAAGATGAGTTTCCGGTCATTATTTGGCTCTCAGCAGAAACGACTCAGAAACTAGACCAAGATATCCGAGAAGCTACCTCAAGACTCGGCTTGGTTCTTGAACAGGACAAAGAAACTGAAAGTAAACTACGGGCAGTTCTCAAAACATGGCTGAAGGAAACAGGTAAGGTCTATGGTAATGATGATGCGATGAGCCTGCCTTGAGCTAAAGTGGAACAGACATACCATGGCTCCTGGTATTTGATAACGCTGATCAACCAAAGCTTCTCCAAGAGTATTGGCCCGTCGCTGAACATGGTTCTATTCTTCTGACAAGCAGAAATCCTGCTTCGGCAAGAATTCGTGCCAGTGGCTATCCCAGTAAAGGCAGGCAGATCACGCCCCTGAACGAAGAGGAGGGCGCGGGCCTTTTACTCAGTCTACTGCAGGATGATGATAACCAAGAGGATTTTATGGAGCAGGATCTTTCGGAGGTAGAGCCTAGCGAAAGCACATATTCCCTCGCCTGCAGATTGGCGGAAGAGCTCGGTGGTCTCCCCCTTGCGATCGATCAAATGGCAAGCTATATACTCGAAACTGGCTCGTCATTAGCTAGCTTTTTAGACGTTTTCCTGTCCTTCCAAAACAAGTCGCACTTCCTTCTGGAGTCCTCAAACCCCAATTTGGACTTGGGTTATTCTCATTCTATGTCGACCGTTTGGGAAGTATCGCTTTCACGGGTTACATCCAATGGAAGACACCTCCTCGAGCTGCTCGTATTTTACGATCCGGATTCTATTCCGGAAAGTCTATTCGTCGATGGTGCAAAATCACCTCCAGTCAACACGCCACACGACCTGGAATGGCTCGCTAATAAATTACAGTTCATGGAGGCCTCCAAAAGCCTCTTCGAGCAAAGCTTAGTCACCAAAAATAAGGGTCACTCGGCGTTCGTACTCCACAGGTTAGTTCGCACCGTGACCCTGACAAAGATGGAGGCGGAGGACAGACAGGCTCGCTTCAACGAGGCTGTCCATTTGATACACCGCGTCTGCCCGCGTCTGTCTCCCGACGAGTCGTACTTGAATCGACACTGGCCAACGATGCGCCTCTACTTGCCTCACATACTTGCCCTCGAGAGCCAATACCGAGAGCAAGGGACGTTCGCACCAACCGCGGAGCTTGCAGATATTCTGACCAGTGCTGCATGGTTCTTAATGGAGCAGGCTCAACTGCGGCAGTCGCTCGAGATACTTGCCACCGCAAAATCGGTCGGGCTTGCGACCAAAACCGGCAACGAGTTCATGGCCGCCCAAATCTACGTGCTGTATGGTGTCATCTACGTCGACATTCAGGACCGCGACAAAGCTTTCAAAGCCCTTTCCACGTCCCTGGACATTCTGAAGGAGACGGACGGTTGTGATGAGCTCGCACTGGCTGCAGGCTACAACGGATTCGGGTACACTGCAATGACTATGGGCAACTTCGATGTAGCCGACGAGTATCTGAAGATGAGCGTTGGGCTGCGGGAAAAACATCCTTCGAGAAATCCTGGTATGCTCGGTATCTGCTATAGCAATATCTCTTGTCTCCGCTGGGCCCAAGGACAATACGAAGACTCGTTGCGATTTGCAGAAATTGCGATACCGCTGTGCGAAGGGGCTTACGGTGTTGCTGGCGAAAAAACTGCGCAGTGAGTTTGAAACTTTTCTCACATTTTGCAAAAGCTTTTGCCTGACTTATCGAAAGGCCATATTGGCGAAAGGGAAATACGCTCATCCGGCTTGGGAGACTGGAAGATGCGTTTACGGCGCATATGCGAGCCCTGGACATCCGAAAGGAGGCGACCCCCGGTGGTTTCAAGTTTGCTGCCTCTCTTCACAAGGTCGCCTGGATTTTCGCGCAACAGGGCGATCACGCGAGTGCAGAGTACGTCCCTGTTCCACGCGCTGTTCGACTGACCCACTCTAATATGAATTAGACAGCTGTTGTCCAAAGCCATAAGCATCTATGAGGCAACTGATGAAAGAAAAGGAGAACTTGCTCGATCAACGTATCTCATGTCAGCGGTCTTGAAAGGGATGGGGAAAACCGAAAATGCGGAATATGCGAAAGCCGTCGCAGCCCAGCTGCGCAAAGGTCTAACAGGTCTCCAGTCGGAGGTGAATGATAATCAAGAGTCGTACGATCTACTTGTATCATTATTAGAGCGTTAAACGGTCCGCTATTGCAAGGTTTATGGCAGAAAGAAATCGTAATAAGGAGGAAAGCAAATGGGTCAGTTCTATATATTCTTTCTAAGTCAGCTAGGATTTTTGAAAACATCCCAATACCTACAGTGACAAGTCATAAGTCTGTGCACGCACGTTCACCGCTGCTTGGGGTGCCTCCATGGAATTTGAAAAACTTAGGCGCGATGTTAAATTCCAAGTAGTGCAAAGTCGACTGCCTCTTGACTAACTGACTGCTTAGTAGCTGGGCTGCTCCTCACAGTGGTGTCGAGTGAGCAAGATTGAAGCCAGGCAGTGATAAATCCGTGTGCCCAGACTTATGGCCTAGTACTGTACCACTTAGTCTGCAGCAGTCTCACGAGTTCTGCCAGGATGCTTACAAGGCGACTTTATAACTGGTAGCGGACTGCCTCCAGAGGATTCCCTAGGTCGAAGAGGCTTCCCCAATTCCCACGTTGAAGAAACATCTCGGGTCTCGCGAGTCCACGAAGATTTTCTCAACCAAGAGGAGCCTCTAAACCCCCTCACGTGACCCTACTCGCTCCTCCTCCTCTTTAATCACCCACCCCGCCAGCACCCCCATCAACGCCTCCCCAAACACCGGCTGCACATCCCCACCCCCCTCCTCCAAACTCCCCAAATACCACGTCACATCCCTGCCATCCCCCTCCACCTCCCTCGTCGTAAACCCATTCCCCAGCCACCCAAACCGATTCTCATCCCAATACGCAATCTCATAATCCTCATACCGCGGCGCCTTCATCATCTCCAGAAAGTGCAGCCGGCTCCCCGGCCACACGGCCACCTGCCCGTCCCGCTTCCCCTGCTTAAACCACGATGCGCACGGCGAGGACCACGCCGTGCGCTGCAGGAAGAGGTCGGCGTGCTGGCGGAACTGCTGCGAAGCGCGCAGTGAGGGGGTCAGAGATTTGAGGTTCTCGGTTTGGAGTTTGGTGATGCAGGTGAAGATGTAGCGGGTCCATTGCTCGATGAGGGGGATTAAGGAGCCGTGGCCGAGGGGGCCGTAGGGGCTGGGGTCGTTAAATCAGTAAGCGTATTTGGGATCGTAGGGAGAGAAGATGGGGTAGGTGGGAAGAAAAAGAAAGTGGGGAGAAGAACAGATCACGCACCCGCAATATGAGAAATGATTTGGGAATGTGGGGATCGCGATGCTGAGATATGATGTCAACCCGTTCTCATCGCTCCATAACTCACGCAGGTCTTTGCCGTGCGCTTTGAAGGGGAAGCGCGGGAGCCAGGATGTGTTGAAGCCTGTGGCGCAGATCACGGCATCGACTTCGTGATGCGTGCCCTCGTGATCTACGAAGCCGGTCTCCGCGAAGAGCTTCACCTCATCCGTGAAGATCGTCGCGTTCGGCGCAACGAGGGCTTCCAGATAGCCCGGCGCGGGGGTCGGCCGTCTACAACCCGGATTAAAGTCCTTGGGGATCATTTTCTCGACGAGACGTGGATCGTTGGACAGTTTACGCGTCATTTCGGCCTCGGCGTACTCGCGTGCTTGGCGGGCTTCGGGGCTGCCTTTGATGATGAATTTGAAGCGTTGGTTTAGTTCGTTTTCGATCTGTTTGCGGTATTCGAGGTACTTCTTCGGGTTTTCCTCTAAAAACTTGAGTTGGGCTTTGGTGTCTGGGGGGTGTTAGTAGGTGTAGGGGATGAGAGTGGGCTGAATGTGGTTTACATGCGAAGTTGGCGCCGTCTTTGCCCGCCCACGTTTGCGCAAAGCCTGCCGTTATCCAGATTGGAGAACGCACCCAGTGGTATAGCTTGTTGACTTTCTTTTGGATAGCTGCTACTATTTGGACGCCGCTGGAGCCTGCGCCGAGAACGGCTACTTTCTTTCCTGTAAGGTCGTACGAGTCGTCGTAGTGAGCTGAGTGCATTAGTTTTCCTTTGAAGTCGTGGAGACCGGGTATGTTGGGCCATTTCCAATTATTCAGGACGCCGCCAGCATTGATGAAAAGTTCCGCGCTGTCGTCTACGACTTCGTCGGTTTCTAGGTTACGGATCTTGAACCGCCACAGTCCGGCGTTGTCATCCCATCCTACTCCCTCAATTTGATGCCGCAGCTTGATGTATTTCTTGATGAAGTCATTCTCCTCTTCGATCGATTTGAGATATTGCCATATTTCAGGGCCGTATGAGTAATAATGGGTCCACAGCGCGATCTTCCAGGAGAATTGATAATTGACGGATGGGATGTCACACGCGACTCCGGGGTACCTGCGCCATGTAGATCAGCCACACGGCTTCTTTGTCACATCGAAGAAAGGCATTGCACCTGTTCTCTAGCCAAGTCCCTCCGATATCGTGATTCTTCTCATAACAGACTATGTCCAGATTCTCCATCTCTTCCTCGGCTTTCTTGAAGAAATTCAGGGAGGATGCACCAGCACCCATCAGGATCACTTTCACCCTCCGCTTCGTGCCCATTGGTTGCTCACGAATCTTGTAGCCATACTGGTCAGTTTCTGGCGCAGGCTGGTCTCTGATGCTGAAGTCTGCATTGGCGTGACTGCTGCCATTGACAGAGGGGTTCGAGCTTAGATAGCTGGCCATGTTTTTGCCTATGTCAATAATATGCGTAAAACGAAGAAACTTGTATGAAATCACGAAAAGATAATGAGAACAGAGGCGTTTTCAAAGGAGTAATATTGCTTAAAGATGACGGATGAGAGTTAGAGACGATATGTCAGCCTACGAACAAGCCCCTTGCCTCGGAGAATCTGGCAAATATGGCTCCAACCCCTCCGAATAATGCGAGCTTTGAGAGAGCTGGACGAAGAAGCGGGGTAGTAAGATGTACATATCAGCACAGCTCGGGAGATGGAGGCCGAGATAAGTCCGCTGGGTGCAACGGGTATGCACCCCTTCTTCAACCCATGCGCCTACGCTTGTGGGCACTTGCTATCCGCCTGCAAGTGATGCTTGACGGGCTATTTGGAGGGCCTAATAGTCGTAGGGCTGAAGGATTTGACCACCACGCGTGGCACACAGCTAAAGAGCGGCGACCCGTGGCACGGGAGTACCAGCGCCGTCGATTCACGTGGAGCAGCCATGCATGTCAGCTTGTCGACGACCAGGGCGGTGGCACTGGGATGAGGTGACTCGGAGACGCCGTGGCGAGCGTAGAGGCAGCCGTCAGAGCTGAGGATGGGAGGGAACTGGTTTGATGACGGGGCGATCAAACGGTGCGGGCCAGGATGTCTTCACGGTATGGTCGGTTTGCAGTCTGCCGTAGAATATTACGGAGCTGGCGAGAGAGGAGCCCGAGGCCAGCGGCAGGCCAGGCAGATTCGCTGTCTGCTGGGCGTTTAGCTCTAGTTCTACATTCTGTAAGACGACACTCGATGATCCACGATCCCACTCCTCGTCCTGACGTGCCCTCATTCACCAACTGCCTCTCTGCGCCCACCGCAGCTCGACATCGCCATCATCTCCGCGCTATTGTTGCGGACGTCTGCTGCTTTCCTGCCCCCTCTCTGCGCCCAGCCGCCACGCTTCGCCCGCAACACGTCCCACCGCGCACACTGGCAGCTCCGCCAGCAGCGCCAGCAACCGCTCCAGAGCCAGCATCGAATGCGCGGCCCGTCTCGTCCGTCGCCCATCCTGACGAGGCGTAGAGCAAGGCAGATGCGGACATTGCACCAGGCGGCAAGAGGTCCTGCGCTCCGAGTGCTGCCCGCTACGACTCCCCACTGCGCAGCCTGGTGAATGACCTGGCCGCCACTACCTCCAGGACTCGACCGTCGATACCGCACCGGCGCGCTTCAACACCATGTCCTACTACGGGAACGGGCAGGGCTACTACGGCAGTAACGCTGCTCACGCGCCCCAGCCCCAGCAGGGCCAATATCAAAATCCCTACGACCAGCGAGCGCCGACTTGCGACAATGGAGAAGATCCGGCCGTGGGTCCGAACGGAGGTGCGCAGAACAGCTATGGATACCCCCCGATGCAGCCTCCCGCGCAACGGATTAGCGTGCCTGTGCAGCAACAGGACGAGCTCTTCATAGGCAATAACGGTGGAGGCATGAGCCCACCTGTGCCGACCTCGCCCGGCTATGGAGGATACAGCTACCAGAATCTCCCCCAGGCGCAGAGCCAATACAACCCTGGGCAGTATGCTCCTCCGGTCCCTTTGCCCAACCCGCAGACGTATGGGGGCGTCAATAGACAGTCATTTGCCGCCGCCCCATCGCACTCGCCGTACAATCCAGCTTTATATGCCGAAACGAGCCTTGCGAGAAACAACACTGTGAGCCATCCGTACGGCTTCTCGCCCAGCACTCCTTCCTCCGCGTCATACCCCACACCGCCCCAGCAATATCCGACTCCTCCCGTTCAGCAATCACAGTTTGCGCGGACATACTCGGTGCAGGACCACAGGCAATCCCAGCAGTATGGACAATCGCCTCATTCGACTTCTTCGTCTGTCCCGGGGAGGTCGAGTTATGCGGCCCCTGCCCCGCCCCCACTTCCAGTACCGCCAGGAAGTGCCACGTCTCCATCGGATGATTGGGTGGGTAGCATGCCATCGAGACAATCTTCGAACGCACCATCGTACCATGGTTATCGCGCCTCAGATCCGGATATTTCGCGGCAAAATAGCCTACCATCACCTCCGGGGTATAACTCAGGCTACGGCCAGGGCAGACCTGAGAGGTATCCGTCCTCTTCGAGTCACCATTCAGGGAACACGCTCCCGCCAACGCCCGAAGTCCCACCGCATCAATCCCCGCAACGAACGGATACTATAGGCCGTCGACCTCTACCAGCTCCGCCTCCACAAGAATCGGATAGTGACGACTACTTCACCCACCCGAACGGTGGAAACAACAACTATGTCGACCAGGATGAACTGTTCAACCAAATCGAGAACACATTTAGTACTAGTGCAAGCAGCCCCGGCTACAATCCTAGCATACAGGTCCAGCAGCCTGTGAATGGAGGCGATCATAGCTTGTCGTACCACTCTTCGGTACACCGGCAAGGGTCTGGACCGAATGGAAATACACTCAATGGCCATCTCTCACCATACACTGCTCCGGATAACTACAATACCAGTGATGAAAGCGATATCGAGGCAGCTGCAGGTTTGGCTGCGTTACAGATGGCGGAGGCGCAAGAGGAAGCTGATGAAGCCCGACGCCGGAGCGGAGGAAGTGGGTTGTTCAGCAATTTTACAGCGGTACCACCCGCTCAAGGATATCTTAGTCCTGAAACTTCTCACCATCCAGACCCGGGCAGTACCAGCGATAGTGACTACGTTCCTATCGATGTAGGGTTATATGGCGGAAACTATGAGCCTCAATTCTCGTACGGTGGGGGGCCCAATCAGCTCGCAAGCGTCTCGGATAACCAAAACCACACTGTGACGTCTTCTGGCTCGCAACGACGATCAGAAGCTGCCAGCGACGGCTCCTACGCAGATCCAATACATCCGTTCCCACCTTTCAATGCGAACGCAAGAGTGGACACTTTTGGTACTGGCGGGCTTGCCGAGCCTACAGCTAGGCGCCGACTTAGCTACGATGAAGGGGATGAGGTCACACTCACCGACACTCAGGTGGCAGCTGCGGCAGGAGAGCCAGCTGATATGTTCTTCCACCCAGGAATGTCTGTCCGTCGGCCTTTGCCTCCACCGCCAGCCCATGAAGCGCGGTATTCGCAACATGCCTCATCGCAAAGTGCTGATTGGAGATACCAGCAAAATCCTCGACAATCTTACCATTCTTCCCCCGATTCCATCCAGACTCCAACTTCAGCGGTGCCAAGATCAACGTCGTTACTTAATCACAGCAATCATACTCAATCTATCCCTCTACCGAGGTCGAAGACAGATGCTGAGCAATATCGGATGCGTCAGCAACAAATTGCATCTAGGAACAATGCATATGGCGTTGATAGTGACGGAAATACACTGACACCAGCAAGCGGGGATGCCGTGGCTCTCGATCTTCCTGCGCTCCCGAGTGGTAAACGTTTCAACCCGGCGAAACTCACCCCCAGCGACTTCAAGAAATGTTCAGAGCCGTGGGCGCTCAGTTCCGTTATTGCTTGGCTGAAAAGCATGGCCGAAGGAGAGGCTGATCTCAAAGAGGGTGCTATCCGAGACGGATTGGTCGCTCTATTCACTCATAAAGTCCCAACTATGAACGTAGCCGACGCAGAAACACTGGGTAGCCGTGTTGTCGCAGAGATGTACAAAGCTGGCACTCTGGTTCACGAGGAAGAATGGCTCAAATTTTCTTCAGAGACAATGACTGGAGTGATATTCCAGTTGACTGGGGCTGGTTGTTACGCTCCGAAGGTGCATGAACACCACACGGGCGGCCGATGCTATGCCTATCACTGCCAGAGGACATTGAAGAAGATCGACCTTCAATCACAGCCCGCAGTTCCGCGGTCGGACGACTGGGCAACGTTCTACGCAGTCAAGAAAGAAGATGTGGAGGGCGTCAACAAAAAGGAAATTGAGCGTCAGAATATCCTTCACGAGATCGTCCAGGGAGAAGATAAGTTCATGGAGAACCTAGATGTGCTTCGGCAACTCTATCGGGACAAGCTGCTGTCATCACAACCTGCCGTTATCGGTCCCAAAAAGCTGAAAATCTTCATTCGCGACGTTTTTGGGAAGGTGGATGCCGTGAAAAAGGCGAACGAAGACCATCTCCTTCCGCAGATGAAATACCGACAACAAGAACAAGGCCCATGGGTGGTTGGCTTTAGCGACATCTTCCGGGAATGGATAAGGAAAGCGAAAAATGCATATATTGAATATTCCGCGGCGTTTCCATATGCGACGTTTTTGGTGCGACAGGAAGCAGACAGGAACATTCTCTTCCGAACCTTTTTGGACGAAGCAAGAGCAAACAAGCAGTCAAACAAGTTGAGCTGGGACACTTTCCTCAAAGCCCCGATCACTAGGTTGCAGCATTACAGTCTTCTTCTTGGGACGGTGCTTAAACGAACCACACAGGACGGGGAAGAAAAGAGGAATCTTCAAATCGCTATGGAGGAGATTAAAGCTGTCACCTTAGAGTGCGACAATCGCGTCGCCGAAATGACACGCAAGGTCGACTTGACAGACCTAGAGGATAAGCTGATTTTGCGGCCGGGAATGCAACGGGTCGAGTTGAACCTTGATCACCTTGGGCGAGAACTCATCTATAAGAACGATCTGCAACGATTAGGAGGGAACAGATTCACCTGGGTGGAAAACCATGCTCTACTATTTGATCACTATCTTGTTCTTGCGAAGACGATTAAGCATAGGGAAGCCGATGGAGTTACAGCGTCGGAGAAATACGACATATCGAAACTTGTAAGTGGCCACGCATATCAGATCCGCTTCTCAATTGACTTATGTTTAGCCAATCCCAATGGACCTTTTGGTTCTGGAAAGCGAAGACGACGATCCCGTCATCAAGTCGGCTGTCAAGGGATTCACACCAATCGCCAACCCAGTGAAGGGTGTGCAAGACTCGCGCCTTGGAAGGACAGCTTCAAATCAGAGCCCAGGTCCGGGAACCCTACAGCATACTAATACTTCAACTTCTCAAACGTCTATGAGCACAACCTCGTCTGGCAAGACGTTGCAGCCAAACCCAAATCTTGAACAACCAAAGGACGAGAAGATTCTGTATCCTTTCCGAATCAAGCATCTCGGAAAGGAGGTCTACACTCTTTTCGCTCCAAGCGCGGCCAACCGGGCAGAATGGTGCGACAAGATCATCATCGCGAAGACGAAGCACGCAGCAGCTCTGTTCGCACAGAACGCCGAACCTTTCCGCCTACGAGTCATTGCAGATTCGGCCTTTGCTTACGAAAGCGCGATGCCTTCGCAGCGAAGCATCACTATCAAGGGCACTCCACTAGACAGGGCGATTGACGAGGTGGAGAAGCTATTCTCTGAGCGTGGTCGCCCTGTGCCAATTTGTAGAGCAAAGGTCAATTGCGCGACTGCATTCAACCAGCCATATGGCAAGCCTATGATTGCAATTGGCACTGATATTGGTGTTTACATCTCGGAAATGGATAATCCTCGTGGTTGGTCGAAGGTATACTTCTCCTGTCGATCTGGATTACCTGTGTTGTTACTGACATCGTTCTCAGGCAATTCAAATACCAAGAGTCACCCAACTCGCGGTTCTAGAGGAGTTCAGCTTGATGATACTCATCTCCGATAAGTCTTTGATTGCGTATCACCTTGATGCCGTATGTCCTGTTGGTGGTGCGGCGCCAGGAAGCGACACTGCTCGGAAAGCCCCTCAGAAGCTATCGGGGGCCAGAGATGTTGGCTTCTTCTCCACCGGCAAAATGAAGGAAAGGACTCTCGTATTCTACAAGAAGCGCGAGGGTCTATCTTCTACATTCAAGGTTCGTCATCACCCCTAAATCCCCCTTAACCTCATCCCAGATACTAACTCCCATGCTCCTAGGTCCTCGAGCCCGTCTACCAAAAATCCACCGAGAAGAAATCCCGCATCTGGAAAACAGGCCGTACGGAATTTTTCCGCGACTACGATGAATTCTACATTCCGACTGAGTGCTACGGCATCAACCTCTTCCACTCCTCCCTCGCCGTTTCTACCTCCAAGGGCTTCGAGGTCCTCACACTCGACAAGAAACAGCCCTGGTCTGTCCCTGACCTCAAGGCTCCCCACGTCGCCACCATCGCCTCCCGCCTCATCAACCAAGACCCTCTCGGCATGTTCCGTCTTTCAGATTCGGAGTTCCTGCTCTGCTACGAAGAGTGCGCCGTATATGTCAACAAGCACGGCGATATCTCCAGGTCTGTGATCATGGAGTTTGTGGGCAAGGCCAAGAGCGCGGCCGTGTACGGGCCGTATGTGCTCCTCTTCGATCCTGATTTTGTGGAGATCAGGAACGCGCAAAATGGACGGTTACGGCAGGTTATCTCGGGCAGGGATGTCAAGTGCCTGGATGACGGGCTGGGTGGCACGAACGGCGCCGTAAGGACGATTAAGTTGAGCTTGCAGCATCCGGAGCAGGAGCGGTGTCAGATTGTGGTCGAGTTGCTGCTTAACGAGGGGCAGAAGGAGTAGTGGGTGTGATGAGTATGTTGGGATGAAGTGGGCGGTTATCTGAGCTCAGCTGGGCCTGGTTGGATGATGGGCGAATCTGGGCTGACTTGTAGCATTGTGTGGCGAGTCGAACTGTGCCTGGTTGAATGGGATGGATAGGTGCTGGGTGCTATGTTTGCATGTTTTCTTCTCAAGGCTCTTTCTTTCGGGAGGCTGGTTGAATGTTGCCCTTTTTTTTTCATCGAATGGATACGAATGATACCTATGCTACTGTCCCTGGTATTCTTGTTGGAGGACGAGGTCGTGTGTGAGCTATGTGTAGAGTGGATTAAGCCATTTTCAGATCTCTGAGATGTGCGAAGTGAGGCTCCGTATACATGCCAACTAGATTAACTATGTTCCCTACGGAGGGCTCCAAAACTTTCTTTAAGCTATATCCTTGCTCTGTTTACATCATCCTGATCCTAGATGTTTCGTTTCCTTGAGGACCAAAGCAGTTACGACATGTCCTCTCTTCCGCATAGCCTTTGCGTTTACCAAGCTGAGTTATGTGCAGTTATTCAATAAGGACTTACAGTCGCGCAGATGATTCCTTAGATGGAGGACCTCAAGGATTCTTTTAGGGGCACGCCGTTAGGCCTCCTTCATCCTTCATCAAAGTAACTCGGGACACTCACTTTCGTGGTAAGAGGTGACAACAACGTGTGGAAGCCAAGTGGCAGAAAGGCTAAGGATATGCAGTACACTAAGAGTAGGACAGTAATCTAAATTACCATTCTCAGCCGCGTACAAAACCATGACTAACTATTCGTATTGCTCAGAGATCATCTGCAGACATATGCAACTAGTAATAGCCCATGCAGCAACCCTACTTACGCACATGGCTTTCACGAGACGTGTGGCCCAGACACGCAGCCTGACTGGTTCTCATACGTGTTCCTGTGCACACCGGTAGCTTTCTTGTTATCTCTCATGACATTTCATAATTGGAAACCTCTCGCAGGCGGCCTGCTTTCTTATTTGACATCCTAGGGAGCCACTACATCGCAATTCATAGCCCTGCATACCCATTATGTCAAGCATACACACGGACTCTCCTCGAGGCGCAAATGCAATTAGAGCCACCGAACTGCGAACTATATCGTTCTCGGCTTTAGCAAGAGACAACACAGCCGCAATTGCAGAAGTCTTCGAGGCCGGCTTCCAAGACGGATTCTTTTATCTCGACCTCCGTGATGCCGAAACGCAGCCCCTCTTAGATAGTATTGAGGAGCTATATCAGCTCTCTGAGACTCTCTTTGACTCTGATCAGAAGGAGCTGATGAAGTACGACTTGGACATCATTGGGCCGTCGAAGATTGATGGGTAGGTCATGTTCGTTCTCCTTGTTCGGGCATATTTAACATGAGTAGCTATAAGCCTGCTGGGCGTAATACAGGAGTCGCATCAGGAAAGCAGGATGGATTTGAGATCTACCTGGTAAGACAGCGTGTTACCGGTAGTTACCCCGAGTAACGTGGCATCCTTAGATTCCAACAAATGGACTCCTCAGCCTAGATGCTCTGTATCCCCTACAGTGTCCTGGAGCATTACACAACAAGCTATCGCTCATTACCTACGTCGCTGAAAAAGCCCACCACATCGGAAATGTTATACTTGCAAAGCTCTCATCTATGCTTCAGCCGCAGCTTCCCATCGCTCTACAAGAACACCACCGATACGGGCAACCGTCAACCTCCGCACTCGGCCTCCTGAAGTATCCTCCAACGTCGAGAACGGAGGATCATAGGCTGGGACAGATTGCACATACGGATGTCGGAAGTATCACAGTTCTATTCAATCGTCTCGGCGGCCTCCAGGTCCTTGAGGAAAGCGGAGAATGGGCGTTCGTGGAACCGAAAATCGGGCATGCGGTCATCAACATTGGTGACTCTCTCCGGTTTTTGTCCGGGAAAGCCCTGAGATCAAGTCTACATCGCGTCGTCCCCCACCCAACTACAGAGTTCCGGCCCCGGTATTCTATAGCCTACTTCATGCGTCCAGAGTTCGATGCTGAGTTCGAGGACGAGGAGGGCGCGCATTGGACGGGAATCGGATGGCATACAAGGAAGTTTGCGGTCTTCCGTGCTACAGCGGAGGATCAGAAGAAAGATTCGGTGCTGACTGGACGGAAAGGATATCTAGGTCTTTGGGAAAATGTCCAAGACACTGAAGAGAAGTCATAGACTGTCCTAAACCGACCAAGTATTGCTCATCAGATACGATTGGGCGTATAAGAACGCTTAGCCCGACCGTGCCAGCCAATCAACACCTCTCACAACTGCCTGCACTATTACCATCAAGGCAGTATGCACCTTTAGCGCGATCCCGCTGATGTTCCTCTACCACCAATCAGTCTTATTATTTTCACCACGAATACACGTCATTGCTTACATGAAAGTACATCTGCACATCAAGGTCTGACCCGTCTTGCCTCTCTGCCATAACCTCGGTTGTGTAGCCAAGCCACATTAAGATATGCCGGTCCCAGACCCAGTACGCGGCTCCAGCGACCAGAAACACCGTCCCAAGTATGGGTCCAACGACGGAAGGAACAATGGGCGAGGTGGTTCTCAAAGATTTCTGAACATCCGAAGGCCACCAAGAGAAAACCAAGACGAACAAATTACCCAAAGTGTAGAGCGTTACTAGGGGAATAAGGGTCCAAAGGCCTAATCGTGAACCGTGGGGCCTCCAAGGCTGTGTTCCGTATCTGAACGCTTTCAACCAAGGCGCTGCAAGAAGACCGACACCTAGGAATACTTTCGAAGTTGTTAGCTTATCCATCAATCGTAGGGAGACCAACTCACATCCAACCCATGTTCTTGCATAAGTGAAGAGGGTACTAATAACAAGGTATCCATTTGCGTTCTGGAGAGGTGCTGCGAGAATCATGATACTCGTAAATATGAAGGTTAGGAGAAGTGCTGGGCCTGGCTCTCCACGGTTCGTCGTCTTAGCCCAGAACTCAGGCCATGGGATGATGCCCAGACGCGCGATCTCTTGTTTCACTGGCCCCAAATGCGTGAGTATAGCTTGTACCAACGGGTGCAAGACTGAAGAAAGCAACTCACCTCTTACATTAGCGTAGGTATAAGACATAATGTTCCCAGAAGCGGATATAGCTTGAATAATTCCAGACGCCTTCCGGGTTTGGTGGTTGGGCCCAAAGACCTGAAAGGACGTAAGACCATGAGTTACTTGAGCAAGAAAAGACAGGAACTACTTGCGCTTTTGAAGAATAGCCCCAGTGCATCAGAAGTCTTCTGTAAGTCTTCCGTTGTAGCAGAGGCGAACTAACGAACTTATGTCAGCTACTCGAACACAGAAACAGTAACTAGAATCTTAGATACTCACGAAGGCGATATTCACCATCACGTAGAAGAACGTGACACCGAGCACTGTGAACTTAGATGCCCTTCTATAGACACGGGACTCATCACCTGGGGGCCTGCGGACTTCCTCGAGAACCTTGACGTGCGACTTAGCAAGCTTCAAAGGAGTGATGGGCAATGACCTACAAAATTTGCATTTTCATATCCAAGAAAGACCCGCATGATGCTCAACAATGCCAGTGCAAAGCCATACAGGTGGTCCTCGGCTTGGGAGAAGCCATTCGCTTTCAAATTCTCGATACCGTATGGTTTTCCGCTCGCGGCCGCCGATGCAGATCGTTTTCCCGCAATGGCACACCACCCGGTGATAGTGAGGAACGTCAGAAGTAGGATCTTATAAACAGCAAATATATTGTTGAAGCGGACGTAGTTCACGCGCGAGTAGGCTTGGAGCAGACAGACGATGCCAATGATAGCGATAGAGAACGCCTTCTGCAAACGAGTATCGATATTCGCACCTTCAGGGGTGTTTGCGATGATCACGGCCTTTCCGAAGCTGAGAGCGTTTGCTTGGCTGCCACTTAGTATGACGAACATGAATGAATACATATAGGGGAAAAGTAATGGTGGCTTTGCCCAAACATGGTCGATCTAGACTTGTCAACGATGGTGGCCCGAGATGGCATTCGAAACTCACATAATGTAGTTCGCCGCCGGTAAGAGGAAATCTAATGCCATACTCTAGGTACATAGCAAGACTGCGCCTTATGAGTTGGACTGTCTCCGATTTCGGATGTTGTACGTACCCAGCCCATGTGAGAAGGCCTCCTACAAGCCAAAGGAGGAGAGCAACGCCTTTGCTATTCACTATTGCAAGCACAACGGTTGGGGTGACGAAGATGCCCGTACCAAACATCTTGTTTAAGATTATGGCGCTTCAATAGTCAGTAAAATCGTCAAAGCACTACAGTAGGGATTGTTACCTAGTGGAGAAGTAGCCCAGATAGTCCTTTGGATCTACTTGCCTCAACGTTGCCGTCCCATCCAGAGTCAACCCATTTTCAGGGAGGGAGGTATAAACAGCGTCTCGACTGTTGCTTCCCAACTCGAGAGCCGCTAACTGATCTGTAGGTGGATTTGCCGCATTTCTCTTTCTATTGCGATGTGACCGAATAACCTGTGCAGAAGTAGAGTCCTGTAGTGCCATGGCTGCACAAACATGCTTAAGGCTTTGTAAAATGCACAATGGATATATATACACACTCTTCTGCCCAAGGCAGTTCTCGCAGCACTCAGCCTCAGCCTTCCTGCAAGACTGAGCGGGATTTATCAGAGATCGAAATGCAGCCTCTCGCCAACTGGCAAGGCGACATTCACCCCCACACCCTCGGCTGCCAGACGCAAAGAGGCGTGCGTGTGTTATGCTGCCTCGCTGTCATACAGACTTCATGCCTGTGCTTTTGAAGCCATGAGATAAGAGTCATGAAGGCAACCTCCGCAGCAGCAGCATGTTAAAAATAACGAACTTATACGAAGAACTAGGAAATCAGGCGAACATATGGATAACTAGGATTGGCCAGTGAGAGCCCAAGCGTGTCACTTTGCCTCGCCTACCCACGTTCCATTTTTTGCACAGAGGCTTTCTTGGCTGTTGTCGTGTACCCAGTCGCAGAATTTCCCGTACGGACATTTCCTGTTTATCGTCGCCCTTGATGGTGGCGGCGGTAGAAATGGATCCAATGAGGGGCAGTGAAGCCCAATCAAATACCCAGTCATATATTACATTGAGCGATCCTTCCCAACAGCTCGTCACAGCATTTTCCACTGCGCCGCATGCCCACTTCGCCGGAATCGCCGTGCTCACAGTTCCCAGATGTCGCACCCGACGCTCCGGATGCGCGATACCATCACGCAGGTGCATGCCATTCTCAGCCAAGCAATCCGACAACCCAACGACTCTAATCGCGATTGGAACGAGCTCAGCCAAAGTCTCTTCGACCTAGACAAGGCTGTTACCACTTTCAGCAACATCGAGGAAGTCAAGCTGCTTGGAGACAGCGTTAGCAACGACAACGTCTTTTCTTTACTCAATACAGGATTGCCGGAAGCACTTCAAGATCTACATGACCAATTGTCCCATAGTTCCAGCAATAGAGCCACCCTGACTCTAACTGAGAGTCAACGCAGAAGCTACTGTGAGGTTCTGCATTACTTCACCTTCTCTACAAAGACGGCTGCGAGCCTCATTGAGCAGTCAGTACCGACCCCTTGTCTCGAAATTGAATCTCTGATTCAGCGCTGAGACTTTCTTAGGCTGCGCCTGCTTTGCCAGGCAAACAAACATGTAACAACCAATCCATGGAATCGGTCTAGCGAAGCACGAGCGAGCATACGGCAGTTCGTCCGAGAAATTCCAATATGGCCTCCCAACTCCCAAATGATGCAAGACTTCACGCATCTGAAATCCGAGTCTCTTTTACCTGCAACATACGGCATATGGACGGCCGGCATTACAATATTGCATAAGTTGGAGAGCAGCTGGCAGGAAGCCGGATATGGCAACCTATCTGAGAAAGACAGATCCATGTGTGAGCTTCGTCATGCCCTGTTCTGGACCTCTGTTGTACGTACAATCACCATCTGAGGCATTGGGATCTCCGAGTTTACTGACTTGAATAGTGCCGAAGCATTCTGCACAACATTGAGCACGATCTACAGGTGGGAAGCCTTCATGACGACTCTAAGATTGCATCTGACTTGTATAGACCCCTCAAAGCATCGATACTCCTCAATCTCTTCAGAGAACTATCCAGAGGGCCAACTTCATCTTGAGCGCCATGAAAAGCATCTGGTTGCTAGATCAGCTCGAGATATCCAGTGCCTTTGGTTGGCTCCCACGCAAGATCAGGGATCTCAGTACCATGCTTCTGCACAACCTCACAGAACAGATTGAGCATTTCTTTCGCATTGGACAGCAGCCGCCGAGTCTGATTGATATTAACCGGTTTGGCGACTTCTCGATCAAAATCCCTGTAAGCACCGTGGAGGAGGCTTCGCGAAGCACGAGCATATCACGACAGGATTCTGGGGCGTCGGGCGGACATAAAAGTAGATCGACAGGGATTCATGCCGCAGTGAGTACAAAAATCGGACTGGTTCTGTACAATACTTGTTGCGTTTCGAACCTAACGAGAAAATAGGGGCATCCCTCGGCCGATGCGACCGCTTCAGCTTCCTCCCGTCCAGATGTTGACGGCTCCTCCGGCAACCAAGTTGACATATTCCGCATTAGGAGCGATATGGAGGGATTACAGCTTGCCGCTGTAGAGCGCGATTCCCCTTTGCCTGAAAGGGTGCCTCCGCTACCTACCTCGTCTTTGCCCCTATCCTCGACTCATCCAAACGAAGTCGAGATGCCCAACTTGGAATGCAGTGATCAAACAAAGATGGCACAAGGATTCTTGAAGTAAGTTGCTACCAGGCAGCACCCACCGTAGTCTCGTGTCTGACATCATGCAGTGGCGTACACTCACTGGATGCCATGCCTCCTTACAGCAATGGATATATAAAGTCTCATGTTCGGATTTTCAAAAACTTCTCGCCATCTGACTACTACCTGAGAATGTGCACGGCACGAGACGGGGCCCCTTTCCATGAGGTCAAAGGTGGGTAAATGTGCTCTCCAAGTGTTCTACATGGGCTAACCTGATCAGCCCTGCTCAACTGTGTAGAACTTGTTCCATCGTACGCATTCTTGGATGAGCACGACCACGACTGCCCGTTCTTCTTGAGGTCGGCAGGGCTGCCCTTAGGCTTGAGCTACAAGGTGAGGTGCATAGACGAGCTTTCTCAGCCCACTTTTGATGGTATGACACCCCGTATCGAAGTCATATCCAAATACTTACTCCTGTCAGAGCTCTATGGTCTACAAGGCGCACTAATCGGAGCCAGGTTTGAGGTGCAATATCCGTGAGTAAACTTCCTAGTGAATCGTGCGAAGAAAACAAGATTTTGGCTGATAAGACTTTGCATGTAGGGTTCGAAGTATGTTACTACGTCGCAAGGGTTGTTCGGAGGCCGAACGACTAAGGCCCGCGAAGATGCAGATCTGGACAGACTCTAAAGAACTCACCACGGACACTGATGGTGGCGCACCTACGTCGAAAGTCGCAAAGGAAGGACCTGTGTCACCACGGCACCGTGAGATTCCCTTCGATACCTCCGATCAAGACATCGAGGCAACGAAGATATACCTTTTTTCTCAACATTGCATATACGTCCTCTTTGGTACGTATCCCCTGCCTTCCCTTGGCTGTCCTCGCAGAATCCAGGCTTACAGATCCATGCAGTTTCTGACCGCATCGTTGTCACCAAGCAGTCCGGCTCAAGAAAACACCTCTCGAAACCGTCGTCCATGACCCTCTACCTCACGCCCAACAAGTCCAAAGGAATCAGCTCGCTCCGCATCCAAGTAATAGAGGGGTCCCCGCGTAGCCCTGCCGGCATACCCTTGGACCAAGCAAACCTCCGTTATTCGAATCAAGATAGCTCCGCCTTCTCCGACTTCCAGTCTCTGCAGATAGAATTCCCCTCGAGCCAAAGTAAGAAATTCCCCCCCGCTAGAGGCATCAGAAATGTTGACACACTGAATTAGTTTCCTCAGAGTGCTTCGACGACTACCACGACTTTCTCAATCAGTGGACAGGGCGACGCAAACGAGCGGAGACTTTCAAAGAGAAGGAGCGTAAGGTCCGGCTGCACTGGAAGAGCAAATTCACGAAAGGGCCTCGTCCTGCGTCGAGAGTGCTTTGATGTATGACCATCCTGGAGTATGCGATGTAAGGCGTTCCATAGAAGAAACGGAGTGAGTGGATATCTTCGGGCCTTGATTTTCTTTTCCTTCTTGAAATACTGGAGGTTCCCAATGTGGTTACTATTACGCACACAGCGTGCTTTCAGCGAAGATAGTTATAGATGAGCTAGAACTTACTTGACTTTTTCATTGCCACGAACCAAACACTACCGACATAAGATTGATTACCCAGGGTACTGAAACCAGGCTCGCCATTCAGTTACGCAAAGATTACAGCACACCGCTGCCGGCCCAACGGTCTGGGAGCGATGGGGGCCCTCGCTTACCTGCATGGGCGGGCACTGTGCATGCTTAGTCCGCGCCGAGTTGCAGGGACACTAGCACAGTTCCGGCGATTGCGAAAGTGCTACGAAGTGGGGTCAGCCTTGTTGGGAGCGTGCTTTGGTGACACGACATGGCGAGAGGCGAAGCCAACGAAGTCAACGAGCCAGCGTGGGATCTCCTGGCAGCAGTTCATTGGCCGTGCACGACCAACGGGAAAAATGCCTCAGACATGGCTCTGGCGGAGGTGCATGGAGGCATAGCAAGGCGGCAACAGGATAGGAAGGCGGTACGGAGGAAGGCAACAGAGGGGACCAAGCGGGAGGATGGGCCGCATTGCTGCGATGCGGCTCCGCGCTCGAGCTAATGAAGACAGGTTGGGCGGCGCCAGGTCTCGCCTGAGACGCTGTCCGAAACCAAATGGCCGAGATGCCAGCGGACGATCTGCAGCACCGAAGCCAGCCTGATATCAGCTATTATCCTGACATCACCAAATACACGAAGCGCACAGAACGACGGCTGCGAAGTGAGAAGCTGGAGACTGCTCTGCACCACGGCTTGCCGAGATACATCGAGTCGCCTGCGGCATGGACCAGCTCGATTGCCGACTCGCCAGACTCATGGCTGTATTACTTAGACGCTAGTGATGTCGAAGAACTCAACCAGGCAGTGACGCGTTTCCAGGGTACGCGTAGACAGCTCTTCAGATGACAGGCTTTAGGACAGCAGACTGATATTACGTTGCAGCATCAGGTACCCCTCTTAGTCAGATATCCCGAGAAACATTTCCTCTTCCCCAGCTCAGCACAAAGCTCCGGGCTTGGTCGAGGAATGTACACTTCGGACTCGGCTTTGTGGTTCTCCGCGGCCTCCCGATTCACAATCTATCCACCGAAGAGCGCGTAATCGTCTTCGCCGGCGTGTCCAGCTTCATTGGGAACATTCGAGCGCGACAAGACCAAGGCGGCGCAGCGCTTTCTCATGTCACTGACCTGACAGGCACACATCCAGCGGCCATTGGGAACCCTGCCTTCACGGCCGGCCCGCAAGCGATGCACACGGATCCGGGCGAGGTCATCGGGATGTTCTGCATTGGCATCGCAGCAGACGGGGGCGAAAGCCGGGTCGCAAGCTCGACAACGATATACAACGAGCTTGCGCTGCAACGGCCAGACCTGCTGAATACGCTAGCACAGAACTGGGTCTTTGACGGGTGAGTCTTGGCTAGGAGCGTTCGGGCTATAGTCCTGCTTACATTCCGGTGTTCGTGTCTGAAGGTTCGGTGGCGATCCGAAGTTCACTGAGCGCCCTGTTCTGTTCGTTACGCCGGAGAACCGCGTAATCGTACAATTCGTGCGGCGCGCCTTCACGGGGTTCCAGGATGTGCCACGCTCTAGCGACATTCCTCCCATCACTGAAGCTCAAGCCGAGGCGCTTGATGCTCTGCATTTCAAGGGGGTGGAGAATTCTATCTCCATCCGATTCCAGTTGGGCGACTTTCAGTTTTTGAACAACCTGAATCTTCTGCATGCGCGGGACGGGTTTCGCGATGGCGAAGGTCAAAAGTGAGCAAAGTCATCCTAGTCGATGCAGTCATGCGGCTAATTGAGATTCCGTTCGTATTGTAGGCGCCATCTACTGAGGATGTGGCTACGAGATGAGGAATATGGCTGGTCACTTCCAAAGGAGCTGAAGGACAGCGTCCAATGGAAGAGGCTATTCGAGATGAACAATGCAGACCAGTGGTTTCCCCTTGAGCCACAAGTCAAATCGGAAAGATTCAACTTACCTTCGCGCGTTGAATAGATAGAGTTGAAGAGAAATGCTAAAGCCACCTTTGCGTCATGCTGGGATCCTTTCATATCGCGCCCTTCTCCACCAAGTAACCCCGTCGTAATTGCTATGAGCATGCCATGCAGTTCCGAAAAGAAGCAGCAGTGCAATTGCCGTTCCTTGAATAGGGGCCGCAATGGCTCCACGCACCACAAGAATGAGGCTCGTCAGCGTGAAAATTAAAGGCAGCCCTACGAAGGCTCTATATGGGCGAGGCATAAGGGGTCGCTTGGCTCGGAGCACTAGAAGGCCTAAAACCGTGAAGAAGAAGAACACATATTCAGCAATACCTTTTCATGACAAAATGTTAGCAGAAGCTAGGCAGATGTGCATAAATAATAATGGGATCTGTGACGTACCGATGAATGTTACTAAGGCGCCAAAGGTGCCGACCATGATGTATACTGAAGTGACTGCGCCGTTGAACAACATGGATTTTCTATGAATGCTTAGTACCCATTCTGCAAATAGGAGGGATCTGTTTCGTACATGGGAGTCACCCAGAGTGGCCCTTTCCCGAAGAGACCTAGGATGCTTGTAAAGAAATTGCGTCCCTGAGGTCGTTCTCCATCCGAACTTGTTTGCGGTTGAGTAGGTTGGTTCTCGGAGAAATTGCAGCGACTCTCCTTCAGAGCCGCGGGCAGATGGCCCTTGTTAGCTGCGCTTATGGTCAATCGCGCAGTCGTGAACACGTTGATGTTGATCGACCCAAGACAAGCAGCCGAAACAAGAAGAGCGAAGACGATAGCACCAGCTTTGCCGAGAATCTTCTGGCCTGCCATCTGATCTTGATATTAACGTACGTTTTTCCCTCGGGAGAGACTCCTCCCGGCGATGACTCACCTCTGCGACGGTATCGCTGGTTCCGATCTCGTTCCATGGGATCAAAATGTAATATGACACATTCGCAAGGAGAAAGCAGATTATGACCGTTGGTACCGCAGTATGAATAGCAGTTGGAAGCTCCTGGGCTGCATTCTGCATTTCTCCCGCTACCATGTTTGCCTAGTCATGTTAATTTACGAGTTGGCCGAATTGTAGAGGGCCCGTACGTTATCCCATCCGGCGTATGCCCATAGGCCAGCGTAGAAGGCCATTGTGAGCTCGCCAACCATTGCCCATACTCCGGCAGTGCTCCAGTCGATACTCGAATTGTCTTGGCCAGCAGCACGCACTGAAAACCAGTTTTCTGATTTCCAATCCCAGTTGGGTGCAGTCGTCCCAAGATGGAGTCCAAATACGACGAATAGGAGGCAGCATATCAGGAGCAAGAGGACCGTGAAAAGTTTGAGGTAGAGGAAAAAGTTCGCGAGACGAGATGTCGCTTTCATGCTTATAGCATTAAGGAAAATGATGACGGCTAGAGCTGTCAAAGCGATGAGCTTATTCAGCCAAAAGGAATCCTCGTAGCCCTCCGCAAAAACCCGGGTCCAATACTTCGCAAATATAATGCTCAGTATCGCCATCGATGAAGGCTTGACGGCGAAGATCCAGATCCAGGAAGCGAGGAACGCCAGGAAAGGGCCATATATGTCGTGGAGATATTCCTGCATGCCTCCGTTAACGGGCATGGCGGCTCCTAGCTCTGCGAAAGACGCGGCTCCTGCCCACGCGATGGCACCACACAAGGTCCAAATGATCAGGGAAGCCCCCGGAGACGGAGAATGGTTGTTGACCTGTGATGGCGAGGAAAAGATGCCGGATCCAACCTGAAGACTGACTAGCAAGGTAAAGGCATCGTAGAGGGACATTTTCAGGGGCTGCGAACGCAATCCGAGGTCGAGCCATTCTCCAGGTTCCCCACCATCAGACGACAACGGCTCAGACGCATCATTTTCGGGCTCCATGCTTCCAGGCGAGCTGGCGAGAGAGCATAGATGTCAAGAGGTTGAGACGTGTTCAAGGCTTGCGTGGACGCAAAATATCGCAACGTGGACGGTTGACGGCTGAGAGTGAGACGTCTTAGAATAACGAAGCGCCAAGAACTACCCAGCACTTCCATGCTTCGTAGCTGCCCAAGGTCACACGGATGCCGGGGTCTCAGCATGCAGTTGTTATCTGTTGGTGGCACAAGGCGGAAACAGGCAAAGCCACGTTGCTCGCACAGCCTCGCAGTCTTTAGTAGCCAGCCAATAGAGGCTTCGTACCCAACGCATGCACCGCTGCATCACTGCAGCACCACTGATCTCCACATCTCTCCCAATAAATAACCTTAGTGGCCCCCTTATGGTCTTCTTAACTATATTTCGTGATGGCTACCATGGATTTGTTGCTCTTCACTTTGGTAGGGCTGCTTTCGCTCCGTGTCAAGTGTCAACACCATGGCACCAGAGCTGGGGCTGTCACTTCCGAAGTCGACGTCTGCAGCAAAATCGGGATCCGCCTGCTCAAAGAGGGAGGAAATGCTGCTGATGCTGTAAGTGACTACGTCTCAACCAGTTTCTGAGACTAAAGTGGGAATAGGCAATCGGGACTACTCTTTGTGTTGGCGTTATTGGTATTCTTTCCCGCCACTAGTACCTGGTCTGCACTGACAAGTACTATAGCAATGTACCACAGCGGGTAATATCACTCAAGCAGCCGGAAGAGAAGTTCAAAATCAGTAACGTGTGCTTAGAATTGGCGGTGGTGGGTTTATGAACATCCGATCGCCAACCGGGGTTTATGAAATAGTAGATTTCCGTGAGACTGCTCCTGCTGCGGCCTATCAAGACATGTACAGCAATAACACAGACGCCAGTCTCTATGGGGGTCTTGCCGTGTAAGAGTCGGCCTAGTGACTTCACAAATACAGACTGACCATGCTAGTGGTGTGCCTGGCGAACTGAGAGCTCTCGAACACCTTCACAAACGTTATGGCTCTCTAGCTTGGTATGATCTTTTCGCACCATCAATAAAGCTTGCGCGCGAAGGATTCGTCATTTCCGCGGACTTTTTCCTCTACATGACTACGGTCACCCCTTCGAATTCGTTCTTGAGCACAGATCCGGCGTGGGCATTGGACTTTGCACCTAATGGTACTCTCCTCGGTGTTGGAGACAAGATATCGAGAAAAAGATATGCCGATACCCTGGAAACCGTTGCTCTCAAAGGACCGAATGCCTTTTATACAGGCGCCATCGCACGCACGACTATCGATGCTATAAGAAACGCCCGTGGAATAATGACACTCAAAGATCTAGCCAGTTTCAATGTTACCCTACGAAAGCCGGTTGAGATAGAGTATAAAGGGTACACGCTCAGATCTGTTCCTGCACCTGCCAGTGGAGCTGTAGTTCTTCAAACCTTCAAGGTTTTAGAAGGCTATAGTAACGTCGGCTTGAACCAGTCTACCCATAGACTAGATGAAGCAATCCGATTCGGATACGGGGAGGTGGGTCAATCAAAATCCCACGAGAAACGCGCACCGACTAATATCTTCCAGCGCACTCTGTTAGGTGATCCTGCCTTCATTGACGGTGTCGACGCTTATCAAATATCCATGCTGGCTCCAGAAACCGCTGCAGAGGTCCGAGCCAAAATCTCAGACTTTCACACTCTCAATGTTAGCGCGTATGACCCGGCTCTGATTGACAGCTTAAATACGTAAGATTACCATCTCTTGCCAGAAGGAAAACGGCCGGAATACACCGCTAATCCGTAATAGACCGGGAACATCCCAGATCACCGCCGCTGACTCTTCTGGGCTCGTCATATCGCTGACAACGACCATCAATACCCTCTTTGGATCTCAGTTGATAGTACCCGAGACTGGCATTATACTCAACAATGAAATGAACGGTGGGTTCAACGTTACCACTCAGCTTTCCCCGGATCTAATCGGCAGCCAGACTTTAGTACACCCGGAGTCTCAGACGTCAAAGGCTACCGTAAGTTACACCAAACCCCAAATGACCAGTAGACTAAGCAAATCTAGTACCGCAACCTTCGAACTACATCAGACCAGGCAAAAAGCCTCTCAGTTCAATGAGCCCAACCATCGTCGAGCATGGCAACGGTACTTTCTACGTTGCGCTGGGGGCGGGAGGGGGCTCACGCATCATCACCACGAACATCCAGACACTATGGCATATTCTCGACCATAATATGACGGGTTGTGAGTTGGATGCCACACTCATCCGCTGAACGTTGCTGACAGGATGTTTAGCTATAGCACTGTCTCAGCCTCGCTTCCATGATCAGCTAGTGCCGAATGTCATGTCGTTCGAGTATGCCTTCAACAATTCGACGGTAGCTTACTTGGAGTCTCTTGGCCATAATGTCTCATGGGTTCCGCTAGGACAGTCATATGGTCAAGCCATTAGAAGGCTGCAGAATGGGAGCTTCGAGGCCGCGAGTGAGCCGCGTTTGGCCAATGCTGGTGGATATGTCACCTAGCTGGCTAGTAACTATGTCCTCGTTACTTGAAGTTGCATTGAGATGGTATGGGGATGACCTACATGCTTGTAAAGTTGCTCAAGAAAACAGAAGGGCGCAGCTAGGAGCGGTGGCGGTAATGAGTAGCTAGGAAAAGGAAAAGAGACTTTGACGGCGCATGTTCCAGCTCTGTTGAGGATTGAAGAGCATAGTTCTATGGTAGTTGACTGCTTACGTGACCATAAGTTGCTGTGGCTGAGCTGTGGCTGTGCTGGGGTGAGCGCATCCTGAGCTGAGACTGAGCAGCTCGTTGGAACCCAGTTTTGGGCCCTGTATTCGACAGGGAGGGTCGACACTGCGGTCCTCACGCTGCCTCGAAAGATCAATTTCCGGGCCATAGGCCTGCCAGGCTAGAATCTGTCAGCGAAGGTATGCAATGCTCAATCATAGGGACTCACTAGACGGTGCCAACGTCAGTAGCACCGATAGCGCAGAACAAGCCTTCGCCGAACTCCGGTAAATCAACCAAGACGTAATCGCGAGCATTGGTCGTTAGGATGTTGACATCGCTCCTCAATACGACAAGTTCGACCTAGTAGTAGTTGTAAGGCAAACTCCGAACTCCGTCACAGTACCATTCACAGGACAGTGGAAGCGGTGATAGTCCTGCGGAAAAAAGCCGGAAGGAAGCTACCGCAGCGTCGTTGAAACGAGCGCCGAGATTGACGTCCATAACCAGGTTAGTGATGGAGAAGTCGGTTCCCTTGATCCACAGCTGCTTTGATTCACCAACAGTGTCGTAACAAACCACGCGGCTGTCCGCCACGCAGAAAGCCTTTTTGGGATTACCATTCTCCGCAATGGGACGGGTGCCGGGGTTGTGTTTGCGAATAAAGAAATCCGCGGAGGTGGGATATTTTCGGGATCCAAAGGCTCGAAGTCGTCCATGTTGATATTATTAATATCTACGAAGCCCTTAATATGGTTGTGCGACTGGGAAGTTCACTTCGACTTGCCTGAAATTGGTCAACTGCAAGGGTGTGGAAGGAGCAAGATATTCAGGGCCTACCTTGCCGGGCATTCTTGCGATGAATATACATGCGCATCGCATGTGTGGTATTGATCCATTCGGTAAAAGGGTTGAATAGTAGAAGCAGCTTCAGCTTCATGATTGGCATTTTTCCCTTTGGAGCTCGCCCGTCTATGCGTATCAGAATCGGCCCACGTCAGTTCGACAGTTCGACCCACCTTGCAGCTCAGCGACTTCCATCCGACTTGATGATGCGGAATCTATTGTTTGTTAGTAACTTGCACGGGTATCAGACATCGCTGTACTCACTGGGTGCATCCAGACCATGACCCAATTGAGGGCTGCATGGATCCAGCTAAACGGCCACATCATATCAAAAACGTGCTCAGCTCATACGGTTTCTCTGGTCGTCAAACTCTAATCGGAGAATTAGTGCCTTGACCGATCCCAAGGATTGCTTTTATTGGCTTGATGCTGCAGCAACCATCTCGCGATGATCCAAGTGTGACGCCGCCCTAACAATCACGTACACAAAACTTAGATGCAGCGGTGTTAGAAGCATGTGAAGAAGGCTGGTTGACAGCTGTCATGGGTTGGGCGGTATTCCTGACGTTGTCCAGAGGTTACAGTTCGGCGTTGTCAATGTGACGTCACACGCGGCTTGTATCGAAAGACAGCTACAAGAGAGGTGTGTTGATATCTCGACAACCTCGACAACCTTGTCTTCGAGCTCTTTAATCAATGCCGTCTGCTTTTCCTCAAGCCTCACATTCCAAGCCCGTGGAAGTCGTGATGCCGGACACTCAGCTCCCAAATGGCGACCCCGTGGAGACGATCGTATGCTCCATCCAGTCCGTTCCCATAACGGAGAAACGCAAGCCATTTATCAATACCGATCCAGGTTTGGAACTCTACCATGCAGGTGAGGCCCTCCACTCGTTCATTCTAGACCTCACATCTGACTTCATCAGGCACAGCGCGCGCGAACATCGCTGCATCGGCAGAATCCCCCCATGGGACTACCGAGAAAGACTGGACGACCCGTCATTCGCATCAATCCGTCCTACAGCAGCATTGCGATTTCTTCGACGCTGATCATGATGGAATCATCTGGCCACAAGATACGTTCTGGGGCTTTCACCACTTGGGCTTCGGCGTTATACTCTCTCTGGCAGCCGTCTTTATCATTCACGCAAACTTCTCCTACCCAACCCTGCCAACCTGGCTCCCTGATCCCTTCTTTCGCCTCTACATCACTAATGTTCACAAGGACAAGCACGGCAGCGACAGTAACACCTACGACCACGAGGGCCGCTTCATCCCCCAGAAGTTTGAAGATATCTTCACGAAGTATGCGGAGGGTAGAAACTACCTGACGATTTGGGACGTGAAGAATATGATCATGGGGCAGCGGTGCATTGCGGATCCGATTGGCTGGGGTGGTGCCATTTTTGAATGGCTGGCGACGTACATCATGCTATGGCCGGAAGATGGACGCATGATGAAGGAGGATATTCGGGGGATCTATGATGGCAGTATTTTCTACACCATCGCGGCGAAAAGAACACAGGGCAAGAAGCACGGGTCTTGAACTCCCATATGCGTTGGTCTAAGTCGTGGCGCGATGCTAGCTATTTGCCAGCGTCTCAGGAAAGGACCGATAGATTCTAGCCTTGGACGAGACACCATGAGTCTCTTTCTAGCATAAGACAAATGCATGGCATTTGGCTTGGGGTTGCGGAGGTTATTAATATCACATTGAGATAGATATTCGCAACCGAATGGCTAGATACATTCCTGAAGAACTCCATGTCGGAGGCGTCCATAGTGGGAAAGTGGTTACAGGCTAGGTGTACACTGAATCATATCTGACCTGTATTCAAATTAAGCAAGATCCCGAGTAATGACAGAGATCTGTATGTAATTCTGCTCTTCTGGCAATGAGTCTCCATTCTCGGAGCTCGCGAAACGACAAAGTTCGCGGATTCGATTGGGGGGGCGCGCCAGAAATATGCGTAGCGAAAAGTTTTGGGCGACTGAGGAATAAGGAGGGGTGAAGATGAGGCACTGAATGGTTATGGACGTGACACCGCTACATAGTGTTGCAGAGGAATCCGTGTCGGAAATTTTCTGGGGGTTCGCCTAATCGAAGAAGCTGTATCCAAGACAGGAGATGATGCTACGAGGAACGGATGCAAGGAACGACTTGTGCGGAGCGGATGATGGCAAAGACAGCGATTTGTGAGAAATGCACCGCGCCGCATGGGAGGTCGGGCCGGGCGGCAGAAGGGCCAAAGCAGGATTTTGTCCGCGGCGCGCATGTGATTGCTGCCAGGTGCCCTTAGCTGGCGGTCGCGCTCTGATTGGCTGTTGCTGCCAAGATGTCACCCCCATGGCATTGTTGGACTTTTCTATGTTGGCTTGCCTTCTAGCCTATCTCCCTAACTCAGCTATCGTCGCCCTTTGTTTGTTGTAAGCTCCTTCTACTACCATTTTGTTTGCGCCCAACTACTATAGCCGCGTGCTTACGCTAGAGGCTCACAGCTACTTCACGTCGTCTAAACTCCTAGTTTCAGCCAGTAAATGCAGCACAGCGACTACCCGAAAATCCCACGAAAAACTATTCTCCCTTCTCGGGCAATGGAGCTGGCCGCAGACTCATTCGACTGGGTCCACGATGCCATCGTCGCGCTGATCGATTCCTCCTAGGTGCCGCCTCGGAGAAATGCCCGCCTCCACCGCGCCTCCATCGAGAGACACGGGCAGATCATGCCACCAGAGGACCTCTGGCTGGCAGAGCCCTGCTGTGATTCGGCCTTCAGGGTGAGCTCTGTTCCCGTCGAGCAGTAGAAGAGCTGCCTTCCGTAGGCTTCCGGGCGATTAGGTTTGATTCATGGCGATGGCATTACAGAATAGTACCGTCATAGTTGGTATAATAATTAAGTCATCGTTTGATAATGGCACAGGGAGGGTTTGCTTGTGAACGTCACTCCTACGTGCTATGACATTGTTGACTTTGCATGTGTTGTCTGTATTAAAAGCCTATGGATCCCTCGACACGACGTCTATTCGTCTTCTAGTTAGTCATCTTCAAGCAAACTCAGAAACTCTCCTGCTATCAGCTACATTCTATCCAGTTCGTCACCATTTGTTAATCATCATACACCATGGTTCGCAGCTACGCAGAAAACAATAATCCCGATGCTTATGCTCCCAACCGCTGGAACCGTATGCTTCGCCCAGCTATTCTAGCTAACCACTTCCTGCACTGGGCTTCCTCGGTCATCGTCATGAGCATAGCTGCATATTTCCTTGCCCATTTTGCCCATGGCCAGCATCTCATTTACTGGGTCACAGTCGTATGTTCCATCTACTGCTCTCACAAAAGACCAAGCTAATTCCGTATAGGCTGCGGTAGACACCTTAGTTTACCTACCCGCGCTATTCCTCCCCGCCGTCAAGTCTTATAAGGGATATTTGTCCCCTGTGGCCTGGATCTTCTCATACTTGTGGCTCACTTCCTTCATTTTCGCGGCTCAAGACTATAATTGGCACAATTGCAGTGCGAATTCTCCTTGGAATGTCAACAAGTGCGGGCTCAAGAAGACCTTGGAATCATTTGCATTCATAGCTTTGTAAGCGTCATCGTATCCTCGTTGCTCAACACTTGCCCAGTTTCTGGTTTTGCGGGAACTTTTACTAACATAATTATGAACAGCTTCACCAACCTGGTCGGGCTCTTGCTCGAGTGGAAATTGTGGGACACCCAGCGTATCAAGGTTGCCCCGGCCGCTGAAGGAGACAAGTTTGTCAGACCTAGCGGGGATACTGCTACCACTGCCGCCAGCCAACCTGCGACTACCGTGTGAAGATTGAAATCAGTACACTGCCCGTATCGATGCATGGGAGCACGGCAAAATTGAGTTAAATTATAGGCGTATTTCATGAGCAGGCAACAGTGGTTCTTGTCATATTTTGGTGTATAGCCTTAATGATGAAGTTATAATGGTTTAAGTGTCCAGAATACTTCAATAGCAATGCCGTACTCTGTAACGGATCTTCTACACTTCTGGCTGCCGGAGTAGGCCGTCGTATACGACTAAGTTAATTAAGGCCAATGCTCGGGGATCCTTATCAAACTATCTGTCACCCCTTTCTTCTCATTTCCTACACCTATATATACTGCACGCCTGTAGACAATAGAAACCCAGATTCCTCTTACCTCCTGGTCCTTCCTCCGGCTGATAATTTCTCCGGCACCGCCAGATCCGCCACGCTTTAGCTAGGTTCTTGTAACGGTTGTCTATAGGCTCAAGATGAAGGAAGGGTCGATGAGGCCTGATGGACGAAACTTACCCGCTGATGCTACAACAGATGCCACCTTTCTCGGGATCGCACAAGGCTCCCCCGTACTGTTTGCTGCATTTGCCGTTCGGACCGAGCTTTGCTTGAGATAGCGGAGAGAGAAAGTACGGAATTAAGCATGCAAGAATCAGGACATGCATGGCGGAAAAGAAGACTATGTGAGGGATAAGATAATTGAAGAGCTTGCCGGGAAGGAAACGAGAATCTTAGAATAACCGCCCTCTTGAGAAGTTAGTAACCTCCGCCAAGAAATAAACGCCCGGCATTAGAATAGTGATGTAAGTCTGCCTTCTGTGTGCCTTGTTGCAAGGCTGCGGTTCTGATGGCGTGCAGCCGCCCGGAGGCTTCAAGATTCCTGAGGGGTTCCGAGATCATGAATAGTCTTTTGAAATCCTCGAAACAGATAGCCGGCCGTGTTGAATCCATACTGAAGATAATATCTACGTGTAATGCACCTCACAGACTTTGATAAATGATTGTCGTCATGTAGTTCAAGGCGGACGCGAATTGATATACTTTAGTATCAAGGTCCGTGCGCTTGACCTTACCGCTTTTTCCCTAGACCATATCGTCGACTTCAGGGCTGCCGCGGCCCCCTCTTGATACTTTCTTCAACCAGTCGCATTCCCAGGATTCGTCGTTGTCTCCTCTCTGATGCAGTTGGGTGGAAAAGCCTCAAGCTGTCGCCATCTCCGCTTCTCCGTGGACTGCTATCCACGCCACAGCAGCACAGCCTCACCCTCAATAGTGAAACTGCAAATCAGCCTTGAGGGTGCTTCTGCACTACACTGTCCTAAACATAGGTTTCGTGTCTATAGCATTGCACGTCTTCATTGGTTTTGATAGACTTACTAGGCGCTAGACTTATATATCTATTATATAAGCCTATTGCTATATTTTAATATATACTTAGGTAGGACTATTATATATGCAGACCCGAAGAGTTTTAAACCTTAAAAGAAACTTCGAGTCTTCAAACAAAAGATGAAGCTTCCAAAAACCTTCTAAAAGTCTTCTGGGAAATAATAGATCACGTGATGTATGACGTTCGGGGCTTGGATTGCCAGGATGGCCGAGCGAGGGGTCCCAAATTTTTGTCTGAGCGTTGCCAGAACAATTTCTAAGCACCAAAGAAAACCCATCGCCTTCCACCAACATTGCATTGCTCAGCAAGGGCAATAAGAACCCCTCGAGAGCGCGCAGAGCCTACCTCTCCCATCCCCAACAACGCCTCCGATTCTCCTCAATCTCACAGCACACGTACCAAAATGTCCACCCATCAGCCCCACCACCAGGGCGACGATGAAGACGACAACGAAGAGGTCATGCTCGACCCCAACGAGGCCGGCGAAGAGATTCCCTCAGATGAAGACGCACCCATGGACTCTGACGACGAGGACGAGGGCGCCGAGCCCACCACGCTCGAAGAAATCGCCCTCCAAAACGACAGTGCCGCCCACTTCGACGCCCACAACGACAGCATCTTCTGCATCGCGCAGCACCCCGTGCACCCCGCCATAATCGCGACGGGCGGCGGCGACGACTGCGGCTACATCTTCGACGCGACACCGGCCCCGGGCCCCGTCCTCCCGCCGAGTTACGAGAGCAACCCGCAGCCCGTGGAGCGCGCGTCGCTGGAGAGCCTGTTCAAGCTCGAGGGCCACACCGACAGCGTGAACGCGATCGTCTTCACGAAACCAAAGGGGCAGTACGTCGCGACCGCGGGCTTGGACGGGAAGCTACGCGTCTGGCAGGGCGAGCCTGCGGGCCGGCGGTGGAAGTTCCTCGCCGAGGCGCAGGAGGTGGAGGAGATACAGTGGATGGAGGCGTGTCCGAACCCTGATCACCCGAATACGATCGCGTTCGGTGCGAATGATGGCAGTGTGTGGGTGTATAAGATTGATGCGGCGGATAAGGCGAGCCCGCTCACGATTGTGCAGGCGTTCTATCTACATACTGAGGCGACGACGGCCGGCGCGTGGACTCCGGATGGGAAGCTGCTCGCGACGGTGGCGGAGGATAGCAGTTTTTATGTGTGGGATGTGTTTGGGGAGGCTAGTGCTGCAGGGCTCGCGGATGGGCAGCATGTTGTTGGCTTGACGGGGGTTGACGAGCGGTTCAGGGTTGAGGGAGGTCTGTACAGTGTTGCCATTGCACCTAATGGGGCGTTTGCCGCCGTAGGAGGCCGAGAAGGGCAGATCCGCGTTGTGGGATTGCCACGGTTAGGGGTCGCAGCCTCAGGTGCGGTCAGTGGCAAGGGCTCAGGAGCTAAGAGCAAGGCTGGTGGCGCGAAGCTGGCGGGTGGGCCGAAATCAGTGGCCGCGGGAGCATCGGCTGGGCAATCAGGTCAGATTCTGGCGAGTTTGGCGGCTGGTGTGGATAACGTGGAGACGATATCGTTCTCGCAGCCTCCGTTGACTCTCATGGCGGCTGGAAATGTGGACGGTTCAATCACGCTGTTCGACACGGCACATCGGTTTGCAGTACGGCGGAGTATACAAGGAGCTCACGAGGACGACGAAGGCGAGCAGCCTGTTGTCAAGGTCGAGTTTGTGAACAGTTCAGGCCAAGCAGGAGGGTTGCTCACATCGGTCGGATATGATGGGGTTGTTAGGCGGTGGGATGCAAGAGGTGGTACTGCGGCTGCAGCAAAGGGACTTGTGGGTGAGTGGAGAGGACACAGGGGTGGTGGTGAAGGTGGTGGGATTATGGGGTTTGTGCAGGGAGATGGGAATGCTGTTGTCACGGCGGGCGATGAGTAAGTTCCTTTACTTTCCGATTTCATGATGCTTATGATGCTAACCTATCATTTAGTTCGGTATCGTTAGTATTCCCCACGCGGATATAGGACGATCTTCACATCAATAAATTATGAATCGCGATCCGAGACTCTTCCATGCAATATTTAGACGGATGACTATGTAAGAGATCTACTTAATAGACAGTGGATCGGCTTGGTCTAGAACCATGGAGCCGTGGGAGGACACGCCCACTACGATTACCGCATCTGAAACAAGTTCTCAAAACGCCTACTACTGAGAGCCGATTGCGGTCAATATCAAGCTGATTTCCCAAACAGTCTTGACTAAGTGGGACCACTTCAGGTGGTAGCAAAGCAATTGCAAGAGATAGTAAGCCTCAGCACAAATGAGGTCTATGGTTTGGAGCTCGCGTTTCTGCATCGCCGGATCATGGTTTTTGTACCGTGGCTTCATGATTATGCTGGGACTCTGAGCACTATTATTGTCCGCAGCGGCACACCTTAATCTAAAATATGAAACTCTGATTAATTCAAAGTGGAATATAGTATATACACTACGCCTCCCACGCCTTGAAGCTTCATCTCTCAACACACACACACGCACACACAGACGTTGCTACTCAAGCACACAGCGTCCACTTCTTTTGACAAAGACAGCCACACGACGCCCACACAGCCTCCCGCCCTTTCAACATGAAGCCAACCACGCTCCTCTCCGTCTGTCTCGCTGCCTCCCTCCCTCTCGCCTCCGCCAGCCCCATCGCCGCTAAGAATAGCCCTTCCAAGACCGAAAGCACGCCCACTACTCTCACGACGACATCTATCCCCGTCCTCCTCCTCCACTCGCACCTGGAAGCGCGCGGTGAGCCGCCGACGACGTCCAGACCTGGACATAGGTCTGCGACACGATAAATGGCGTTCCTACGACCCGTTCGCCCTCAAGGGCCTCGAGCCTAGCTGCAGGACCTACCACCAGCTCGGCCAGAAAGTCGCCGGGTGCGAGGCGTACGAAGCTCTGATATCCCGAATCCCTAACCTCACCCCCCCAACCCCAACCCCAACCCCAGCTTCCCCCACACCCCCTCTCCAAGCGTAGCGAAGTCGACTGCCTTCTCTTCCACCTGGGGTGTTGGGATGGGTGCTATCCGGGGGGGTTTAATGGGGGTGGGAGGTAGAAGGGGGAAGGAGTTGGGGGAGTAGGGTGGGTTGGGGAGTGTGCTTTTCAGGGAGTTTGAGCTAGAGGTAGATGATGGTGGGATAGTAGGTTGGGATGAGAGGTGTGCTTTTGGGTGGTGAAGGTGGTTTTTGGAGGTAAGACGGAGTTGGGGCTAGAAAATGTAGAAAATAAACAGCTTTGAGTCCGGCAATGTTTTTTCCTGCGAGTGCGCGCGTGAGGTTTTGGAGTGTGGGTGGCACTATGAGGAGGCCTTCAATAGCGGGGCCTGGAACTCTGGGGGATGTAAGGAGTCAGGCACTCGATATTAGGGACAGGGTTTTCGGTGCTTTACTCTCGTCTTTGGGGATTTTGTTGACGTAGCCTTCGAAAGGGTTGGAAGACCAGGGGTGATGGAGGAGAAAGGGAGCCCTTTAATGGATTCGTTGATATGCTAAAAGACTTTTGCAGATCCGAATGAAAGCGTACCTAACTCGGCACCATCATGCCATCATTTCTGAGTTACAAAGGGGGTAGCGAATGCTCCAAATACTACCTCACACTCCTCGACAACTTCGCACCATCTTTTACATGTGAGGTTCAGCCTTTCGAATACCTCATAGCGTATCAAGCGAGAAACTCGTCAAAGACGCTGTCTCCGAACCTTCAACTGTCAGATCATAGCCATTTCACTAGTATCACACCTTACTCTGATACTCCAACACCGCCGGCAGTTTGATTTTTCCCACTCTCAACTTGCTAAAATCCTCCTCAAATCCCTCGTCGATATTCGGGTACGGACCCATGGGAGTGATGGCATGAGGATTGATACCCGCATGGCTTTTGGTATACTATTATCACAAAGACACATTAGCAAACCCCCTTCTCATCTCAAACGCAGGATGTTATACTGACGTTCTCTTTGATATGCCTGAAATCTGTACTCTCCTTGCATCCCTCTACTTTCCAGTACATCCTCTTCAACCAATTCGATGTGACGGGGTAATCCCAGCGCACCATCCCCAGATTACACTTGAAATGCTGCACATACACCACATCGAATCTGATCACCGTCGCGAACGCTCTTACATCCAACTCCGTCATTTGCTTGCCGAGGATAAATGGCCCACCGTTTGAAGCAATGATCTCCTCGAGCTTATTCAAAGCAGCGAAGACAGGCACAACGCCCGCGTCGTAGCCCTCCTGGGTCGTCGCAAAGCCAGCTTTGTAAACGCCCATGTTAAAGTCCTTTTGCATCCACTCAGATACCTCATCAATCTGCGACCTGAGCGGCGACGGATACAGATCTATCCTCGCTTTCTCCTCTGGAATCAGCGAATTGAAAGCAGTCGGTAGCCATCTGAGCATCTCGGCCGATTCCTGTATCCCATTCGTATCAGCACTCATCTCTTACCACTCGCTCCGAGGGAAAAAGATATCTGAAGACACCTCTTCTAACGCACATTACACACAATCCCCCCCGTCTTCTTATCCCACAGCAACGGTACCGAGTACCGTCCCTTATACTCCTTGTCTGCCTTGAAATACACCTCGTGCAGGTACTCGCTGCCGAAGAGATGATCGACCGTCGCGCCCTCGTACTCCGTATCCGAGGCGGGAAACTTCCACCCCGGCCACCCCTTGTCGTCGCCCTTTGGATACGGGCCCACGACGGAGAGGGATATGATGGACGTGAGGCCTTTGATGTAGCGGAGTAGGTTGACGCGGTGGGCGAAGGGACAGAAGAGGCCGACGTAGAGGTGGTAGCGGCCTGCTTCTGGCGGGAAGTCACCGCCGGGCGTTATGACGCCGTGCCAGCCGTCTGCTGTGCCTGCTTTGTGGATTTCCGTGGTCATATTTGCTGAATGGGAGAGTGTTGATGTTTGGAGATGAGGAAGTGGGGGTGGAGCGGGGTAGAATCAGGGTGTGGGGTTTGAAGACGAGAATTGATGGGACGGGTTTATGATCGAAAGATGAAGGGGGAATATACAAGATGATTAGAATTGCTCCTACACTATGATTACAAATTTGCCCTTGCCCTGTGAATGTGAATGATGTCGGCGACCGAGGTCGGAGAATAGGTTCAGCAGAAAGAAGTCGGCTATGAGGGCGGTCTGGGAGACCCCTCAGGGGTTCTGATTGGTCGGCGTATTGAGCATGCTCCTCAAGAATTGGACATGTGAGAGGTTTGATGATATATTCCAAGTACTAGGCTTCATGTTTTCATTGAATTTCAGTAAACGTGCGATCTGTACATGGATTCGATTGAATAGTTTGTCGTAAACTACAGTCCTGACCACTTCGCGATTCGGCGCGTGCTATCGCGGTACAGCAGCTCATCGCATAACGCACGGCCTCGTAAACCTCCTTCATAAGAGTAGTACATCGATAGAACTACTCTAGACTTAAATAGGCCGCCCTGCTGCCTCTACAGTCGCGGGCTGGAGAGCGAACACACCGACAGATAAGCTTTTCTCATTGCCTTCGTCGACTGATGTCCCTGGCTCGGGCGAGTCCGACGTAGCTTGAAGTTGATGCTTGCGCTTCTTGGCCAGCTTCTCCCTATGGGCGAGGACGGCGATGGTGATGAAGACGATGATGTTGAAGCTTGCTACTACGGCTGCGGCTCGGTTGCCGGCAGTGACGTATGGCTGATGGATCTGCTGGAACCAGACTAGTGGGATCCAAGCTTGGAAAGTGTCTATACATAGCGTTTTTAGGAACCTTGCAATGATCATGGGCTAGGTGTACTAACATTGGAGGGTGTTCATCGCAGCTGCGGTGAAAGCTCGCTGCTCGGCATTATCGGAGATGAGCTCAGCCATCCACGCCATTGTCAAGGGCACACAAGCTCCTCCGATGGATGATATGATGTATAATGGCGCTCTGTGTGAGAAGGGGCCCATAACCGGTGTCACCACCAGCAAGACGAACACGACGATGGCGACCAGATTGGAGAATAGAATGATAGGCCATCGTCGCCCTCGCAATGGCCCGTCAGAGATCCAAACGCATATCAAGGAGTACGCAGCCGTGAAAGCGTTACCGATTGTCGGGTATTCATTCTGTCAAGTAGTATCAGTCTCAGACTCTGCCATGCGTTGAGAATAACAGTCGGGAAGACAACTCACAATCTGAGCCACCGAGTAGACCATAGGTTTGCCCTTCTTGTTGTGTGCCTTGAGCCAGAAGACGAACGCCGTAAATGGTTGCCCCCCAAATGGCTGCATCGTGAAGATGAGTGTGAAAAGGAGGGTTTTCCAGCTCGTCAAGTAGCCCAAAATGACCTTTACGGTATACGGCTTGCCTTCAGGTTTGCGACCGGCTCTTTCCATCCTCTCTTGCGCAATTTGAATATCCTAAGTAGATGCATTAGATGTATTTTGCTCTCGCCCCGCACCCAATATGTGCACTTACACGCTCGTTGAAGATCCAGTTGGGCTTGGCGGTTCCTGGCGTGTCGGGCAAGCAGAAATAGGCTAAAATGGCAATCGGCAAAGAAATGACACCGTTGATGACTGGTAAATGAAAGTTAACAACGGGATCAACAAGCGATCGGGGATCGATCTCGTACCGAACAACCATCTCCATCCAGCCAGACCAGCATGACCGTCCAGACTGTTGTAGATACCAGCTTGCAAGAAGCCACTGAAGATGGGCGCAATTGATACAGCTGATTGGAGGATACCGTTCCGTTTTCCAAGCTCGCCTATCGGAATGTGTTAGCAATTGTGTTCTCGATGACGATGTGATAACAGCGTACGCTTATTGTACCAAGACCCGAGTACATAGTAAAGAGCAGGCCAGTATCCCGCCTCAAAAAGCCCGACGACGAAACGAAGTCCCAGCATTGCATGATAAGACTTGGCACCAGCCAGCGCGAAAGTAAAGACCGTCCAGCCAATTTCTTGAAAGGGAATCCAAATATGGGCAGGAACTCGAGTCAGGATGAAATTGGACGGCCACTGCCCAATGATATAGCCAACGGTCCAGGAGACGACGATGTAGTTGTACTGGTTGCCATAGAGGTTGAGGTCCTCCTTCATGCCCGAGACGAAAGCGTTGGTGATGTTGGAAGTGTCGATCCATTTAATCAGCATTCCGAGAGTTCCGAATGTCAATAGCGAAGCGTCCAGTTTGAAGAGAAACATTCGTTCCTCTTTAGATACGTCGGCGGAATCCCACAGCCATCCTCGCCAGGTACGGGAAACCGTTGAGGACGCGATCGACGGGGTTTTCTCAGCCATTGTGGGCCAGGAGGGATGCGAAATGCTTCTGGAGACAGTGATGGGTAAGAAGGCCAAGGTTGATGAACAGGAACATAGGCTCAGAGCCGAAGATATAGATATCCATAGTTCACATCTAGTGATAGCTTTTGTCACGATCGCAGCTTGTTCCGCATATGGCCCGGTACTTAGCTTGCTAGGAGCCCGCACATGGTTCATTCGCAAGAGGTGGCTGGTATTTCGAACGAGCTGCTATCTGGCTCGTTCGGTTCTAGAACTTGGAGCATGGCCAATCCAGCGGGCCCTCTATACCGAGGTGGCTGTTATGACACCACCTTAGGCAGGAATGAGAGCAATGAAAATAGCACAGTTAGCGAGGACCTGCATATTCGAAAGATAAGAAAACGAAGGAGCAAGTCACGAGCTGTGGTTTGATTGTTCAGCACACGTGGGAAAGGCTAGGTGTGTTCCATGCAATTGCCCATTTTGAATGCTAATGACGTGACGACCTACCGCACTACTACCATCTAGTATCCCTCGGCTCGCTGAGTAACGTGCTTCACGGGCAAGCTGGCCACTCGAGCGCCCTAAAGATTTCAGAAAACTACATCTAAAGAAGCTTTACGTTAGTCTTGAACGTCCAGTGAATGAAGATCAGGTATTCCCAAATCCGGTTAGCGCAGAATTTATCGCTTAAGAGCACCTGCAAGCCACTCCGTTCCTGACAAGCAACTAACCCCACTAGATCCTCACACCCATCGAATCCAGCCTTCTTCCCCTCTTATCAAACCCGATACCTGCACCGACGGGGCAATTGGGAACATTCTCCTGCCACGCCACCTTCGCATACGCTGGCAAATAGCTATTTGTCGTGAATGTCTTAGGTAAATAGTAGCTCACATCCCCGGTTACATAACTGCCCCCGATGCTGTTCAGCGCCGCGAGAATGTAGCTCTGAATGAAATCTAGGAACACTAGATCTACCGTCTTAGGTGTGGAGCCGTCGGTCGGGAATGATCCATTGGCTTGCAGATCGTTGGGCTGGGCGTAGTTCGGGATCTTGGAATGGACGGTGTCATCGCCGTCGGTGCCGAAGTCATCAGTGGTGGTGTAGCCGGGGACGGGGGAAGTGTTTTGACGGCGGATAATGCCGGAGCTGGAGCTGGAGCTGGAGCGAGCTTTCAGGCCGTCGTGGTTGTGAGTAATCCGAGGGTCGAGGCAGATGTCGCGATCGGCGAGAGGCTCGAATCCGAAGTCTCGAGTCTCGAGGTCGCGGCGTTTCTTTTGAAAAGGGCCTGCGTTCAAGATACCAAGGACTTGCTGTTTGATGTTAGAGTTGATGGTTCTGCGAGAGAGTCGAGACACACTTACCGATGCTTGCTCATAAGGGACGTCCGGGATGAATTGGAAACCGTCTTTGAACGGGCTAACGATGAACGAATCGTCATACGTGAAGGGGCCTTTGGCAAGATCAAACCGTACGCTTCCAGTGTTGATGATGATGATGCGAGGGATATCCGAACGATTTTCATTAACGACTACCGTAGTTAAAGCAGTCTGGAGAAGCCCAAAGAGATTTCCATCTGCAAGGAATGGCTTGCAAAATTGGCAGTAAGACTCAGGAGCACAGCCGTAAAGCGCCGTTAGATTCAGTGACTTCCGGGCAGACGTGATTTCCCCGGTAACCCCAACGCCTTTGGGGATGTTAAAAGTATGATCTTGGCTACCTTCTGCATGATAAGCGAAGGTAAGGCGATTCCAGTCTAGGTAACGCCTCGCGTAGCGCAAAGTCGAGGGGGTATTGGACTGGGGTAAGCTGGTGTTAAGGGGAACTGCGGGTCTGGTTGGATGCGGAACACCGTGTGGATTGTCTTCGGCTTTGCACGAAGATGACTTGATCCCCGTTATGGAAAGCCATCCTAACGTCTCACAATACCGGCCTTCGCCCGTTTAGTAAACGTGACACGAATGATTTGTGAGATGTGTATTACCTGACTCCATGCCGGTGGCCTTATTGTCGTAGACTGTGAAGTCTCGAATGTGCGTGTGTCCTCCAAATCCCTGCACTGGAACATCTGGACGAAGATTTCTGATCGTGCTAAAAAGAGTGCCAAAGGTGGAAGTGCTGGCGTTTACTCTGATTGGGTTATGCCCAATAACGAGGAAAAGGTCGATTGGCTTCGGGTAATTAATAGCATCAAGGAACCATTTCTCCTCGATCAAGTTCTTGGCCGTGATTACCTTCGAGACGTTGGAGCTTCCCGTGAAATCGAAAATAACTCCGAATGCCATGATGCGCAAACCTATCTTCAATTAGCAATCTACCGAACATATTGGGGCAGTAAGCTAAGATTTACCCTGCTCAGTGGTAAAGTAACGGTACTTCTTGCCGATATATTCATAGTCTCCGGTCGAAGGATTGATGATCTGAGCATTGCTCGTAAGATACCTATCGCCATACCTTTTTGAGAAGTTGCTGAAAGTCTCATACGCAATCTCAGAAACATAAAGCTCATGGTTGCCAATGGTAAGGAGGTCGTAGTCGATGTTCTCGAAGATAGGGTTGCTAATCTCGCCGTTGAGAGTAGTTGCATCGCTCAATCCAGCACCGTCATGAAGGTCGCCCGTATCTATGAGCAGGAGATCTACACCTAGCTTCTTCGCCTTCTTCTTCATATGTTTCGTGAAGCTCACAAAATCGCCCCAGTCAGCGCCATAATTCTGCTCCTTGATATGGCCCTCGAGCCAGCCATGTGTATCGGTCGTCTGCAGGAAATTGATCTGACCCCATTCAAGAGGTCCTTTGGGTCCCGTCGTCGCGTTCTGGGCGTCAGGCTGCATTCGCCGGACTAGTGGTGTAAGTGGGGGCTAGGTGCGAGAGAACAAGAGCGGGGGTACCATTGCGGGTCATCACCACATCGTGCTGTGGTCCATAGCAGCTATCACAAGTCGATACCGCTGTCACGCTTGCCGCTATTGTAAAAGCCGTGGAAAGACGCATCTTGTCGAGTCCGTTAATGAGGGGAGAGGGCAAAGCTCGAGGACGCAGCAGTCCGCCTCGTGCCTTTAATAACAGCAAGAAAGCTGTGTTACGGAAGCACAGGGGATCCTGAAAGGGCCATTGCTTGGTGCACGGTGTCGCAGTCCTACCAGATCTTTATAGTAGATCCCATCTAACGGAGCCATGCTTCCTATGCAAACGGCCCGACCACCGGGTGAGCCTTTGGGATCGACCTCTTTATCTACAAACCTTCCCCACGTGCAGACACGGTGGGCTCCGGCGACTCTCACCTGCCGAAGACAGTTGGGCGCCGGTGTTCCTGGTCGGATTCGTTCCTTGGTGTTTCCTTGGTGTTTCCTTGGTGTGTCTTGGTGCGCAGATCCCCCCTGCATGATGACGAGAGAAGCCGAATCATTAAGAAACGTTGCAAGGCTGATATGTGAGAGCCCTGGTCTGTGCTCATCCCAGCATCACCCCCTCCTTTCGCCATCAATCTCGGTCTCCTTAGTCCTACGACAGATATGCAACCTCAATTCAGCTAAATTCTAAGTATATATAATAAAACCGCCTGAAGGACTTCATACGGTTGCACCTAGCCGTAAATTTGCCGTTGCATCGACAGCAGTTGAGGGTCAGTAGCTTCTCGACCGTTCCTATCAACGCGTATGTCCACCTCTATCAGCTTCGTCTTATAGGTACGAGCCAATGACATGCGACGCGCATACTACTTGACCTATTGTGCCATCTAATACTAAATAAGCAAATAGGAGGAAGGGCGGTGCAAAGTAATGGCAATTGAAAAAAAAATATGAGCAAAAAATGATCGCGTCCAGGTTTGAACTGGAGACCTTTCGCGTGTTAGGCGAACGTGATAACCACTTTTAATGACGTTAGCGATAATTTTCGAGGAGGGAAACAGGCACTACTCACACTACACCACGCGACCGAAGATGGAGATTCGTTGAAATTTTGAATATAAGTAGTTTACATAAAAGCCGCTCTGTCCCGGGACAACCCGTTCCCATTAGAAGTCTGCCCCACCACCTCGTGCACGGCCACCACTTGTGCACGGATTTCGAAAATCAACGCAGCGTCTTATATACACAAAAATCAAGGAGGTGAGGCAACCGAGGCCGCTCTTTCATTCTATAATAACGACGTCAACATCAAACCAAAAAGGAAGCCTCTTTTAACGCCGGGGCAGGCCTGTAGCTATAGAGGCCTCCTCCTCCACCTCAATCATCACCTTCTATTCTGCCTTTTTTGAGCCTGATTTCTTTGGTGCAAATAGCTTCTTAGCTTTAACTTTTACCAATCAATTATGCAGCTGCCTGCTTTGCTTCCTTCTTCTCACGTGCTTCCTCTTTTTGTTGAGCAATACAAGCAGCCGTTTAAGCCTGCTTCTGTAGCTTCTCTTTCTCTTCTTGCTGCGCATCTTTTCGCAACTGCGCTTGAAGCTTTGTTCATATGCCAAAACGCTACTTTACACCCTATCGAGATACACAGCCTCGAGACTACTACATCGTCTATTCAATTTCTCAATGTATCACAGCACCTCAGGCGCTAGCAAACCCGTGTTAGTCTACGAATTTTCCTCTCCCGCAGATTTAGGGCGTCGAACTATGACATCCCATGCTCATCTCATATAACCATCCGTAGCACTGAACGCCGGCCACCACGTACAAATCGCCCTCTTTACACCGACTCCTGATTTACGAGCTCAATTCATTACATAATATGCGTATCTCTATTCGGCAGTGTTACCACCTCAGACACCTGCATCCAACCGAAACTCCGTAGCTTTTAACCCACTGCTAATTTAAAACCTCGAATCTAGTACATCTTATACGACTGTCTCTTGACCGGGATGTGCACCCCAGACGCCTCTATTAATATGTAAGTCCACGCGTATGTACCGAGTTTAGATCTACAGTCTCGACTCTATTACATCTGGTGCCTGTTCCTTGTGGCCCAAGATGGCTCCTCGTGCGCCGGCAACCGCCTGGAAATGCATGATTTTCGATACACCGCAGATTTGGACACTCGATTCTTTACATCTTACACATGGATTCTTGAGCCATTCGTAGCACCTCAGCCGGTTGCTTTCATGGATGGATCTGTCTCTTTAGTTCGTTCAGATCTATAGTCTCGAACCTCTTACATTCTAAGTATATGGTTTTAGGCCTGACACAGCACCTCACGCGCCGGCATCCGCCTGGAAATTCATGATTTTCGTTCACGTACATTTCTGAGTCATTCGCAGCACCTCAGACGGTTGCTTCTATGTGAGAATATTTTGCCTTAGCTTCATTCAGATCTGTAGTGCTGAATCTTGTGCATCCCGTGTATATGTTTTCCGGTCTGCTATAGCACCACAGGTGCCGGTATCCACCTGGAAAGATCCTTCTTTACGCCTAGTCTTGATATGAAGTCCTGAATCTGCTACATCCTGTGTATACCATCTTCAATAGCTCGTAGCACCTCACGCATCGGCATCCAAGGTAGATATCCTTTCTCCCGTGTCTCAACATCAAGCCTGTACCTTCCACCTTTCCTAGATAGCTATCAAATCACGTTCTAGAGCCATTGCTATCACTCCACATCACTCAAGTCAGGACTAGTATGTGTGCTTTCTGCCTCCCGCTGCTCCGCGGCGAGGTCTTTCAAGAAGGTTTCATTGAGCGTCAGGCAGTCTGCTCCACTCGGCCAATTCCGGCCCTCCCCCCTCCCCCCTCTCCGCCCCTCTCCCCCTACTCCCCCCCAATCTTCTCCCCAAACCGCCGCTCCGCCTCCGCCTCCGCCTCCCTCTCCCGCCTCTCCCGCACCTCCTTCTCCCTCTTCTCCTTCTCCCGCCTCTCCTTTGCGCGCTGCTGCCGCACCTCGGGCGGCAGGAGGTCCAGGACAGCGAGGTGCTGCTGGACGGACTCGTTCCGTCCGTCCAGCAGCGCCTGCATCATCCTCTCCGCCCGCCGCTCGAGGTGCGGGCCCCTCATCCTCCACCAGCTCTGCTCCTGCGTGCGCTGGGCGCGACGGCCCGAGGGGGTCCACACGATGGTGGCGGCGCTGGCCAAAACAGTTAGAGTTGTGTCAGGATATAGGGTGTGGGTGGTGGGTGGTGGGTGGACTTACGCGGCGGCGTGCAGCTCCAGCGTCTTCTTCTTCTCCTCCTCCTCCTCCTCCTGCGCGGCGACGGTGGCGGCGCTGTGTCGGGGTTAGCTAAATCTGCTCGGTGACTAAGAGATCCTGCGCGTGAAGGTAGAGACTCGAGGCTTGCCAACAGCCTCAGCCGGTAGGCAAGATCTCGTGAGGTTGGGTGCAGTCTGGGGGTGCAGATCAGGGCTGTCACTTACTCGGCGGCAGGGTGGCCCCCTGTGGCCTGGGTGGCCATGATGATGGTGATGATGGTGGTGATGGCGATGGTTTTGAGGTTGTTTGGGTGCTCCAGGAGCTGCACAGACAGATCTGGTGGTGATGCGGTGCGCGGTGTAGATCTGTGGGCCAAAGAGCGTGAAGTCTGGCGCGAGGAATTTGTTTTGAGGTCGTTGTGGGCGACCACGTGACGTGGGCAGCTTTAGGGGCAGCAACACCACACATAGCGAATTCCACCTCGAATTGACCCCTAATTCACTATCACCACCTTATACCACCTATGCCTGAGCAGTTGAGCCTCCTAGCTGACGTCTCCTTGCCGCTGTCGGGGGGTTCCGGCTGCTCAACAGCTGTGCCAGCCGGCGAGGTTGGTGGGCGTGGATTACTTCCATGTAGGATGAGACTCGCCAACCTCATCCTCCCCACGTTCACGCAAAGGCACACCACCAACATTGAAGCTGGTGATACAGCAAGCTGACGTCTCCTTGCCGCCACCAGAGGTTTCCAGCTCGCCAACAGCTTTGCCAGCTAGCGAGGCTGATGGACGAGGCTTGCTTTCAGGTAAGATGAGAACCGTCAGCGCCGTCTACCCTACACCAACACGAAGAGACATCGTCTGCATAGGAGCTGATGATGCAGCATGCTGGCCTCTCGCTGCCGCTGTCAGGGCCTCCGGATTCACGACACCTACGCCAGACGACGAGGCCGCTGAGCGCGACTTGCTTCCAGGTAAGAAGAGACCCGCCAGCTCCCTCTCCCCAACACCCACACAAAGACACATCAGCCACATCGAAGCTGATGATACAGCACGCTGACTTCTCGCTGCCACTGTCGGGGGTTTCCGGCTTCACAGCAGCTACGACAGCTGACGAGGCTGCTGGGCGTGACTTGCTTCCGGGTAAGGCGAGGCTAGCCAGCTCCATTTCCTCAACACCCACGGACAGAGACACCACCCACATCGAACCTGATGATACAGCAAGTTGACATCTCCTTGCCGCGATCGGAGGGCTCCGGCATCATGATAGCTGTGCCAGCCGGCGAGGCTGCTGGGCGTGATTTGCCTCTCCCAAGAGTCAAAGCGTTCTCGACATCTCCACCTCCGCTGCCTCGACAAACCAACATTCGACTCGGAGAAACTCGATCCAGACGCAGCCGGCTGCATAATCGACGGGAATATCCTCAGCAGAGATACAGTAAGCGGCTTCTCCTTCTGCTTCTTTCGCCGTACGCAGTCCGCGCACGCACGCATAACTAAGATAAAATCAACGAGAACAAGCTTCACAGCGGTTCAACAACCCACGGCACGCGGTTGTCGAGTACGTCTGCCATAGCAATGGCGTCCTCGTCTCCGCAAGCCAAGATCGAAACAAAATCGCCGCGCTGGATGGGCTTGGTCAAATAGACATTGTCAAACAACACACTGAAAATTAGCATAAGAGGGTCGCCTCATGCAGGGCGAAGAGAACCGTAATCGGAATCAGCGCGGCGAGCGACATTTGAAGTTACCACGTATTCAGCTCTGCATGGCAGCGATGGAGACGGTGGAGGTATTCTGAGTCGTACATCCCTATTCGCTACCACTTTGGTCCCAGAGGTAGCCACGTCTTGGTGGAATAGGCTTGGATAGAGCTGATTGTTCGATGCCTCATTCTGGGTGAGTCCTAGATCGATGGCGGATGGACCTCAACCGTGATATCAGGAGAGTTGGATCGAACATTGCTGATATAAGTCGCAGTCTAGGATAGAATGCTCGAAACCACCTCGAACGCAAACATCTAGAGCTCGGCCAGTCAACCACCACGAGCCTCTTGGTCCATCATAACACTTGAGCCATCACGGACCAAAGCACTGACCTGTCATCATGGACAACATGAACAAGCTCAACCGCAACGACCAGCCGGACATTTTCGACTGGGAGGCGCACCTCCTTCCGATGCTGTCTTTAGGTTTTTCCGAGTAGGATATCGAGGATAATGATGGACGAGTATCATTTGAGAAACCGGAGAGATATAATTGGGCTGATGAAGCACACAGGGAAGCAATCCGACACCAGCAGCGAGTTCCCCATGCCGCGAAGGAAAGAAGCTAGGCAAGGGCGAGGAAAGTGGAGACCGTCGTGGCATCCTGGACTTATTCGACAAGAAGAACAAGGAAGATAGGAACTTGGATGGAATGCCGCTGACTGTAGTCTCAGTCTTTACTCAAGAGCTCGTCCGCCTTTGTCAGTTCCATCGACCTCGTTCCGGTATATCTTCTCCAATTTGAATGAGTTTTTCACCCAGGTACTTCAAACGAGAAGGCTCCATCCATCACTTACGCATGGCGTCCCGTCTTAAATGCTGTTCCAGCTCTTACTTCCTGATTCAACTCACACAGGGCTCACACAGGGCTCACACAGGGGCATCTGACCAGCGCCTTGGGCAGCCGTCTCGTCTAGCCAACCCCTTTTCCATCTCTTACTTGAAGGACACCCGTCTCTTTCCCAACACGAGCGCGAGAGGAACGTCTTCAACTGTTCATGTTGATAGATGCATACCTCAGCATGCCATGCATGTCAAAGCGCAAGATCAATGCTGTCCTCTCTAGTGGTCGTTCGGAACCCGTACGGGGGCCTTCCTGCTGTGAGACGCTGGCGATCCCTAATCTAGCGCTGCACGGACAAGATCCTTTCCTCTGCGGCTTAAAGACGGGGATACATTTCGACCCACCATCTGCTGGCTGATGGGGGCTCATCTCTTTCTTGTATACTTTATCTCATCTCTTGAATCATCACTTTCATCTCATCTCTTGAATTATCACTTCCATCTCTTCCTAGGTTTGCGGTTCCATTGAGCGGGCTTTTCGATGGCCCTGAGAATGCACTATTCTCTTCTCTATGTTCTGTACGCTGTCAAGTTGTGGGTCTTCCAGTCTTCTCTTCATCTCTTTCTAGTCCCGTCATTGGTTGTATATCTTTTCGAACGCCACGAGAATACCGTTCCTAACGTCAGGGCCTTGGCCATCGTGAGCGCGAGCGCAGCAGTCTCGTTTCTAGGTCCAGGGAATCATGCTGCCCAAGCTCCCATGCCTTCTCTCTCGGTATCTCGGCTATAGTATGGGGAAGGTCTCAGCTACCTGATACTTTCCCTTCATAGATCTCGGCCTTGGTCTTCTGAGAAAACTTCTGGATCCTTGCATTTCCTCTAGCCGTTGGACCGGGAAATGTCGTCTGTATGCGCTGCGGCGTAAAAGGATTCGATCGGTCAAGTAATCTGGAGGCCAGGGTGGCAGGTCTTTTTGCTTATCGATTTCGACTCGGCTACGGCGACTCAAAGCAGTTAGCTGTTGTCATTTACCGTGATTCCTCAGTTTGCTGGTTAACCCTATTAATATACAGAATACTGATCACAGAGCAAACTCACAGGGTGGTCAGCACGGGCTACCCTGGCAACTGGAAGAGTCCATCCGATGAAATCTGGCGCCGAGCTAGAAGGAGACATAGAGCGGACTAAGCTGTATGCTTATGCGACGTGTTTCGCAGGCTTTGGATAGTCCGAGCAGGCTGGAGATCTGGCTGGTGCCCGAATGAGAGCCGGCTCATCCCTATACTTTCTGGAGCTTGGACTGTCGATATATTTATGATCCGTGTCCACTCCTTGCAGATCAGCTAGCAGGCTAGCGTGACTGTACTGGAATTGCGTTCGGCATTTGAATTCTCTGTAGGGCCTGTCCGACGCGGTAAATGAGGGCATGCTGTTCGAAGGAAGACGTCCTCGTCACCCCGGCTTCTGGCGATTCCAGCGTCTGAAGATTCCGTTATGCGTGTCCGCCTGCACATATGGAATTGGTCTCCACCACTTTTATCCTAGCTGCGGCCTTTTTTGACGACCCGGCTGGCCGATGCGGTCGATTGTGGGGTCAACCTACCAAGCTGCGATGAAGCCGTCTCGGCCTAGTCGGAAGAGCGGCTATGTAGTGCTCCTGGCTGACTTGCTGTCCTAAACCCCCTCCAAATGTCCCGATCCGTATAGACTTTGGCGCTTGTCTATGGTATAGGGGTAAGCCAGCAAGCGATGTCAGGATGGAGGGTTCCTTCGCGGCGCAAAGATTGAGGAGGAATAGCCCAAGTCGGGGCACTTATCCGTCCAGCTGTCATAACCCGCCGCAAATGTCATGATCCGCAAAGAGGTTGCTGTTTGCCCGTGGCGTGGCTATGTGGCGGTGAGGGGACTCCGGAGACGACCGTTTCTTCGTCGCACTAAGAACGTAGATGGTCGGCAGACCGTGATAGCCATGAGTGTCATGCTGTCATATTCCTGCTGATAGTATCCAGGTCCGCGCAACACTCGATCTTTGTTCGTTGTGTAAGCATGATGTGGTGGTGGACTTCCGATATTGGGCATTTCTTTGCAGCTTGGACGACAAGGAGAGGAGATGATCGGGCGCTCCCAATCGCTTTGCTGTTCTGTCCACCGCAAGTATCCCGATCCCGTGTAGCGCTCGGTCTTTGTCCGTGGTGGAAGTGCAAATCGGCAAGCGCACTCCAGGGACGACGGTTTCTTTGCCGGTCGAAAATAGTGCATGGACGGCGGGTCGGGGGAGTTCCTGACTACCTTCCCGCCATGCCCCCGCCCAAGTTGTCCTGATCCGCATGGCGCTCGGTGCTCGTTCGTTGCGTAGGCGTAAGGCGGCGAGAGGGCTCAAGAATGTGCGGTTCCCTAGGCCGCGCGAAGGACAAGGAGGCGAGGAGATGAGAGGCGGTCGGGGGCTTGCCGCTGGACGCATGATTCTTCGTCATGGCCCGCCTATTTCGGCCATAAGTCGCGAGGCGCTGAATAAAGAGGTGTGTGGTGTTGAGCCTTGGGTGGTGTTGTCGCGGAGGTGGGCGACCGCCCGAAAAGAACAGGAGGGAAGAAGCGCCTGCGCAAACACGAGGGGCAATAGCATTATGAAACATTGCTTCCATAATGGCGCCTCGCGGTAGATGATGATGAAAGGGGCCCGGCAAAGAGGAGGATGAAAGTTGCAAGATGGTGCTCCTCGATCTTCCTGCGCAGAAAACCGGCGACAAGGACCGCAGGCATCTTCGAAGGGGATAACCCCACAAACTCAACCAGCATCTCTCCCCGACCTCATGGAGATGAAGAGAATGGATAGACTTGTCACCGTGATTCCAAAGCTTCGTCTAGAGGTGTCATTGTTCGTTCATCAGGGGCAAACACCAGAGCAAATCCCCTGGACGATTTTCACATGAGAATGAGATTACGAGCAAACAGAATACTTGTCGATTGCCACCCGAGCCTGGGACAGTTAAGACATCGCCAGAGAGCTCCCTTTGGCAGTCCTTCTTGGGTTATAATACTCTACCGCCGGACTTACCGCTATGTTCATCCAAGTCACAAGCGGCGATGCTGCAAGCCTCGTGGCATCGCTGTTCGTCCTTAGAGGACTTATGTGCTTTGTGGCTGCTGCACAGCCGAATACTTATCACTACCGGATGCTGTCTATGTACAATGCACGAGGGACGAAGGAAAGCACTCATCTACCGTGCAGAGACACGTTTGCCCACATGATACTCAGTCCAAGGGCTCAGAATCCGCAGGAACGAGGGGTGAGATGCAAGGAAGGGGTGCCCCAGCCCATATACATCCGCTTTCCAACCAGCTGGGATGGAGAATGGACATGTGGACAGGCTGGCGATGGTGCTAAGCATCGCCTTGGTGTTGAGGGCTTGCCCTGCTGTCGCCGTTAGTTACCGTGGGGCTGCCTGAGTCAGCAGGGTCGCCATGTCGCCAAGCTTCATCATAAAGTTCACGTCCTCGACCGCGACAACGTCACTCCACCACCTCTCCTCCGCTCCTCGACAATCACAATCGACTCTGCATTCACCCAGAGCCGTGCCCAGAGGATCTCGACACTACCTTCCATCTACATCTACAACACCCTTCGCCCTCGCAAGCACGATGGCGTACCGCAATCGCAACAACCGTCAGGTACGTCTCCAGCGCGCGCAGCTCAAAGCTCGCGCAACCCACGAACCTCACCTTTCGTACTTCAGCTAACCCCCCTCCCCTTCTACAGCAGTACCAGGGGGCCTCGTCCTCATTCAGAGAGCACGACGCCGCCTATAACGACGATGGATACTACGACAACAACGGCTACGACGACGTGGGTTACGCTTTCAAGGACGCAGCAGGTCATGGCAACGGCGCCGAACATCACAAGGTAAGCTTCCAACGGCGCAAACACCCTTCAATCGCAAGTCTAACTGATTGGGCCCAGGTCTTTCTTCCTCCCTGCTGTGATATTGCAAGCAACATCCTTCCCTCCCGATCGATTGTCTCCTGACGTCTGACAACGGACGAGGCTGCCTGGGAGCGAGTCACATTCTAGAAGATTTATGCTGACATCAATTCTTCCAGCAGTCTGACGACTACAATCAGGGTCCTACGCCCGACCAGCTTGACAAGTAAGTTACCCCCACCCTCACTCGTGAGAAACAAACTCTGACACTCCACAGGGCAGAATGGGTCCATGACCGTTGGCAGGGCGACGAAGACGGTACGAATTCCCATCGCCCTGACCCTCCAACCATGCTGATTCCTCCCAGACCGTCCGTACAGGAAGAATGACCGTCAGGCCTTCAAGCCTCTCGACAGCTACAATCAAGCCCGCGGCCCGAAGATGTAAGCAGCTCCTACTCCCATTACCCTAACATGCTAACCAATCGCGCAGTACCCCCGGCGTTCAAGTCACGATCCGTGGCTTCCCTCACGATGTCTCCGAGTCCGAAGTTCGCGACCTGGCCGAACAGTTCGGCGACGCGCTGGAGGTCAAACTGATCTTTGACCGTACGGACCGATCTACCGGTATCGCGCACATCACCTACAAGGACGAGGACACCGCTCGTGCCGCTGTGCGTGACATTCACGGGGCCAAAGCGTACGGAAAGCCCGTCACTGCGAGTATCACGGCCCGCAACTCCACTCAAAAGCGCTCTTTGTTCGAGCGGATCGAGAACCCGATCGTCAACAACCGCGACACTTCGCGTGGAAGAATCAACAATCGCACCGAGCGAGGCCAGGCAAAGGGCCCCCGCAACGACAGCCGGCGTGACAGCAGCAACCGCGGGTACAACAGCAGCAGGCGCTCTAGTGACGACAAGGGCACGAAGGGGGGACGCGGACGCCCCGCGATGGACCGCTACGTCCCGCCGCACCGCGAATCTGGCGTGCTGGGCCCGCGCGCTGGCGGCAATCGTGTGGAGCGGAAGCCAGCCACGCAAGGCCGCCGTGGTGGCAGAGCCGAGCGCCCAAAGCTGACGCAAGAGCAACTCGACAAGGAAATGGACGCGTATTTCGCGTCCAAGGACGCTGCTGGTGGAGCCGAGCCTGTGAAGCAGGCCCCGGCGGCAGTAGTTGCCCCTGCGGCTGCCAAAGCCGACGACATGGACCTGGACTTGGACCTGTGATTCAGAGCCTATTTCTCTACTGTTCTAACTTGACTCTTGGAATCGGAGCCTGGTGGCTAGGGATTTGGAGTGTTGGGCGGTGCATTGAGGCGTCTTCAGCGGTCTGTCGGGTTGGCTAGCATGTGCGGAGCATAGGAGCGATTTGGGCCCTCTGGCTTTGGACTTCCCTTCCTGTAGCTAATTCAAGCCTTCCCAGAAATGGGATCGTATACCCCCCTCATGATTTGAACTGACTTGTGTGATGTTTTGACTATCTGGGAAACATGTTGAGGGACTTCAGACGGTGGTAGAGCGATGTAAACAGGCAGTGGAATATTGTGAGATTTGGACCGCGAAATTTGTAGTTGTAGGGCTTCGAGTATAGAGGGCGTATCACAGTATGCCATCGTTTGGGGTTCTTCAACGAGGTCTAATTTTTCTGCACAGGATGTAAAATTCTCAAGAGCGCGAATTAGAGAGGCACTAGATCGGCGTGCGTATCACGGTATGCCATCGTTTGAGGTTCCTCAACAAGGTCTGAATCTCCTGCACAGGATGTAAAATTCTCAAGAGCGCGAATTGGGGAAGTGCTCGGTATGCCATCGTTTGAGGTACTTCAACGGGGTCTAATTTCTTTGCACAGGATGTAAAGGTCGAAAGAGCGCGAATTGGAGAGGTGGTAAATGCGTGCTGTTTACACCCGTTCACTAGTGCGGGAGGCCTCTAACGAGGTCTAATTTTTCTGCACAGGATGTAAAGCTCCCGAGAGCGCGAATTGGAGAGGTGCTAGATAGGCGTGCGTATCACGGTATGCCATCGTTTGAGGTTCCTCAATAACGTCTGAACTTTCTGCACAGGATGTAAAATTCTGGAGAGCGCGAATTGGAAAGGTGGTAAATGCGCGCTGTTTACACCCGTTCACCAGTGCAGGAGGCCTCTAACGAGGTCAAAAACGGTAGAACAAGATGTAAACAGCTAGAATGCACAAATCGAAGGGGCGGTAAATAGGGTACTATTTGCGCCTGTTTACCACTGCATGAAGTCCTCCAACATACTCTCATTCTCATATCCCCACTGCAGATTTCCCAAAACATCTATCGTACACCCTTCGCCATCTTTACATCATGAAAACCTGAAAATCACCCTTACTTCTCTGCCTTCCCCATACTGACAACCAATACATCCCTCCCCGCGCCCTTCTCCACCATCGCCAACACAGCCTCGATGTTCTCGCCCGTGATCACCGTGCTCGCGGGCCAGAACTTCATATCCCGGCCCTCCGTCGCCCACTGGATCTTAAACTCGGTGATGTGCTCTTTCGGCCCGTCCGCGTCTTGCTTCTTGAACTTGGAGCCCCACTCCGTGCAGTTTGGGGACGTGGCGGCGGTGTTGATGACCAGCCCGTTCAGGTACTTGATGTCGGCGCTGCGGGGGAGGAGGACGACTTCGTGGCGGGAGGCGCCGTCGATTGTGAAGAGGAGGGGGATGGACATTGTGGGCGAAGCTTTTTATATCTTGGATAGATCGGCGGAGTTGGGTTCTGGGGAGGTTAGTATCGGCTTTATGGACTATTCTAAAGGCTGTGGTGGGGGTTATTACCTTTTGTTTGTTCGAGGTGTACCTTCTAGAGCTTGTTGTAAGAGGTATAGTTTAAATATTGTATCAAGAAGTTCGCGGGGCAGGTTTATGTCTTCAGTTACTGATACCACCACATTGCGTCACTTCGCGTCTGGTCCAAGATTGAGACCCTGGTCGAGAGGAGAGCTGGGATGGGGCCTAGCGCATGCGGGTGGCTGCAGGGGAGGGGCTGGGATTGTATGACTGCTGAGAACTTACTTTTGGAAGCCAGAATTGAGGAATTTGATGAGAAGAACTATTAGTCATATATGAGGTAGAGAAGACAAGCTATACCAAGAAGATTTTCCGTAACGACGTTTCTTTTCCTGTATTTGGGAACGAATATACTCCTCCTTGCCCCCTTAACACCACCGTCAGCGGTGCCCGGGCCAGCACCTCACCAGCCATCCAAAAGGTAGTCCAGATTGGACTGTATCGACCTCTACATCGTGCCGGAGCATCTAAGCCCTATGGGTATGAATATTCTACTCCTTACGCTCAGTCTTTACTCACCCAATAACACCGTTAGGAGTCCCCAACTAGCAGTCCACGAACCATCTAAAAGGTAGTCTGGCTTACACTGCATGAACCTCAACATCGTACCATCTAAACCCTACACACACGAATGCTCTACTCCTTAAGCACTACCTTTGCTCACCTAATATCACCGTTAGGAGTTCCCCAACTAACACTTCACCAGTCGTCCAGAAGGCACTCTAAATTAGACAGCATCGACCCCTGCGCCGTGCCGGAGTACCTAACCCCTACGCACACGAACATTCTACTCCTTACACACTACCTTTGCTCACTCAATACCACTGTTAGGGGTCCCCCCATGTCGCATTTCACGAACCATCCAAAAGGTAGCCTAATATCCACCGCATCGCCCGCTGCATCCTGACCAACTCCTGGACACATCTGCAGGGAGTCAGAATGTAGTGCTATTCGCACCTCTTTACTACTGCATGAAGTCCTCTGGCCTACCATATACGAAATGAACGGGATGTAAAGAATTGAAGGATGCGTATTCGATGGACTCTACGCCATTAGACCTCCATCAATAATCTGTATAGTTCCAGTGATATAAGTCGACCCATCACACAGCAGCCACGAAATCAAGCTCGCCACCTCCTCCGGCTGCCCTTTCCTCTTAATCGGGGCGTTGTAGTTCCCCGGGCTGCCCCTGATGCGCTCAGATTCGCGGTGCATCTCTGTATCTATAATACCCCTATATCACGCCCACATCAGCAAACCCAACCTTCAAAGCAAGCACGGAATTTCGAAACTTACGGCGCAATACAATTCACCCTAATCCCCCGATCCGCCACTTCCTTCGCCGCCGACTTCGTCAACCCAATCACCCCATGCTTGCTCACCGTGTACGCCGCGTTCTTCGCAAACCCGCCCAGCCCCGCAATACTCGCCGCATTCACGATGCTCCCCTTCTTCTTCATCTCGCGGATCTGCGCGCGCAGGCAGTGCATCACGCCCGTGATGTTGACATCCAAGACGAACTTCCAGTCCTCGTCCTTCAAGTCTTCCACGCGGTCGATGTTGATGCTCTTGGGGATCACGCCCGCGAGATTGGCAGCGCCGTCGAGTTTCCCAAAGGTCGCGACGACGTCGGCGATCCAGGCGTCGACTTGGGCGGCGTCGCGCACGTTGACGACGGTGGCCATGACGGTGCCGCCGGCGGCTTTGATGGTGGCGGCGGCGGTCTCGAGGTGGGTTTTGTTGAGGTCCATGATGGCGACTTTGGCGCCTTGGGCGGCGAGGAGGGTGGCGGTTGCGAGGCCGATGCCTGAGGCGCCGCCGGTTATGGCGATGACTTTGTCGGCGACGTTGAAGAGGGGGGTCGTGTGGGAGAAGGCTTTGGCGGTTTCGGTTTCTATGAGGTCGACCGACATCTTTGCGGGCGTGTGTCGTTAAGGGAGCTGGGTAATAGCCAAGAATTTAGAGGTGCTTTATTGAGGGTTAGATGTTTGGAAGGGTTCGAAAGCCTAAGAAGAGGGTTTGAGTGGAGATACGGTAGAGTAATGTAGTACGCAGAAGGCTTAACTAACATCAACTTAGCTGCACCCCTGACCGTGAAGCATTCAAAGATCCCGCGTTTCCCAGGACATCGAGTCTTTGTTCAGGTCAGTGTTGGTAAATATGAGGAACTGACGAATGGTAGGGAAATCCGGGGAACGCTTCCCCGCAACCCCCCACATTTCGCTTGATTTTGTCCGAAGCCGTGTCTACATCGTATCCACCCCGATCTCATGACCTTCGAAAGAAAATCGAATAGGAAGGACTGCTGGCTATCCTATTCGAGAGGTTGGTAATCAAATTCCGGGTACTGTTCTCCGAATCAGCCTATAAGAGTTCTCATCAAATTTTTTTTAGTCGTATCTACAGTATCAAGACGTAAGTTTGGGCGCTCTCTGCAACCGTTTGGGGTACCTCGTTAGGCTTTGGAAACTTGAAATGCGATGCAAAGGTCAACGCAGTAGCTATTAGACTACCTTTTGATAGACTGAAATCTTATTTATTGGAGCACTCCTTACCGCAGGCGTCAGAACCCCGACTTACCCCTATCTAATTCACAAGTTCCAACTCCTTACATCCCGTCTGATTCGCCGCAGTATGGCGGAGGACTTCATGCAATGGCAAACAGGTGCAAATAGCACACCTATGGCTCCCTGCTATCTACATCGAACGATGTTCAGACGGGCTGATTGAGACAGTTCCAGATCCCGATGATCCGCGTTGGAACGATGCTACCGCTGATATAAAAGAGTTAGAACTAAACAAAAACAATAGAGAACGATAGCTTGAAAACAAACTACCACTAGACCAGCTTCGAGGCCTTCTTAACGAGACTATCAACTTCTACTATCTCTTCCTTGCGTACGAAATGGTCTGTAGTTCTAACCCACGCCGCGATCCCAACCCCTGAATCG